GTGTTGCGTCATGCATAATAAACAGGCCTTAGCCATGGTATATTGGTCATATACCACACGCCCTCGGGCCTTATTGCTTAATTGACATTTGACACAAATAGTTTGTAGCCTAATCTCTGTTCATACCTGGTTGTCACTTCACACCTTGATAAGGGACTAAAGGTAAATGTCCCATTTATCATCAATCATCATCATTGCTTACACAGTTGTTTAGAAACCCAACTTAGAAACCCAACTATACGAGCAGTGTACTAATAAATCGCGTCCCGTCCTAAAAGGTTCAGCAGTGCACAGGTAGGGTATGCCCCATGCGCGCCTTCACGGACCACCAGAGGTGTGGACTCGTCACAAATGTGATGATTTGAGACTTGACTTGGAGCCTCAAGACTCATTTTTTGGCAGAGTCTCTGTGGGTTACTCTCCACACAGCTAGAGACAGTATCGCCCTTGCAAAAAAACAAAAAACAGATTGGCTAGTGAAACGCACACTCAACCCTCTGATTGTACCAGCAAACTGTCAATCAACACAGGTCGGGTGAGCTAGTGCAGTGAGAAGGGTTTGGGTTGCGAGTGTGAAACTGAATGGGAAAAATATATACTGAACAAAAATATAAACGCAACATGCAACAATTTCCAAGATTTTACTGAGTTACAGTTCATAGAAGGAAATCAGTCAATAGAAAAATTTATTAGGCCCTAATCTATGGATTTCACATGACTGGGCAGGGGTGCAGCCATGGGTGGGCCTGGGAGGGCATAGGTCCACCCATTGGGGAGCCAGGCCCAGTCATGTGAAATCCATAGATTAGGGCCTAAATTTCTTCCCACAAAAGGGCTTTATTACAGACATAAATACTCCTCAGCACCCCCCACATCAGACAATGCCACAGGTTAAGAAGCCAGATGTGGAGGTCCTGGGCTGGCGTGGTTACACATGGTCTGCGGTTGTGAGTCCGGTTGGATGTACTGCCAAATTCTCTAAAACAACATTTGTGGTAGAGAAATTAAACATTAAATTATCTGGCAACAGCTCTGTTGGTCATTCCTGCAGTGAGCATGGCAATTGCACACTCCCTCAAAACTTGAGACATCTGTGGCATTGTGTTGTGTGACACAATTCCACATTTTAGAGTGGCCTTTTATTGTCCCCAGCACAAGGTGCACATGTGTAATGATCATGCTGTTTAATCAGCTTCTTGATATGCCACACCTTCAAATGGATGGATTATCTTGGGAAAGGATAAATGGTCACTAACAGGGATATAAACAATTTAGTGCCAAAATTTGAGAGAAATAAGCTTTTTGTGCATATGGAACATTTTCTGGGACCTTTTATTTCAGCTCATGAAAAATGGGACCAATACTTTACATGTTGCGTTTATATTTTTGTTCAGTATATAGTTTTCATATTTTAAACAGTCTACATATAGCACAGGAGGTTGGTGACACCTTAATTGGGGAGGACAGGCTTGTGGTAATGGCTGGAGCGGAATAGGTGGAATGGTATCAAATACATCAAACAGATGGTTTCCATGTGTTTCAGGCCATTCCATTTACTCCATTCCAGCCATTTATGAGCCGTCCTCCCCTCAGCAGCCTCCACTGACATATAGCCTACCTGTCTAGTATTTTATATGTATAGCCTACCTTTGCTTATTGGATCTGGTCACTAACATAGGCCTACAGCATTGCACCAAATTCTTGTTTAGTAAACATCTCATCTGTGACTCAGAACCTAAAAATGGAGTGTCTTAAATGTTGACCAATGACAAGTTATCAGCATTGGCTCGCAAAGTCGGGTGCACATTTCAAATAAAATAAAATAAAATGTTATTGGTCACATGCGCCGAATACAACAGGTGCAGACATTACAGTGAAATGCTTACTTACAGCCCTTAACCAACAGTGCATTTATTTTTAACAAAAAAAGTAAAAATAAAACAACAACAAAAAAAGTGTTGAGAAAAAAAGAGCAGAAGTAAAATAAAGTAACAGTAGGGAGGCTATATATACAGGGGGGTACCGTTGCAGAGTCAATGTGCGGGGGCACCGGCTAGTTGAGGTAGTTGAGGTAATATGTACATGTGGGTAGAGTTAAAGTGACTATGCATAAATAATTAACAGAGTAGCAGCAGCGTAAAAAGGATGGGGTGGGGGGGCAGTGCAAATAGTCCGGGTAGCCATGATTAGCTGTTCAGGAGTCTTATGGCTTGGGGGTAGAAGCTGTTGAGAAGTCTTTTGGACCTAGACTTGGCACTCCGGTACCGCTTGCCGTGCGGTAGCAGAGAGAACAGTCTATGACTAGGGTGGCTGGAGTCTTTGACAATTTTGAGGGCCTTCCTCTGACACCGCCTGGTATAGAGGTCCTGGATGGCAGGAAGCTTGGCCCCAGTGATGTACTGGGCCGGACGCACTACCCTCTGTAGTGCCTTGCGGTCGGAGGCCAAGCAGTTGCCATACCAGGCGGTGATGCAACCAGTCAGGATGCTCTCGATGGTGCAGCTGTAGAATTTTTTGAGGATCTGAGGACCCATGCCAAATCTTTTCAGTCTCCTGAGGGGGAATAGGCTTTGTCGTGCCCTCTTCACGACGGTCTTGGTGTGTTTGGACCATGATAGTTCGTTGGTGATGTGGACACCAAGGAACTTGAAGCTCTCAACCTGTTCCACTACAGCCCCGTCGATGAGAATGGGGGCGTGCTCAGTCCTCTTTTTTTTCCTGTAGTCCACAATCATCTCCTTTGTCTTGGTCACGTTGAGGGAGAGGTTGTTGTCCTGGCACCACACGGCCAGGTCTCTGACCTCCTCCCTATAGGCTGTCTCATCGTTGTCGGTGATCAGGCCTACCACTGTTGTGTCGTCTGCAAACTTAATGATGGTGTTGGAGTCGTGCCTGGCCATGCAGTCATGGGTGAACAGAGAGTACAGGAGGGGACTGACCACGCACCCCTAAGGGGCCCCCGTGTTGAGGATCAGTGTGGCAGATGTGTTGTTACCTACCCTTACCACCTGGGGGCGGCCCGTCAGGAAGTCCAGGATCCAGTTGCAGAGGGAGGTGTTTAGTCCCAGGATCCTTAGCTTAGTGATGAGCTTAGAGGGCACTATGGTGTTGAATGCTGAGCTGTAGTCAATGAATAGCATTCTCACGTAGGTGTTCCTCTTGTCCAGGTGGGAAAGGGCAGTGTGGAGTGCAATAGAGATTGCATCATCTGTGGATCTGTTGGGGCAGTATGCAAATTGGAGTGGGTCTAGGGTTTCTGGGATAATGCTGTTGATGTGAGCCATGACCAGCCTTTCAAAGCACTTCATGGCTACAGACGTCAGTGCTACGGGTCGGTAGTCATTTAGGCAGGTTATCTTAGAGTCCTTGGGCACGGGGACTATGGTGGTCTGCTTGAAACATGTTGGTATTACAGACTCAGTCAGGGACATGTTGAAAATGTCAGTGAAGACACTTGCCAGTTGGTCAGCACATGCTCGGAGTACACGTCCTGGTAATCCGTCTGGCCCTGCGGCCTTGTGAATGTTGACCTGCTTAAAAGTCTTACTCACATCGGCTACGGAGAGCGTGATCACATAGTCATCCGGAACAGCTGGTGCTCTCATGCATGCTTCAGTGTTGCTTGCCTCGAAGCGAGCATAGAAGTGGTTTAGCTCCTCTGGTAGGCTTGTGTCACTGGGCAGCTCGCGGCTGTGCTTCCCTTTGTAGTCTGTAATAGTTTTCAAGCCCTGCCACATCAGAAAGCCTTGTTTAATTTTCTCAGGTGTTGCTAGGCAAAAACAGAGTAGTTTACCTACGTCAGGGTTCTTCAATTCCAGTCCAGGAGGGCCGAAACACCTCTGTTTTTCATCCTCTCCTTCTAATCAGGGGCTAATTCAGACCTGGGACTCCAGGTGAGTGCAATTAACTACCAGTGTTTCGGCCCTCCAGGACCGGAATTGAAGAACCCTGACCTACGTTATTGTCCATATAAAGTACCGTTTCAATCTGCTATGGACGCATCTTTGCCAGAACAATAGGCTACCTATTGATTTAATTAAGATAGGCCTTGTTTGGGTGGGTTCATTTAATTATATACCTCAGTGGTGGTACTGGCTATAGCCTATAGATAGCTGTAACATCGGACTACCTTAAATAATTCTGGCTTATTAATTACGATATTTGTGAGGAAGAAAAAAGATACAGACCATGCTTTACATCTGATCCTGCAACCTCCGCTGCATACAGGTAGGCCGTATTATCCTGCTTGCTCTGGACTCCAGAGAAGTGACTTGATATTGACTACTAACATTAATGACTTTTAGCTCAAAATGCATGTGTAAAACGCAGTTTATTTCTGTATCTTGCGTTTTGAAAATGCATCACCGTTAATGGCTGTAATGACAGGCTACATTTGCGTGCGCAGCGGTCATGGGTCAACAAATTGGAAAACCACTGAGCTAGCGAACAGATTGGTGATTTGCTCTACAGCTATAGGATCCGGTGCAGCGCAAACGTCAAATTGTAGGGAGAGAGGATTGCCATAAATGAATATGCAGCTCCACAAATTGTTTGGTGATCAAGAATCTGAACCGTTTACTTTGCAAGCTCACCAGCAATAGGGAATCAAGCAACAATTACTAGCATAGGCCTACTGGTCTTTTGGTATGTCAAAATTGCTTGAAATTGATAATTTACTTATGAATCTTAAATTTGGAATTTGTTAAAATTAATTACATAAAATGTGTTGTAGACAAAATAATGACAAGGGCTGCCTGGTAGCCTCAATAAATAGACAAAGATTTTTAGGTGAACAAGTCATTGCCTATATAAATGTTTTGTTTTACTTGATATTTGACTTGAAAAACTTGTGACTTGACTCGAGTCTCGGCCAGTTCTACTTGGGACTGGACTTGGACCTTGTGACTCTAATAATAGTGACTTGGTCCCACCTCTGCGGACCACTCCCCTTTTGCGTGTGAGTCGTCCTTCATCTACCTTACTTCAAATCTAGGCAGTTCGCCTTTCAATCACTTCCATTCAAGTGGGGAATACGAGAATAGTGTTAGTAAGGCAGTTTTCAGGAGTCGACTTTTGAACCAGGTTATTGAAAATGTAAGTGCAATCCCTTTTAATGTGCATTAACTTTACGCAAAATGATTTCCGAGGTGTTCAGTTGAAATGACGATTTAGTTTAACTGTTTATATAGTCGAAATACTTTCCTTTTTTTTAAATCATGAAACGTAACCTATGTTGATTGTCATTCATTCTGCTGGAATACCCTGTCCGCTATCCTTTACTAGAAGAACCTCGTTTGTATTGAAAAATAAAAAGTTTGGCGCGTAATGTCCTTTAATTAAACAAATTTGACCATCTTCGTTTTAGATGACTCCGTAACCATGGCTATTGGAAGTGTGTGGGAGATCTTGTAGACGTGTTAGATTAAACAGTTCTTGAAAGTGACGGGGGACTTTTGTCTCAATTGTTATACGGTCTTTATGCTTCATGCAAGCTACCTGGGGAGATGATGCGCGGAATCAATCGTTTCCTGCTTAACGTCTAATTAAAATGTAGTTGAAATGTTTAGGCTTTGTCTTTTGTCTGTCTTTGTCTTGTTGTATATCATTTGGCTTTATAGATATTATGGAGGTTCTAGTATTTTACTCATGAATAGCCCATTCAGTCTCGGGTAATAAATTATACCTCTGTTCCCACGCGTCATGAGTTTTATTATAACAAAGTTTATTCCGCGTTGTATATTAAGAATTACCTAATTATAATTATCGTGCCAGCTTTTCCACAAAACATAACCTGCCTTGCATACTATAGATATGAGATTGAATTCCATTATAATTATCCTTATCCCACATGCCTCATGCGCTAAAGGTGCATTGCATTTGGAGTCAAGCAGTTTCGGAACAATAAACGCATTGTTGTCAATAAGCCTTTGGCACACAGTTGCATCAGCCAATTAAAGCCCTGCTTTTTTTTCTCTCAGTCAATCATTGCCTGAACTGAGATTGCAGTCAGTCAACTCTAATGACGTGGAAGTTTCACAAACAGCTCAACAATCACAGGAAGCTCCCTAGACTATGTTAGCAAGATGTATGTGTCATACTAGTCAATACGTTCAAACAACTGGGAACTCGGAAATCAACGACTTCAGTGCGTTCAAACAACTGGGGAATTCCAACTCGGGAACTCGGGCCTCTTTCTAGAACTCCGACCTGAAGATGACTGACCTCATGATTTTACCTCGTATTTTTCACAAGTTCCCAGTTGTTTTGAAAGCGGCATTCGAACTCAGAAAAAAACAAAGTAAAATCATGAAGTCAGTGATCTTCAGGTCGGAATGTCTGCACTCTAGAGAGAGGCTGGAGTTCTCGACTTAGAATTCCAAGTTGGATGATCATGCAAAACGATTTTTTCCAGTTAGAGCTCGTTTTTTTTCTCGGAATTCCCAGTTGTCTTGAACACTCATAAGTCGAAGAGTTTCGACTTCCCTGTTCTGAACACTGCAACAGTGTATGGATCAAGGTGATGTCACCAAGATCATGTCATACCTTAGTAATTCCACCAACTGGCCTCTATCTGAAGGAGCCAATTTGTCTGACTTGGCTTCAAGGACATGGTCAACCAAGTTAACATTTGGTTGGAGAAACTCACAGTGGACAGACTGAATCTTGTCTAAATGGCCACATCTACTCCTAACTCTCTACCGGTACAGCCAGAAGAGGACTGGCCACCCCTCGGAGCCTGGTTCCTCTCAAGGTTTCTTCCTAGGTTCCTGCCTTCTAGGGAGTTTTTCCTAGACACTGCTTCTGCCTCTAAATTGCTTGCTCTTTGGGGTTTTAGGCTGGCTCTGTAAAGTTGATTAATTTAAATGACTGAATTTAGAGCTATTTCTATTGACACTCTAAAGTGTATCACTTTGATCAACCTTTTTTAGTACATAGATTACCGGTAAGACAATACCAGAGAATGTTAAATGTTCATCTTTATTTGTAGTGCAATTAATAACTTCCTTTATATTTGCCACTGCAAGTTGAATAGTTTGGGATATTCGGTCACTGAACAACAATCAAGCCTAATTTCCTTGCATACAGTGCATTCGGTAAGTATTCAGAACCCTTGACTTTTTCCACATTTTGTTACGTTAGCCTTATTCTACAATGGATTCAATTGGTTTTTTTCCCTCAATCTACACACAATACCCCATAATGACAAAGCAAAAATAGGTTTCTAGAAATGTTTGCAAATTTATAAAAACGGAAATATCACATTTACGTAAGTATTCAGACCCTTTACTCAATACTATCTTGAAGCACCTTTGGCAGCGATTACAGCCTCACGTCTTCTTGGGTATGACGCTACAAGCTTGGCACACCTGTATTTATGGCGTTTCTCCCAATCTTCTCTGCAGATCCTCTCAAGCTCTGTCAGGTTGGATGGGGAGCGTCGCTGCACAGCTATTTATAGATCTCTCCGGAGATGTTCAATTCAAGTCCGGGCTCTGGCTGGGCCACTCAAGGACATTCAGAGACTTGTCCCGAAGCCACTCCTGCGTTGTCTTGGCTGTGTGCTTAGGATCGTTGTCCTGTTGGAAGGTGAACCTTCGACCCAATCCGAGGTCCTGAGTGCTCTGTAGCAGGTTTTCATCAAGGGTCTCTCTGTACTTTGCACTGTTCATCTTTCCCTTGATCCTGACTAGTCTCCCAGTCCCTGCCACTGATAAACATCCCCACCGCATGATGCTGCCACCACCATGCTTCACCGTAGAGATGGTGCCAGGTTTCCTCCAGGCGTGACGCTTGGCATTCAGGCCAAAGAGTTCAATCTTGGTTTCATCAGACCAGACAATCTTGTTTCTCATGGTCTGAGTGTCCTTTAGGTGCCTTTTGGCAAACTCCAAGTGGGCTGTCATATGCCTTTTACTGAGGAGTGGCTTCCGTCTGGCTGCTCTACCATAAAGGCCTGATTGGTGGTGTGCTGCAGAGATGGCTGTGCTTCTGAAAGGTTCTCCCATCTCCACAAAGGAACTGGAGCTCTATCATAGTGACCATCGGGTTCCTGGTCACCTCCCTGACCAAGGCCCTTCTCCCCCGATTGCTCAGTTTGATGGTTCCAAACATCTTCCATTTAAGAATGAGGGAGGCCACTGTGTTCTTGGGGACCTTCAATGCTGCAGAATTGTTTTGGTACCCTTCCCTAGATCTGTGCCTCGACACAATCCTGTCTCGGCGCTCTACGGACAATTCCTTCGACGGCTTGGTTTTTGCTCTGACATGCACTGTCAACTGTGGGACCTTAAATAGACAGGTGTGTGCCTTTCCAAATCATGTCCAATCAATTGAATTTATCACAGGTGGACACCAATCAAGTTGTAGAATCATCTCAATGATGATCAATGGAAACAGGATGCACCTGAGCTCAATTTTGAGTCTCATAGCAAAGGGTCTGAATACTTATGTAAATAAGGTATTTTTAAAAAATACATTTGCTAAAATTTCTACAAACCTGTTTTCGCTTTGTCATTATGGGGTATTGTGTGTAGATTGATTGAGGACATTTTTGTTTGTTTAATCCATTTTAGAATAAGGCTGTAACTTAACAAAATGTGGAAAAAGTTAAGGGGTCTGAATACTTTCCGAATGTACTGTTATTAAAAAAAAAGTAACTTTTTATTATAATGATTTTTCTGTGAGGGGTTCAGATCAGACGGGCAATAATATTCAAGAAGTACATAGATAAAGAATAGAAAAACGGTAGAAAATAAAAACATGGATACAAGACAACACCAAAAAAAATAAGTTGATTGTCCTGTCTGTCCCATCGCCCCTCTCCCTCCCCCTTCTAAGTAGGTGCGACCTATTCCCCCTCTCTCTCCACTTCTTTCCCTCTCCCCATCTCCCTCCCCCCAACGGGCTCATGTTGTGGACATACAGTGCCTTCATTTACATTTATCCAGAGCGACTTAGTTAGTGAGTGCATACATTTTCATACTGGCCCCCCGTGCTCTACCAACTGAGCTACAGGGGCCTTCAGAAAGTATTCAGACCCCTTGACCTATTCCACATTTTGTTGTTACAGCCTGAATTAAAAAACATATTTTTCTCACCCAATCTACACACAATACCCCATAATGACAAAGTGAAAACATGTTTTTAGACATTTTTGCAAATGTATTGATAATGAAATATAGAAATATATAATTTACATAAGTATTCACACCCCTGAGTCAATACATGTTAGAACCACCTTTCGCAGCGAATACAGCTGAGTCTTTCTGGGTTAGTCTAAGCTTTTCACACCTGGATTGTAGAATATTTGCACAATATTATTTCTAAAATTCTTCAAGCTCTGTCAAGTTGGTTGTTGATCATTGCTAGACAGCCATTTTCAAATTGACAGATTTTCAAGCCGATTTAAGTCAAAACTGTAACTAGGCCACTCAGAAACATTAAATGTTGTCTTGGTAAGCAACTTAAGTTTGTATTTGGTCATGTGTTTTAGGTTATTGTCCTGCTTGAAGGTGAATTTGTCTCCCAGTGTCTGTTGGAAAGCAGACTGAACCAGGTTTTCCTCTAGGATTTTGCCTGTGCTTAGCTCTATTCCGTTTATTTTTATCCTAAAAAACTCCCTAGTCCCTGCTGATGACAAGCATACCCATAACATAATGCAGCCACCACCATGCTTGAAAATATGAAGAGTGGTACTTAGTGACGTTGTGTGGGATTTGCCCCAAGCATAACACTTTGTATTCAGGACATCATAAAGTAATTTCTTTTGCCAATTTTTTTGCAGTTTTACTTTAGTGCCTTATTGCAAACAGGATGCATGTTTTGTCATGTTTTTATTCTGTACAAGCTTCCTCCTTTTCCCTCTCATTTAGGTTAGTATTGTGGAGTAACTACAATGTTGCTTGACTGCGGGACCGTACAGATAATTGTATGACTTGGGTACAGAAATAAGGCAGTCATTCAAAAATCATGTTAGACACTATTATTGTACACAGTGAGTCCATGTAACTTATTAAGCACATTTTTACTCCTGAACTTCTTTAGGTTTGCCATAACAAAGGGGTTGAATACTTATTGACTCAAGACCCCTGTAGTCCCTGTAGCTCAGTTGGTAGAACATGTCGCTTGCAACGCCAGGGTTGTGAAAATGTATGCACTCACGAACTGTAAGTCGCTCTGGAGAAGAGCGTCTGCTAAATTACTAAAATGTAAAAAAATACATTTAATCTTTAATTAATTTGTAAAAATGTCTAAAAACATCATTCCACTTTGACATTATGGGGTATTGTGTGTAGGCCAGTGACACAATCTCAATTTAATCAATTATAAATTCAGGCTGTAACACAACAGAATGTGGAAAACGTCAAGGGGTGTGAATACTTTCTGAAGGCACTGTATCAATGCTTTAAACAAAACATAATGGATAACTCGTCTTATGTTTGTACAGTTGTTTGGAGGAACAAGGGACATTAATAAAGTCAGCCTGCATACATCGGTATTCGATACAAATATTCAAAATACAGTTGATGAATTTAAACATGATTACATTAACTCATAATAAGCTTTTGACCTTTTTCGACTGCTCTATTGAATGTATCTAATGTCCTTTCCTTGGTGTTGTTCACACAAGCTATGGAGAGCTCTAGTGAAAGGACGTCAAGGAAGTTTTGTAGCCATTGAGTTATGCTGAGCTTATGTGGAGGCTTACATCTGGTCACCAACATTCTTTTTGCCGCAGTCAGTCCGGACAACAATACTCGTTTCTGGGGTACTGTGAGACTTAGTGAAGAGTCATCGTTCAACAATAAAAAATCTAAACCAATAAATACTGGGGAGACAGGGAATAGCAACACCTACTATGCTTGACACAGGCCTGGCAACCTGTGACCAAAAGGTCTTCACACTGCGGAAGTACCACATCATGTGCATGTAGGTTCCAATATTTATTTGACAACACAACAGACAATTTGGAGTAGGAGAAAGATCAAATAGAATCTGTGAATTAAAATCTATGAATTATTTTGTATTGTATTACTTGATGATTAATATTTCTGGAGGACATTGGGATATTATTTCACTCTTTTTCAGTCTGTATTTTGTTGGTAGTCTGTTATTCTTTATAGGCCTAATTGTTGTTGGACTGGCCTCTCCTCTGATGTGTTCAGGCATTCCTCAACCTCTCCCTAAAGTAGCCAGCCCATTAGCTGCAGGCTAAACATTCACCTGATGAAGAACAGTGTGGGTTTGCGTCCCAAATGGCACCCTACTCCCTATATAGTGCACTACTAGAGCCCTGGTCAAAAGTAGTGCACTATATAGGGTACCATTCAGGACTCAACCTGTGTTAGATGGTCACAGTGTGAATCCACTCTGGTTTGAACCCTGGTGAGGCTGTGCTGACAGGACGTAGCTGGAGGGAATGGCTCAAAGTAATGGGAAAGAGTGGCCCTTTTTTAAGCACCATTGTTTCCTGAGCAAAGTCTCTGGGAATTTGGTTTGACCCCTGTGACTTTCATGGTTGAAGGGTTAAGTGGTGTGTTAGAAGTGTAATCTCTCAATGGTGGATGGAGACCATTATCTATGTCTAAAATTAGATATTTTAATTGTGCTGAAAAGCAACAATTGAGTACTATTAAATGGGATCACTCTCTGTAGTGTAGGCCATATATAAGTGTTGTATTTGCCTGCTGACTTCAAAATGAATTTCCACGCAAATGGACAATAAAGTATATTGTATCGTTGAAGAAAATTAACATAAATGTGTATTTTTGCAGGGCATCGTGAAAGTGGACGTTCCCCCTACCTATGAACACCACCTGACCCATATACATGGAGGGCAAAGAAGAGATCAGTGACACAGACAGTGGTATCATTCTCCACTCTGGTAAGCACCAAGCCACCAAATACCTTTCAACTTGCATGACACTAACAGTTATTCACTATAACGGGATGCCTGTAGTGAGACATTAGTCAACATTCTTTCAAATTTGATATGCATGGGTTTTGGCCTAGAAACCTATTTGTGTTCTACTTATAACTAAGTAGTAAGCAAGCAAACCACACTATTCAAAAGTGGTTTATAGTCCTGTTATTTATTATTTTGTGCTCCATTTTCAAAGAAGATGCAGTGGCCATTACCAATGGTTTCTATAAACCAGTAGCTGAGCTATTGCTGGTCACTTTCTTCACCACATATGTCATTTAGTCACACGCTGTCTGCTTCCCACAATGGGAGATAATTGATCCAGACAGAATACGTTTTTTTTGTCATTGGCATGTTTTCTACTGTTTATTTTCTCCTGCATGGTTGCCATTCCGGTGGCAGTCACGCCTCTGGTGGCTTTCTCTGCTGTCTGTCAGTACCTGCAGGGATTGAGTTGATAATCTCTGAAAGCATGTGACACACAATGCAGCTGGCCTTGAGTCATTAGTAGCCCTGTGAATGAACTCAGGGTTGTATCCCAAATGGCATTCTACTCCCTATATAGTTCACTACTTTTGTGCTACCCGTAGGGGCACCCTTAGGGCTCTGGTCAAAGTAGTGCACTATGTAGGGAGTAGGCTGCCATTTGGGATGCAACCAGTTGTCGGTAGTCACAGCAGTGCTGGAGAGCCACCTAACTATTCCAGTAGTAGAGCAACAACATATTGTTTATCGCCTTGGTTTCACTCCCAGGTTGATCCTATCACACTTTCATGACAGTTTCAGTATCAGTTAATGAAACAGGGCAATTTCACGGTAGCAGAGTGACACACTCAGATTTTTCACTTTAAAATGTATGTCAAACAAAAACCAATGATTGCAAAATTAAACAAACCTTAAAATTCAATGCACAAAGAATACATTTAACAGTTTCCACACAACATTTTAGAAATGTTTTAAAAACCAGTCATTCTGCATAGAGTTGTATAGTTTAACTTTCCAATCATTGGTTTTTGTTTGACATACATTTTAAAATGAAAAATCTGAGTCTGTGTCACTCTGTTACCGTGGAATTGCCCAACAGTAAACAGTACAAGTACAGACACTCATTATCTCTCAAAAGAACCTTGTCTTGTCTAGGTGTCATCTTGGCTCATTATCTTCATTGTTGCTGCTCATGAGTGGGCAGAAACAAGTCAGGATTGGAGCAACCTTTCCTCGATTTGGACACCGTTTATTATCTCCAACCAGTTGGGTTATCTATATGAAATTGATAAGCAAGCATTACCAATTGTAAACTTGTGTCCAGCTATCTATAGCCTTGCTGTTTTCAACCCTGAGACCTCACAGTAGCCTCTTTGTCACTGTGTGTCCAAGGCCCTGATAGTCCTTGCAAGATTATGAAGGACGTGATCACTCATACCCGGGCCGTCAAACTCAAGCACCAGTCACTGGAGGACCGGCTAGAGCTCTGCCTACTGGAGCTGAAGAAACTCTGCATCCGAGAGGCTGTGAGTACCCCTGGATATAGTGTACACACACACACACACACACGCTCTCCACTCCACTCTATCAGGGTTCAGGTCGTTTTCACCATATCAGTGGGAATTTCCCCATAAGTGATACCATGACTGTGATGTCAACAGTTACACATTATTTAGACGGGGGGTGTTTGTTTCATAGTAGAATAGATGGAGGAGTGATGTTAATCAAGACCTAACAAAGGCAGAGTGGCCGATACGTAAGCTTAATAAACTAAAGTGATACTAGCAAGAGCAGTGTGCATGTTTTTCTGTTCTTTCGAGATGTTCATCAATAATTGCCTGGCAATCAAACTACTTAGCCGATAAAGGCTGCCCACAGTCTGAGCTGAAAAGCTTATTTGTTTTGGTGCTCCTGACCAATGAGAACACAACTGTCCCCTTCCCTTTCAGTCAGGCTGATTTGTTGGGCTTTTAAGTGAGACATGTTAGGGCAATTGGGAGGCAGCCAATGGACATTAAGTGTCCCTATTATACCACACTAGATTATCTCTCCCATATCTGTCTCTCAGAAATGAATTCAGCCCTAAGAATGTCACTGTGCCATCCGTCATCGTTACGAGCTATGGGAGAGCCAGTCCCCTGTAACAAGCTGCTGTTGAGGGAAACATTGAGTGTGCGTATGAAATGACACCCTATTCTCTATAAAGTGCACTACTTTTGCGATAGGTCTCTGGTCAAAGGTAGTGCACTATGTCTGATCATTCTTTTCTGTTGACAATTGGGCTTGGCTCGCCCGTCGGGACTTGTCCTGTCGAGGTATGCTGCCTGGAAGGAGGCTCTGATAACTCCTCTTCCTGCTCTCAGGAACAATACAGCGACTGAGATCATGACCAACACTTGTGACACTAGTGTTTGTGTCGGGGGGGGGATATACCTTTTTATGTAGATTAACTCAAAACAAACACAGGGTGTGTTATGTCTGTTCCCAAATGAAATCAGTAATATGCACTCTCACGCTCAGGTTGAGTGTAGATTTAGCTAGAGGGCAGGCCAGTTTGGTTGCATTCACTGGACAGGTGAGGCCCTGAGAATGTGTTGTGAAAGAGTAGGATTCTATGGAAAGGCAGCATTGCCTAACTGACACTTGAGAATGATCTCAAGTGTCAGTTGGGAAGCAGAAATGTTTGTACAATATTTCAAAATGAACTCAATGAGGGTTCACAAACCTGGTTGATTTGAAGGGAATGGGGACATATTACCTCTGAAGTAGCAGTGGTCCCCTCATAATGTTCTTACCTCCAACTAAATGGGCTCCAAAAGTATTGGGATAGTGACCATTTTTGTTGTTGTTTTGGCTCTGTACTCCAGCACTTTGGATTTGAAATGGTACAGGGACTATGCGGTTAAATTGCAGACTGTCGGCTTTAATTTGAGGGAATTTTCATCCATATCTGGTGACCCGTTTAGAAATTACAGCAATGATTACATCAAGCTTGTTTGATTTTGGTTGTGTTTCAGATAACTTTCTGCCCAATAGAAATGAATGGTAAATAATGTATTGTCATTTTGGAGTCACTTTTATTGTAAATAAGAATAGAATATGTTTCTAAACACTTCTACATTAATGTGGATGCTACCATGACTATGGATAGTCCTGAATGAATCGTGAAATAATAATGATGAGTGAGAAAGTTGGAGGCACAAATATCATACCCCCAAGACATTTTTGGGGGTATGATATTTGTGCGTCTAACTTTCTTACTCATCATTATTCACGATTCATTCAGGACTATCCGTAATCATGGTATTATCCACATGAATGTAGAAGTGTTTAGAAACATATTCTTATTTACAATAAAAGTGACGGCAAAATGACACATTATTTACCATTCATTTCTATTCGGCACAAAATGATCTGAAACACAACCAAAACAAACAGCAAATGCATCCAACAAGTTTGTAGAGTCACAAGCTTGATGTAATTATTGCGTGCTAGGAATATGGGACCAAATACTAAACTTTTGACTACTTTAATAAACATATAAGTGAATTTGTCCCAATACTTCTGGTCCACTAAAAGGGGGGGAATAGGTACAAAAAGTGCTGTAGTTTCTAAACAGTTTACCCGATATGGATAACAATACCCTCAAATTAAAGCTGACAGTCTGCACTTTAACCTCCATTGGATTTGAAATGATACAATGCCGAAGAGTCCAGAGCCAAAACAGCAAAACATGTCACTGTCACAATATTTTTGGAGTTCACTATATATTAACATACAGTACGTGATTTGTGTTTCATTAAAATCTGATTCAACACATTTTAACCAACTTAAATCTGGTGTCTTCTTTCCATGTCATATAGGAGCTAACTGGTCGGCTGTCTGCAGACTACCCTTTGCTGCCTGGGGAGCAGCCGCCTCAAATTCGCCAACGCATCGGAGCAGCCTTCAAACTAGACGAGCAGAGCATCCCACAGGGAACAGAGGTAAAGAGTCTGACAAGGGTTGGACATGGACACTATTGTCATTTACACTGACTCTTCCTTTAACAGTGGTTGTAAAAGTCCCACACACAGGTGTACTTAATACTGAAGGCCACTCCCGTGGTTCCCCTTAGGGAAATGTTTTGTTTCTTAATTCAATCCATCGCCCTACCTTCCTTGGCACCAGCCATCATTAGTCAGGCTTCTGTCATCGTAAGAGCCAGGAAGAGAGATTTGATGTTCAGCCACTACTTTCTGCCCAACGTCCTTTTGTCACTTCCTGTAGGACTCAGAGCTAAACTCTGTGGAAGCTGAGCTATCCCTTCAGCTGCAGATATACAAAGCGGCCCAAAGACTGTGCCATGAGGAACACCTCAGCAAGGCGGTGAAGAGAAGCCGGTTACAGCAGTGCAAGCGTGAGGAGAAGAAAGTCAAACAACTGCAGGAAACAGCATTTCAGCTGTGCCTACAGCACGGGCGGTCTTCACCACGGCCAGGCTGCATCAGCACACGGAGAGGTGAGCGACGCCCTACTGTCCAACTAATAAAACAACATTGACATCTCTGATCTGAGAGAAATGTAATTCCAGTGCCATTCCCATGGATTAATACAGTTGTTTGCTTTGCTTTTGTTTCCAGATCAGGGCACTTCTGATGATAGCGCTCTGTCGGATTCGGCACTGCTCGATGAAGGTTAGAGCGTTACTATGTGCAAAAATGACTCTTGTAAAATTATATAGATAAACATGCTCTGACAATAGCACCAGAGTACTCTCTTAACGTCATTATTTCTATTCTTCTCCAGAAGAGGTGATCAGTCAGTCATCTGAACCATCCGTGGAGCCCCCTCACCCAGGAGGACCAGTAGACCCTCCCCAGCCACCCCCAGGCCCCTCACACCCCCCTGGGCCTAGCCCCCACCAGCCACCCCCTACTACTCCAACCCTGGAGGAGCTACAGTCCAGCTTCAACACCAGCCTGGAATTGGAGCCCCCTCCCATTGAGCACTCCCCTTGGACCGAGTCCAGTCTGGACCAGCCTTACCAGAAGACCAAGAAGAAGTCACACTCATGTAGCAGCAAGTCAAGGTAAAGGCCAAGGGAGAACCCAGCGTGCCTCCTGTAATTTTATATGAACGCTACCCTTGAATTTATTGTACAGGAAATCCCAAGAATAGCTATAATGGAAGCCTCACGGGTTGGTGAAACCTCTCTTATACGCAAGCCATTATGTAGCCTAATATAAGATTGCCTTGACTTTTTGAATTCATGCATTTGTAGTGCTCTAAAATAAGCTTCATAGTTGAACCCAAATACACAGTTTACCAAACATTAGAAACACCTTCCTAATATTGAGTTGCACCAACCCCCCCACCCAATTCGTTGGGGCATGGACTCGTGTCGAAAGCGTTCCACAGGGATGCTGGCCCATGTTGACTTCAATGCTTCCCACAGTTGTCAAGTTGGCAGGATGTCATTTGGATGTTGGACCATTCTTCGTACACATGGGAAACTGTTGCGCGTGAAAAACACAGCAGCGTTGCAGTTCTTGACAAACCGGTGCGCCTGGCAGCTACTACTGTACCCCATTCAAAGGCACTTAAATCTTTTGTCTTGCCCATTCACCCTCTGAATGGCACACATACACAATCCATGTCTCAATTGTCTCAAGGCTTAACAATCCCTCTTTAACCTGTCTCCTCCCCTTCTTCTACACTGGTTGAAGTGGATTTAACAAGTGACATCAATAAGGGATCATAGCTTTAAACTGGATTCACCTGGTCAGTCTGTCATGGAAAGAGCAGGTGTTCCTAATGTTTTGTATACTCAGTGTATACAAAATATGCTTTGGCAGCATTTATCTGCAACTTAAACTCCATTTGATATTTGAAAAAAGTGTTCCTTTTGAAGTGGTTTTGCTAAAGTTGGCATTAAGGCGTACTTTGGTATTTCGGGGAGGATATTACTTGGGAACATTTTGATTCAAGTCACAACTTGTCTTTGAGTGGCAGCGCAAATAGACTGAGACAAGGGCACATGGAACAGGTTTAAGCATGGAAAGCACATGCACTCATTTGGCCCCCTCATGGCTTGTTTTTCATCTGAATGAAAACATCTTCAGGGTTTAGTCATTAACCCTCTTATCTCTCCTTCCTGTCCATGTTACCTTTCAGCAGTAGTCCAGCCGTGACCCCTGTGTTGCCTCCAGTGGAAGCCTGTTATGAAGACACTGCTCTGCCCCTGCAGTTCTCCTCCCATCTCAGACTGTGCCACACCCAGTCAAACAGCGCCCCCTCCACCCCGGAGATGCACCTTCGCCGCCAGCTCTCTCTCAGGTCAGCACATTTAAATGTTTTATATTTAGATTTTGGTCTTTTAGCAGATGCTCTTACAGTGAGGGGAAAAAAGTATTTGATCCCCTGCTGATTTTGTACGTTTGCCCACTGACAAAGAAATGATCAGTCTATAATTTTAATGGTAGGTTTATTTGAACAGTGAGAGACAGAATAACAACAAAAAAATCCAGAAAAACACATGTCAAAAATGTTATAAATTGATTTGCATTTTAATGAGGGAAATAAGTATTTGACCCCCTCTCAATCAGAAAGATTTCTGGCTCCCAGGTGTATTTTATACAGGTAACGAGCTGAGATTAGGAGCACACTCTTAAAGGGAGTGCTCCTAATCGCAGTTTGTTACCTGTATAAAAGACACCTGTCCACAGAAGCAATCAATCAATCAGATTCCAAACTCTCCACCATGGCCAAGACCAAAGAGCTCTCCAAGGATGTCAGGGACAAGATTGTAGACTTACACAAGGCTGGAATGGGCTACAAGACCATCGCCAAGCAGCTTGGTGAGAAGGTGACAACAGTTGGTGCGATTATTTGCAAATGGAAGAAACACAATCTCCCTCAGCCTGGGGCTCCATGCAAGATCTCACCTCGTGGAGTTGCAATGATCATGAGAACGGTGAGGAATCAGCCCAGAACTACACGGGAGGATCTTGTCAATGATCTCAAGGCAGCTGGGACCATAGTCACCAAGAAAACAATTGGTAACACACTACGCCGTGAAGGACTGAAATCCTGCAGCGCCCGCAAGGTCCCCCTGCTCAAGAAAGCACATATACAGGCCCGTCTGAAGTTTGCCAATGAACATCTGAACGATTCAGAGGAGAACTGGGTGAAAGTGTTGTGGTCAGATGAGACCAAAATCGAGCTCTTTGGCATCAACTCAACTCGCCGTGTTTGGAGGAGGAGGAATGCTGCCTATGACCCCAAGAACACCATCCCCACCGTCAAACATGGAGGTGGAAACATTATGCTTTGGGGGTGTTTTTCTGCTAAGGGGTCAGGACAACTTCACCGCATCAAAGGGACGATGGACGGGGCCATGTACCGTCAAATCTTGGGTGAGAACCTCCTTCCCTCAGCCAGGGCATTGAAAATGGGTCGTGGATTGGTATTCCAGCATGACAATGACCCAAAACACATGGCCAAGGCAACAAAGGAGTGGCTCAAGAAGAAGCGCATTAAGGTCCTGGAGTGGCCTAGCCAGTCTCCAGACCTTAATCCCATAGAAAATCTGTGGAGGGAGCTGAAGGTTTAAGTTGCCAAACGTCAGCCTCGAAACCTTAATGACTTGGAGAAGATCTGCAAAGAGGAGTGGAACAAAATCCCTCCTGAGATGTGTGCAAACCTGGTGGCCAACTACAAGAAACGTCTGACCTCTGTGATTGCCAACAAGGGTTTTGCCACCAAGTACTAAGTCATGTTTTGCAGAGGGGTCAAATACTTATTTCTCTCATAAATTGATTTGCATTTTAATAAAAATGTTGACGTGTTTTTCTGGATTTTGTTGTTATTCTGTCTCTCACTGTTCAAATAAACCTACCATTAAAATTATAGACTGATCATGTCTTTGTCAGTGGGCAAACGTACAAAATCAGCAGGGGATCAAATACTTTTTTTCCCTCACTGTATAGAGCAACTTAGTCAGTGCATTCAACCATTTGTATATTTTATCCACACTGTCCCCACACTGCTTACATTTTGAAACTGTCTCACTTGATCTTTCAAATGATTGTTTCATTTTGTACAGTTTTGGCCTAGTTTGTAATGCTTCTATGTGATATTTTACAGGCTTCCCAACAGTGAGCCTCCGTTGAACCTGGATAAGGACCGGGGTCGTACCCGTGTTCCCAGGAGGCTACTGACGGATTACGTTGTAACTTCTCCAGGCGAGTCCCCCGTCCAGAGGGGAGGATACAGAAACCCCATTTACAACTCCAACTCTGAGACTGAGGACAGTAACTCTGAACACTCTGCCCTATCCTACACTAGCTCCCCGTGTCATGAGATGCCCTGTGACCTGCCAAGGCAGTGTCAGCCCACCTATAGGTACCAACATTCCAGCCCCAACAACAATCATGGACCAATGGCCTACCCCCCAGGCCCCGGCTTCTACCAAAACCACCAGCACCAGTCCACCCCCAGCTTCCACAGGGGTTACTATGACCACGGGATCTACCCCTCAGAGATGGACATGGCCAGGCTGTATCACGGCCCTCTGCCCCCCTGTCACTCCAGTCGATATGAGCACTGGTATGAGGAGGCCCCTGTGCACCCCCAGCGGGCTCTCACGCCCCTGCCCCCCCACATCAGACTGTCCCGCGCCCCCTCGCTCAGAGAGTACCCCCACCACCCCTCCAGAGGCTTCCCCCGGCAGGTGGTAAACGAGGAGCTCAAGTCATGGCACCAGCGCAACCAGTTCAGACCTCGCTCCCTGGACAGACAGGTTGCGGACAGGGTGAGGAACGTACCTGGCTGCGACTCACCTCTTTCCCACCACCACAAATACCCTGAACAGGTAAACAGCCACGACAGCACTTCACTCACTACATGATTACAATGTAGTTGCCCAATCTTAAGTTACTGCCTTTGCGGAATTACTGTCAGCACCACCTTATTACTGAATATCACTGGAATATAAAACTGTTCAGTCGGTGTCGGCAGGCTTTTAACAGGAGAAGGGAATTTCTAATTAGTTAAGATGGATCCTTCTGAGGTGCTGTGTCCTGTCTGCAAGTTCCATGGAATCAACAGAACTCTTTAAAATGTTTGTGCCGTATCTTAATAGTCTTTACAAGCTAACTTTGTGTTATAATTAACTTTGTTTGGCAATCACACCTGACACACAAGTATTACCTCCATGAACTAGTAAGCACACTATGAGGAAAGGAGTCATTGGACAAAATGGAACTGTTCAATGATACTCGTCTCAGCACGTTTTATGACATCCAATTGTTGTTTTGAATTGTTCAGGAGCCACCGTTCACACAATATCGTATTTCTGGTCCCATTGTCCAATTCACGCTCACTGAATTGCATTGAGAGAGAGAGAAACTATGATCCACTTGGTACGTCCCAAATGGCACCTTATTCCCTACATAGTGCACTACTTTTGGCTAGAGCCCTATTGGCCTTTGTAAAATGCAGTGCACTATAGAGGGCCATTTGTGATGCACACACTGTTTTCCAGCCCCACCCCATGGCGTCCTTATTGCTGTTTTGTCAGCCTCACAGATAGCTCGCACACTATGCGTCATAAAACGCTGCGCATGACCCTGAGTATTCTCTCAGGACGCAGCCTATTTAGTTACATACTTTATCAATCTAAAATTAACCTCATGCCTGATAAAGAACTGCCACTTAAATTAACTACAATGATTTGTAATCTTTTGAGTTCAGATACAGTTTAAGAAAATCTATGGAGGCAGGTGGTGAGTCAATGTGATCTTGAGACATTGAAATTGTTATAATATGAGAGGCAGTTGGTATCCTGAGTTCTCTCCAGAGGGCAAGGCATGGGAAAGGTCATACGTAAGTGTAAAACCCAGGTGCCACATTCCTGTATCGTTTTACTGTCTTTACTCTTCAGCGATGATTTATATTGCATGGGGTTGGAAAAGCATGGGCAGCTGTAGTACAGTAGTGGATCTAATATTTCTCAGTAGCTTTTGGGTCGAGTATTTCTCAGTAGTGGTGACCTTTCTTCATTTGAGGGGAAATTCTGTTCACAGAAAGTAAATCAGGTTTGAGAGACGTTCAGACAGCTGCAGTGTGGGAGAGAACATGCGTGTGGCCCTCCCATAGTCAACATCACCACTGAATCACGCAACGTCACGCTGAGTGACTCACTGTAGGGAAAAACACCACACCCTTGTTGTAGATCAGCTGCTGAAAGCCAAGCATTTTGAGACATCATGGCTGAACTCATCATGTTTTGATTTGGTTTGAATGTTTATGACCTTCTCATTATGGAGCTCTAAATGGTGAAGTTATACCACACAGTGCTATGTACCTTATTTCCTTTAACATCACATTTGTGTCTCCAACTTCCTGGTGTTGTGAGAAGTGAGTAATACAGCAGCTGAGGGCTTGGTCTCTGCTGTCACTCCTTGCCCTGAAGGGTTGCAGGGAACTACAAGCAGAAACAGCATTGTGCTTGTAGGCACTGATCTACTTTGTTGCCTTCTCTCCATACTGTGACCTTCCAATAATGTTATTGCTAGTGATATTTAAAAGTATAACTCTGTTAGTACTGACTTGATAAACCAGACATTGAAATGTTCCCTGTTTTTGTTATCCCGTCTGCAGGCTCCCCAGAGACGGGTCCTCCAGAGGGCAGCGGATGGGACCCCGGTGCAGTGGTTTGTGGGAGACGACTCGGAGCTCGTCAGTCAGGTGTAGGACTAGGGAGAGGGCCCCGAGTGCCACACCCTCTCTGGAACACTCTGACCTCCGGCCCACAAAGCCCTATTTATTCATTAATTTATTACACCAATGAACCTGGTGCTGATATGAGATGAGCGAGAGACTGGGCATAATATCAAAGCAGACCTGAGGCTTTATACCATTGACCTCAAAATGTTACCCGGGCAACAACAAATGATCAACTGAAGGCATGAATTAACAGACCACAATGTTACCATGGTGCCTACCTTTTTACTGTGAAAAAGCTACTGTTTTGAACATAATTTCATGGTTAGTTTGTTAGCTGTTTTTTGTACGGATCTGTTGTGTTTAGTACTATGAAAAATCTTTCTAAAATATGTATTGTTTTTCTAAAAAAAATCTTTCTCTGTAGAAGTTAATAAATAATTAAATAAAGATTTATACTGTTAATCCTGTCAGTGTCATTCTGTTGTAAATTAAACTTTCTTCAGAGTTGGGAATTCAATTCCAACAGGAATGTGGACCTGTCAAATATTTTGTTTAATTGAATCAGAATAAGTACCAGTATTATTTTGTCATCAGTCGTACATTCAGCGTTGAAGATGCACTATCTTTATCAATGTACTATTTACCTGACAGATATTTGAAGCAAAACACTTCACTGGCAACCGAGTTCAACTGATGCCTTTATTTCTCACCTTTCACCACCTGGTTGTGGACATATATTACGCCATTGATAAACCATTATTTTATAATGCATATGAATGCACTTTTTGTACATAGATAAATGGTACTTAAAAGTTCGAATATTTTGCTATGGATGTCACATTGAACAATACATACCACAAAACACAGTGATCCTATGTTATTCTAAATAAAATATCTCATTTGTTTCACGTATCCTATGAATGATATTCATATTAATAGTTGTAATCAGTTTGTCCTTTTTTTGTTTACATAAGCTATTAGTCATTTAGCTGACTGGCTAAAACGGGCACTTTTACAGTAATGTTGATTAATGTCCCTGTAAAACTAAATTTAATAAAGTAAAGTATTTGTTTCAATAATTAAACAAAAGTTTGTATCGACCCAATCTCTTCTGAAATGTACCCATGTTATTTGTAGCCTACCCATGATTGGACCTCAATCGAACCTCTCGTTGTGGCACTCTTGCGCAGTAAAGCCATACTTGACAATCGTTTTTAGAGGTACGTTTATTTTTCTCAATACAACCGAAGTTACAGACGCGGCGACAGCTAATAGTTTGAGGAAAAATCACATTTACCCATTCATTCAATATGGAAAGATCTCTCATGCTGCACACCAATCTAGCAGAGGAGCTTTGGTCAATTCAAGATAAAACACTTCCACTTGGATCTAAGCGTAGACTTCGAGAAGAGAACTTTGAGAGGAACTGAAACGCTTCAGCTGAAATGCATCCAAGATTCTCAAAGCGAGTTACTGTTGGACATTCACCCCTCTCTCTCAATGCAAGAGGTGTCCTACTGCCGAAGTGAAGATGATTCGGATTTGGTTAAAGTAGAATTTCTCACGCGCAACTTCACCACTTATGGCACCACCCTGGTTGTAAATGTCCCATCACCATGTATAATTGAGGAGTTTCGATTAGTGGTCAAGTATGTTGCCTCCGATGGACCAGGGGTAAGAGAACGTCATTCACCCGTCCTAACTAGAACCAATCTACCTATCAACCACGGAAGTAGACCTGTTATTTAGAGATGATTGGTTCCTCAGAAATTATTTCTATAGAGTCCCACGGTGAAGGAATCACAATACCCATAAAACCTAGTGATCAAACGGAAATGGTTCCAATCGTTTTTCTACCATTCATTTCCCCCATAGGGAATTTTAGAAACACTTAAAATAAGGGCAGTGTTTTGTGTCGGCTTACCCTGGCGTGACGTTTTGATAACCATGTGACAAGGTGACATGTCAATATATTAATCTCAATTTACTCTGATTCGAAAATGCTAATTAGCGTCAAAGTAGACATCATGCAAGATTACAAATCCCTGCAAGCTCCTGCACGTCATCTCTAGCTGACACCTTTGCTAACAGGTATTGTGTCAATTTAAAACTTGCACAAGACAGTTCACAGAATTGTCAATTTAAAGAAATGTAGCCAATTTCTTCGTTACTAAATTTATGTACACATTAGATAGTTAATCCAGAGATTCTTACATTTGCCTCGATTCGTCAGTCTCGTCCAGATCATAATGGCATTTATACACTGAACAAAAATATAAATGCAGCATGCAACAATTTCAAAGATTTTACTGAGTTACAGTTCATATAAGGAAATCAGTCAATTGAAATAAATTCATTCGGCCCTAATCTATGGATTTCACATGACTGGGAATACAGATATGCATCTGTTGGTCACATATACCTTTAAAAAAAGAAAGTAGGGCCGTGGATCAGAAAACCAGTCAGTATCTGGTGTGACCACCATTTGCCTCATGCAGCGCGACACATCTCCTTCGCATAGAGTTGATCCGGCTGTTGATTGTGGCCTGTGGAATGTTGTCCAACTCCTCTTCAATGGCTGTGTGAAGTTGTTGGATATTGGCAGGAACTGGAACACGTGGTCGTACCCGTCGATTCAGAGCATCCCAAACATGCTCAATGGGTGACATGTCTAGTGAGTATGCAGGCCTTGGAAGAACTAGGAAATGTTCAGCTTCCAGGAATTGTGTACAGATCTTTGCAACATGGGGCCATGCATTATCATGCTGAAACATGAGGTGATGGCGGTGGATGAATGGCACGTCAATGGGCCTCATGATCTCGTCACGGTATCTCTGTGCATTCAAATTGCCATCGATAAAATGCTATTGTGTTCGCTGTTCGAAGCTTATGCCTGCCCATACCATAACGCCACCGCCACCATGGGGCACTCTGTTCACAACGTTGATGTCAGAAAAGCGCTCACCCACACAACGGCATACATGCTATGCTGTCTGCCATCTGCCCGGTACAGTTGAAACCGGGATTCATATGTGAAGAGCACACTTCTCCAGCGTGCTAATGGCCATCGAAGGTGAGCATTTGCCAACTAAAGTCTGTTACGATGCCAAACTGCAGTCAGGTCAAGACCCTGATGAGGATGACCAGCACGCAGGTGAGCTTCCCTGAGATGGTTTCTGACAGTTTGTGCAGAAATTCTTCAGTTGTGCAAACCCACAGTTTCATCAGCTGTCTGGGTGGCTGGTCTCAGAAGAAGCCGGATGTGGAGGTCCTGGCTAAATTACACATGGTCTGCGGTTGTGAGGCCGGTTGGACGTACTGCCAAATTCTCTAAAATAACGTTGGAGGCGGCTTATGGTAGAGAAATGAACATTCAATTCTCTGGCAACAGCTCTGGTGGACATTCCTGCAGTCAACATGCCAATTGCACGCTTCCGCAAAACTTGAGACAGCTGTGGCATTGTGTTGTGACAAAACTGGCCTTTTATTGTCCTCAGCACCAGTGTAATGATCATGCTGTTTAATCATCTTCTTAATCAGCTTCTTGATATCTGTCAGGTGGATGGATTATCTTAACAGAGGAGAAATGCTCACTAACACGGATGTAAGCAAATTTGTGCACAACATTTGAGAGAAATAAGCTTTTTGTGCATCTGAAAAATGTCTAGTGTCTTTTATTTCAGCTCATGAAACATGGGACCAACACTTTACATGTTGCATTTATATTTATGTTCAGTATAGTTCTTTATGATAGCAGCAAATTAGCGTTAAATTTTTTGGGGTTAAATACAGGTGAATATATTGATAAAAGTCACCTTGTCCTAGAGAGATTTACATGGTTATCAAAACATCATGCCAGGGTAAGCCTATGTGAAACAAAGCCCTTATTTTCATTGTTTCTAAAATCCCCTATGGGAAAAATGAATGGTGGAAAAAACTGGAACCATTTCCTTGTTTGACCGCTAGGTTTTATGGGTATTTTGACTCATACTGTTGTACTCTATTAGAACCTCCTTATAGCTCAGTGATTAGAACCTACAATCCCTGGTATTCAACTGGGGGTACTGCAGGCAGTCCGCAAATTTTGTTTTGTTTAAATAAATAAAATAAATATAATATTTTAAAATGTTTTTATGAATATCGCTAGCAACAACAGAATAAACTAATTGTGAATTACATACCTACAGTAGAAAAGAGGAGAATATATTATTTCTAATGATGTTAACTTTATTTCTCAACTCCTAATATTGAGCAAATTACACTCATTGAAGCCAATTACACTTAGTGGTATATCTGACATAGGCTTTGAAAAAACACCCGCAAAAGGTTACCAGTGCAGCAAGTGCCGCTGGCTGCTTTAAGCGTTCTTGACTTGGACATTCATTTTTGCCAACACATGGCTAACCTTTGTTTAAACAGCTGCTCTTAGCTAAAATGTTTTTGGAGTTACCTTTCAAGCTAATAGGCTGTGTTACAGTTGACACTTCCTCTTCCAGTTATAATGTGGGAAGGTCAAAATAATGAAAAACTATCTACCAAATCTATTCATTGCGATGTTGATTACTTCTCCTTGCCATTATTATTCACCTGATGATAAGATGTGAAAATGTGCTAACGTATGATGGGGGTCCCTGGGCCGCCGGTTTGCCTGGGAGGGGGTCCCTGGGCAAGAAACTGTTGAACACCCCTGCTGTAACCCATACAGTAAAGATTATTGAAAACCTTTTTCTTTTGAAATTAGATCAACTAGGTTGTCTATGCGTTAATAATTTATAGCCAGCAGCATTGCATGATTTTAGTTTCACTTAATTTCTTGCAAGTATTTTTTATGTGCAACACGAGTGCCTATTCATGAAAAAACAGTGGTTCTCCCTAAACCACTGCACCACCCTTATTAAACCCAGCGTACATCTGTAGATGTCATGGCTGGAGCCTGCCCAGGCTGGCGAGAAGAAGGAGCCCTTGATTGAGAGCCCCTACTCATCTGCTGTGAAGGTAACGTGTGCCCCTACCATCACACTCAAGCCCTGGTCTCTCTGCCCCCCCTGACCCACTAGGTGTGCTGGCTGGAATCAGAGCAGACGGCTTGGAAAGCCAAGCCCTACATCTTCACCCAGGGCCAGGCCTTGGATGCTGAACTGTCTAAATCTCTTTACAGTTTGCCAAGTTTTTTTAGGCCAAGTAAGGAGCATATTTTGATAGTGTCAAGTATTCTGCTTCTAGTAGTGCTCTTGTCCTTCTAGACCTGTCTGCTGCCTTTGATACTGTGAACCATCAGATCCTCCTCTCCACCCTCTCCGAGCTGGGCATCTCCGGCGCGGCTCACTCTTGGATTGCGTCCTACCTGACCGGTCACTCCTACCAAGTGGCGTGGCGAGAAGCTGTCTCCGCACCACGTGCTCTCACCACTGGTGTCCCCCAGGGCTCAGTTCTAGGCCCTCTCCTATTCTCGCTATACACCAAGTCACTTGGCTCTGTCATATCCTCACATGGCCTCTCCTATCATTGCTACGCTGACGACACACAACTAATCTTCTCCTTTCCCCCTTCTGATAACCAGGTGGCGAATCGCATCTCTGCATGTCTGGCAGACATATCAGTATGGATGACGGAACACCACCTCAAGCTGAACCTTGGCAAGACGGAGCTGCTCTTCCTCCCGGGGAAGGACTGCCTGTTCCATGATCTCGCCATCACGGTTGACAACTCCGTTGTGTCCTCCTCCCAGAGTGCGAAGAGCCTTGGCGTGACCCTGGACAACACCCTGTCGTTCTCCGCTAACATCAAGGCGGTGACCCGATCCTGTAGGTTCATGCTCTACAACATTCGGAGAGTACGACCCTGCCTTACAAAGGAAGCGGCACAGGTCCTAATCCAGGCACTTGTCATCTCCCGTCTGGATTACTGCAACTCGCTGTTGGCTGGGCTCCCTGCCTGTGCCATTAAACCCCTACAACTCATCCAGAATGCCGCAGCCCGTCTGGTGTTCAACCTTCCCAAGTTCTCTCACGTCACCCCGCTCCTCCGCACACTCCACTGGCTTCCAGTTGAAGCTCGCATCTGCTACAAGACCATGGTGCTTGCCTACGGAGCTGTGAGGGGAACGGCACCTCCGTACCTTCAGGCTCTGATCAGTCCCTACACCCAAACGAGGGCATTGCGTTCATCCACCTCTGGCCTGCTGGCTCCCCTACCTCTGCGGAAGCATAGTTCCCGCTCAGCCCAGTCAAAACTGTTCGCTGCTCTGGCACCCCAATGGTGGAACAAGCTCCCTCACGACGCCAGGACAGCGGAGTCACTCACCACCTTCCGGAGACATTTGAAACCCCACCTCTTTAAGGAATACCTGGGATAGGATAAAGTAATCATTCTACCCCCCCCCTTACCCCAACCCATCCCCCCCCCCAAAAAAAAAAAAAAAAACATTGTAAAGTGGTTATCCCACTGGCTATAAGGTGAATGCACCTTTTTGTAAGTCGCTCTGGATAAGAGCGTCTGCTAAATGACGTAAATGTAAATGTAAATGTGGTCCTCTGTAGCTCAGTTGGTAGAGCCTGGTGCGTGTTACGCCAGGATAGTGGATTCGATTCCTGGGACCACCCATACGTATAAATGTATGCAAGTGTGACTGTAAGTCGCTTTGGATAAAAACATCTGCTAAATGGCATGTATTATAGACCTGAGGTTACGTACAGGACAGTCAATATTCCTCTCCTGTCAAAAGCATTTATCGATACCATAACCTGGGTGTGTTGATCATTGAACCACAACATGCAATCTCAGTTTCAGACTGAATAGAGAGATGAGAATCAAATAGCAGGATGAAAGTTCAACTTCAATGGACTTTGAACTTGAGTAAAAACTGCACTTTCCACTTAGAGGCTATATAATGCTGCTGAAGAATATGCACGATAGTGTTTGCCTATGGCGTTTCAATACCTGGTAGTCATTGTAATTCTGTATTTTTTAGGACCCGAGTGTGGACAGAGCCATGCCTGCTGCAGGCAGCCAAGCAGGAGTATGACAGAGTCATCGAGGAGTTCCTGGTCGTTGGGGAGAAACTATTTGGACCCTACATCTGGGGAAGGTGAGATTCCCCAATAAACAATATGTCCAATACTTCAGTGGTCAGTCAACAACCCTGGTTCTGAAGAGCTACAGCGTGTGGATTTTGTTCCAGCACTGGACTAAAACACCAGACCTGACAACAGCTCAACAAGAATTTGATTAGTTGAAAAGTCAATGCACTCTGTAGCTCTTTCGATGACTAGGGATGGTGACCACCGACTTGGAGCTTGCAGTGACATGACTTCTTCTGCTTATAGACATACAGCTACATCATTGGTTCTGCCCGTCAGGTATGACGTGCTGTTCAAGCCGCCGTTGTTCCCCTTCGGGGGTATGGAGAATCCCTGCCTCACCTTCATCACCACCTGCATCCTGGCCGGAGACCGCTCGCTTGCTGACGTCATTGTGCACGAGATCTGTCACAGCTGGTTCGGTAACCTGGTAACCAATGGCAACTGGGGCGACTTCTGGCTCAACGAGGGCTTCACCATGTACGCCCAGCGCCGGGTGTGCAGGGAGCACTACGGTAAGATACTGTCAATTTAATAAATCACATTTATTTTATAAAGCCTTTTCTATATCAGCACAGTACATCACTTTGTCAAAGTGTTTTGCAGTAGACTGTAGACTGACTTTGCCTCACATAGTATGATGGGCTCATCCTCAAGTCCCACAACTTTTTCCATTTGAAAGTTAACAGGGGTTGTCTACACAGCTATTTGTTTTTTGTCTCCAAAGTAAACGTGCACACCTGGCTGTATTATCTCTTTCAAAGCCCTGATGTGTATTGGGTTGTTGTTATTTGCAGGAGAGGCCTACTCTAGTCTGGAGGCAGCGACTGGGAGGGCTTTACTCAGACAACACAGCAAAGGACCACCCACTCAACAAACTGCATGTGAAGATCAAACCAGGTCAGACTTGGCTTACATTTACCCTTTACTGCTAAGGCCATGTCCAATTTAATTAGTAGTTCAACCGACTGAGATTTTGCCTTAAGCTGCAGACCCAAAATAACTGATACACTCGATCACGACTACTCAAGTTAAAGCAACAAATGTCATCTGTATTTTCTCCCCTCCCTCCGGTGTTTACCCTGATGACACCTACAATGACACGTCCTATGAGAAGGGCTTCTGTTTTGTCTCCTACCTGGCCCACCTGGCTGGCGACCAGAGTTGTTTCAATGCCTTCCTCAACGTTACTGTTACTTTTCATTCTGTATATATTACTGTGCTACTCATCAGTAAACACACTAAGAATGTCTGCTTGATAGAACATTTTTTAAAGGTTATTACATAAGCACCATCCCTCTCCTGACTGTCCTACTTGACAGAAATGAAGGCTTCTTGCACGTAGTAGGCTATTTTGCAGAGAGTACATGGGAGGGTATGAGGGCAACAGTCTGACATGTGGGTGTTTCTTCTCACAGGCCTATATTGACAGGTTCAAGTTCCACAGTGTTATGGCAGAGGATGCCCTGGAGTTCTTCCTGGAGTATTTCCCTGACCTGAAGAAGAAAGGAGTGCACAAGATTGAGGGTAAAAGGCAGTGTAGTTGACTGTAGACCGTGTCTTTAAGCATGAGAGTGAGCTTGTAACAGCAAACTGACCTCTCACTCTCCCTGTGGTTCCTTTGCTAGGTCTGGAGTTTGATAGCTGGCTCAATGTGCCTGGTTGGCCTCCCTATCTCCCTGACTTGTCGGCTGGCCAGAGCCTGATGAAGCCTACTGAGCAGCTGTCAGAGCTGTGGGCTGTCGAGGGCCTGGATATGGCCAGCATCAAGAAGACCAACATCCAGGCTTGGAAGACTTACCAGACTGTCTATTTCCTGGAGAAGATCATAGAGAAGTCCCCACTTCCTAGAGGTAGGACACGATGGTAGCAACACTTCTGCACTGATACCCCTAGCACTATCATTGTACTGGATATACATGTGATTTACCAGTATGTGATTCACCCCAATTCATCAGTGTGCGGATATCTATCTATTCTTTATTTCATTACTTTATGTTTTGTACATTGCACCTGTAAGTCTGGATGTGCGTAAAGTACTTTTAAAATTAGTCACACCAATCATGTACCTTCACTCTTACTTTGATAAGGTAATATGGAGAAACTGGAGGAGCAGTACCCTCACATCATAAGTCAAACAACGCTGAGCTACGACTGCGCTGGGCCCAGATAATTTCCAAGAATCAGCACCAGCCAGGATATCAACATGTGCGCAGCTTACTCAGCTGCCAGGTTAGAAAAACAAATGCATTTGGTCCTCAACCATCAATTACAGTATTTGTCAAGCAAGTGTTTTAGGCCAGTTTAATGTTTTATTATAGTAAATATAATGTATATATTTATGATATAGCAGATGTTTGTTTTTTTGTGTCAGTTTAAAGTTAAATTAGTGTTTTTCAAGTATCTTAAAAGATCATGTAAATAGTAGTATCTTAGCAATAATATATGAATAAATAGATAGTTTCATTGTATCTTGCTCCCAGGGGAAACAGATGTACACACTGCTTGTGTACCGTGCACTGTGGAATGGATCGGAGGAGACCAGGGCTCTGGCCACAGAGATCTTCAGTGCCACCTCACATCAGCTCCACGTAAATGTCCGCAACTACGTCAAGAAGATCATCGCCTGAGTGTCATCATAGGAGCTGAACATGAGATCCAGAGTGTAGTCTAGCTAACCCTGGCCTAGAGATATTATAGAGGAGGAGTAGCAGTAGTGGTCTTTCCCAGTACTTTTTAGATGGCCTCCGTTCCTTAAATGTACTGTACCAGGTCAGGTTGAGATGCCAATATCATCTTGTTTTTTCTGTAGCCTGGTCAGTGTCACAGGAAAAGAGGCAATTTTACATATTTCACATGGAGCTTGTATGGTAAATTCTTTGCATACTGTGGGAGGGCTTAAGACCATAATTAAGCTGTATTTATGATTATTATTATCTTTTTACAAAAAGTGGATTTAAGGAAAAATTAAATTACTACTTAGATGTATTGAGTATGTTGGAAAACAGTTTGATTGTGTTTTTTCATCCAAACTAAGCTGTATTTTAAACTGTTCCAAACAGTAAAAATACATTATTTTGAAGTAAATCTGTAGTGGTTGGTGTTTTTCCCCTGAAAGATTCAATGTATATTATTGCTTTCATTCCCTATTCGCCATTAACTGTATACTTTATTTTACTACACTGAACAAAAATATAAACGCAACATGTAAAGTGTTGGTCCCATGTTTCATGAGCTGAAATAAAAGATCCCAGAAATGTTCCATACACACAAAAAGCTGATTTCTCTCAAATTTTGTGCACAAATTTGTTTACATCCCTGTTAGTGGCATTTCTGCTTCTCTCCAACGGAAGTTGTACATATTTGGTGTAACCGCTAAATACGCCCTCCCACAACTCAATTCTTTTTGAGGTGTGGCTTCTTTGATGAGAAGCTAACTAGATAGCCAAGTACTTCTTCGCTTCACCAATGTGACCTTGCTCTGAGGATTCAGAATCGCCATGAAGTACGCATTGGTAAGAATATCCTGTCGAAATTATTTCCAGGGTTGCTTTGGTTTCACCTTTTATCTGTGATAGTAGTAAATTAGCCAGTCAGCTAACGTTCGCTAACGGTACTTTGATAAGTTAAACAGAGCAGTAACAAGGCACTGCAACTGTCACTCACTGTCAGATAATTTATCTGCCCTTAACTGGTCATATTATGTCAAAGTAAATGCACATAATTGGAAGATTTGGCTCTGAGATTGACCTGATTTAAAATATCACAAACTAGCCTAGTACAGTTAGCTAAGTGACTCAAGTATAGTAAGCATTTCGTTGGACAGTGTATACCATGTGTATCCTGTACATCCGGCTAATAAATGTTTTAACTCATGTTGTAAACTTGTGCAGGCGACTCATCTTGGCTAGCTGTCAGCCAAGCAACCAACTGTGCTGGTACATCTGTCACCGTGTTAACAGCCTTCTAAGCAAACAAATGAAGCTTATTTCACCTTAGACAATTGCCAATACCATAATTGACTGAACAAAAATATAAGTAAAATAAAGTGTTGGTTTCATGAGCTGAAATAAAAGATCCCAGAAATGTTCTATGCACAAAAAGCTTATTTCTCCCAAATGTTGTGCACAAATGTGTTTACATCCCTGTTAGTGAGCATTTCTCCTTTGCCAAGATGATCCATCCACCTGACAGGTGTGGCATATCAAATCAAAAAAAAAAAGATTTGCCACATGCGCCGAATACAACCGGTGTAGTAGACCTTACAGTGAAATGCTTACTTACAAGCCCTTAACCAACAATGCAGTTATTTTTTTAAGTAAAAAAAGTGTTAAGTAAAATAAAAATAAAAGCAAATAACTAAAGAGCAGCAGTAAAATAAAATAACAGTAGGGAGGCTATATACAGGGGGTACCGGTACAGAGTCAATATGCGGGGGCACCGGCTAGTTGAGGTAATATGTACATTAAAGTGAGTTAAAGTGACTATGCATAAATAATAAACAGAGTAGCAGCAGCGTAAAAGAGGGGGATGGGGTGGGGTGGGGGGCAGTGCAAATAGTCCGAGTAGCCATGATTAGCTGTTCAGGAGGCTTGGGGATAGAAGCTGTTGAAAAGGCTTTTGGACCTAGACTTGGCACTCCGGTACCGCTTGCCGTGTGGTAGCAGAGAGAACAGTCTACTATGACTAGGGTGGCTGGAGTCTTTGACAATTTCTTAGGGCCTTCCTCTGACACCGCCTGGTTTAGAGGTCCTGGATGGCAGGAAGCTTGGCCCCAGTGATGTACTGGGCCGTACGCACTACCCTCTGTAGTGCCTTGCAGTCGGAGGCCGAGCAGTTGCCATACCAGGTGGTGATGCAACCAGTCAGGATGATGTCGATGGTGCAGCTGTATAACTTTTTGAGGATCTGAGGTCCCACGCCAAATTTTTTCAGTCTCCTGAGGGGGAATAGGCTTTGTCGTGCCCTCTTCACGACTGTCTTAGTTTGTTGGTGATGTGGACACCAAGGAACTTGAAGCTCTCAACCTGTTCCATTACAGCCCTGTCGATGAGAATGGGGGCGTGCTCAGTCCTCTTTTTTTCCCAGTAGTCCACAATCATCTCCTTTGTCTTGATCACGTAGAGGGAGAGGTTGTTATCCTGGCACCACACGGCCAGGTCTCTGACCTCCTCCCTATAGGCTGTCTCATCGTTGTTGGTGATCAGGCCTACCACTGTTGTGTCATTGGCAAACTTAATGAAGGTGTTGGAGTCGTGCCTGGCCATGCAGTCATGGGTGAACAGGGAGTACAGGAGGGGACTGAGCACGCACCCCTGAGGAGCCCCCTTGTTGAGGATCAGCGTGGCAGATGTGTTGTTACCTACCATTACCACCTGGGGGTGGCCCGTCAAGAAGTTGATTAAACAGCATGATCATTACACAGGTGCACCTTGTGCTGGGGACAAAATTCCAGAAAATCTCATTTTTAAGTAATTAATTTGCATTTTATTGCATGACATAAGTATTTGATCACCTACCAACCAATAAGAATTCCGGCTCTCACAGACCTGTTAGTTTTTCTTTAAGAAGCCCTCCTGTTCTCCACTCATTACCTGTATTAACTGCACCTGTTTGAACTCGTTACCTGTATAAAAGACACCTGTCCACACACTCAATCAAACAGACTCCAACCTCTCCACAATGGCCAAGACCAGAGAGCTGTGTAAGGACATCAGGGATACAATTGTAGACCTGCACAAGGCTGGGATGGGCTACAGGACAATAGGCAAGCAGCTTGGTGAGAAGGCAACAACTGTTGGCGCAATTATTAGAAAATGGAAGAAGTTCAAGATGACGGTCAATCACTCTCGGTCTGGGGCTCCATGCAAGATCTCACCTCGTGGGGCATCAATGATCATGAGGAAGGTGAGGGATCAGCCCAGAACTACACGGCAGGACCTGGTCAATGACCTGAAGAGAGCTGGGACCACAGTCTCAAAGAAAACCATTAGTAACACACTACGCCGTCATGGATTAAAATCCTGCAGCGCACGCAAGGTCCCCCTGCTCAAGCCAGCGCATGTCCAGGCCCGTCTGAAGTTTGCCAATGACCATCTGGATGATCCAGAGGAGGAATGGGAGAAGGTCATGTGGTCTGATGAGACAAAAATATAGCTTTTTGGTCTAAACTCCACTCGCCGTGTTTGGAGGAAGAAGAAGGATGAGTACCACCCCAAGAACACCATCCCAACCGTGAAGCATGGAGGTGGAAACATCGTTCTTTGGGGATGCTTTTCTGCAAAGGGGACAGGACGACTGCACTGTATTGAGGGGAGGATGAATGGGGCCATGTATCGTGAGATCTTGGCCAACATCCTCCTTCCCTCAGTAAAAGCATTGAAGATGGGTCGTGGCTGGGTCTTCCAGCATGACAATGACTCGAAACACACAGCCAGGGCAACTAAGGAGTGGCTCCGTAAGAAGCATTTCAAGGTCCTGGAGTGGCCTAGCCAGTCTCCAGACCTGAACCCAATAGAAAATCTTTGGAGGGAGCTGAAAGTCTGTATTGCCCAGTGACAGCCCCGAAACCTGAAGGATCTGGAGAAGGTCTGTATGGAGGAGTGGGCCAAAATCCCTGCTGCAGTGTGTGCAAACCTGGTCAAGACCTACAGGAAACATATGATCTCTGTAATTGCAAACAAAGGTTTCTGTACCAAATATTAAGTTCTGCTTTTCTGATGTCATGCAATAAAATGCAAATTAATTACTTAAATCATACAATGTGATTTTCTGGATTTTTGTTTTAGATTCCGTCTCTCACAGTTGATGTGTACCTATGATAAAAATTACAGACCTCTACACGCTTTGCAAGTAGGAAAACCTGCAAAATCGGCAGTGTATCAAATACTTGTTCTCCCCACTGTACATGGCGGAGACTCAATCAAGCTAGTCGTCTTGACTTCTTTCTTATCTCATTCTCGTTGGCACCAAAAGTTTAAAAAGTGTTGATAGGGGACAGAATGCGGTCGGACCATCATATAATTGGCATATACATTACTCTTACTGAATTTCCACGTGGGCGAAGATATTGGAAATTTAATCAAAGCCTATTAGATGATAATTTATTTTTAACTAGAACAAAGGAATTTATAACTATAACTGACTTTTTCCGACATAACATAGGTACAGCAAATCCCCTTATTGTATGGGACACCTTTAAATGTGCCTTTAGAGGCCATGCAATTCAGTACTCATCTCGAAAACAAAAGCAATTTAGGTCAAAAGAGTTTATACTAACAAAGGAAATAGAAAGTCTAACAGAATAGATAGATGGCAATAAAAACTGTAACATAAAGGCTCAGAATAAATTAGAGGAAAAACAAAAAGAAATGGAGAAACCTATTCAAGAAAGATCAAGTGTAATATATTATAAAAATAAAGCAAACTGGATGGAATATGGGGGAAAATGCACCAAATTCTTTTTTAATCTTCAACATAGGAATGCTACCAAAAATAATTTAATGAAATTGGTTACAATTGACGGAGTAACACATGATTCACCAAATGATATTTTGAAGGAGGAAACAAGGTACTTTAAGCATATGTTTTCATTTCAGTCGCCTCCATCTCCTCTAACTGAAGCTAATTGTAGAGATTTTTTTCTATTGATAATGTAAAATGAACAAAGACTCATGTGAAGGTGAAATTACAGAGGTGTAATTTCTGGATGCAATTAAAGACTTTAAGTCTGGGAAAACTCCAGGGTTGGATGGCATACCAGTCGAAGTATACCAAACCTTTTTTGATATACTAAGAGGACCGCTATTAGCATGTTTTAACCACTCCTATGTAAATGGTAGATTATCTGACACTCAAGAAGAAGGTCTGATCTCATTATTACTGAAACAGGATACAAGTGGAAAATATAAAGATCCAGTCCATAAAAAAAAATTGGAGGCCCCTTACACTTCAGTGTTGTGATGCAAAAATTCTAGCAAAATGTATAGCGCATAGAATTAAAAAGGTATTGTCGGATATTATTCATTCTAATCAGACAGGTTTTTTACAAGGAAGATACATTGGAGATAATATAAGGCAAGTATTGGAAACAATAGAACATTATGGAAAATCGGAGAAACCAGGCCTGCTATTCATAGCAGACTTCGAAAAGGCATTTGATAAAGTACGACTGGGGTTTATATATACAGTGGGGGAAAAAGGATTTAGTCAGCCACCAATTGTGCAAGTTCTCCCACTTAAAAAGATGAGAGAGGCCTGTAATTTTCATGATAGGTACACGTCAACTATGACAGACAAAATGAGAAACAAAATTCCAGAAAATCACATTGTAGGATTTTTATGAATTTATTTGCAAATTATGGTGGAAAATAAGTATTTGGTCAATAACAAAAGTTTCTCAATACTTTGTTATATACCCTTTGTTGGCAATGACACAGGTCAAACGTTTTCTGTAAGTCTTCACAAGGTTTTCACACACTGTTGCTGGTATTTTGGCCCATTCCTCCATGCAGATCTCCTCTAGAGCAGTGATGTTTTGGGGCTGTCGCTGGGCAACACGGACTTTCAACTCCCTCCAAAGATTTTCTATGGGGTTGAGATCTGGAGACTGGCTAGGCCACTCCAGGACCTTGAAATGCTTCTTACGAAGCCACTCCTTCGTTGCCCGGGCGGTGTGTTTGGGATCATTGTCATGCTGAAAGACTCAGCCACGTTTCATCTTCAATGCCCTTGCTGATGGAAGGAGGTTTTCACTCAAAATCTCACGATACATGGCCCCATTCATTCTTTCCTTTACACGGATCAGTCGTCCTGGTCCCTTTGCAGAAAAACAGCCCCAAAGCATGATGTTTCCACCCCCATGCTTCACAGTAGGTATGGTGTTCTTTGGATGCAACTCAGCATTCTTTGTCTCCAAACACGACGAGTTGAGTTTTTACCAAAAAGTTATATTTTGGTTTCATCTGACCATATGACATTCTCCCAATCCTCTTCTGGATCATCCAAATGCACTCTAGCAAACTTCAGACGGGCCTGGACATGTACTGGCTTAAGCAGGGGGACACATCTGGCACTGCAGGATTTGAGTCCCTGGCGGCGTAGTGTGTTACTGATGGTAGGCTTTGTTACTTTGGTCCCAGCTCTCTGCAGGTCATTCACTAGGTCCCCCCGTGTGGTTCTGGGATTTTTGCTCACCGTTCTTGTGATCATTTTGACCCCACGGGGTGAGATCTTGCGTGGAGTCCCAGATCGAGGGAGATTATCAGTGGTCTTGTATGTCTTCCATTTCCTAATAATTGCTCCCACAGTTGATTTCTTCAAACCAAGCTGCTTACCTATTGCAGATTCAGTCTTCCCAGCCTGGTGCAGGTCTACAATTTAGTTTCTGGTATCCTTTGACAGCTCTTTGGTCTTGGCCATAGTGGAGTTTGGAGTGTGACTGTTTGAGGTTGTGGACAGGTGTCTTTTATACTGATAATAAGTTCAAACAGGTGCCATTAATACAGGTAACGAGTGGAGGACAGAGGAGCCTCTTAAAGAAGAAGTTACAGGTCTGTGAGAGCCAGAAATCTTGCTTGTTTGTAGGTGACCAAATACTTATTTTCCATCATAATTTGCAAATAAATTCATTAAAAATCCTACAATGTGATTTTCTGGATTTTTTTTCTCAATTTGTCTGTCATAGTTGACGTGTACCTATGATGAAAATTACAGGCCTCTCTCATCTTTTTAAGTGGGAGAACTTGCACAATCGGTGGCTGACTAAATACTTTTTTCCCCACTGTATATGTATATGTGTGTGTGTGTGTGTGTGTGTATATACACTGCTCAAAAAAATAAAGGGAACACTTAAACAACACAATGTAACTCCAAGTCAATCACACTTCTGTGAAACTGTCCACTTAGGAAGCAACACTGATTGACAATACATTTCACATGCTGTTGTGCAAATGGAATAGACAACAGGTGGAAATTATAGGCAATTAGCAAGACACCCCCAATAAAGGACTGGTTTTGCAGTTGGTGACCACAGACCACTTCTCAGTTCCTATGCTTCCTGGCTGATGTTTTGGTCACTTTTGAATGCTGGCGGTGCTTTCACTCTAGTGGTAGCATGAGACTGAGTCTACAACCCACACAAGTGGCTCAGGTAGTGCAGCTCATCCAGGATGGCACATCAATGCGAGCTGTGGGAAGAAGGTTTGCTGTGTCTGTCAGCGTAGTGTCCAGAGCATGGAGACGCTACCAGGAGACAGGCCAGTACATCAGGAGACGTGGAGGAGGCCGTAGGAGGGCAACAACCCAGCAGCAAAACTGCTACCTCCGCCTTTGTGCAAGGAGGAGCAGGAGGAGCACTGCCAGAGCCCTGCAAAATGACCTCCAGCAGGCCACAAATGTGCATGTGTCTGCTCAAACGGTCAGAAACAGACTCCATGAGGGTGGTATGAGGGCCCGACGTCCACAGGTGGGGGTTGTGCTTACAGCCCAACACCGTGCAGGACGTTTGGCATTTGCCAGAGAACACCAAGATTGGCAAATTCGCCACTGGCGCCCTGTGCTCTTCACAGATGAAAGCAGGTTCACAGTGAGCACGTGACAGACGTGACAGAGTCTGGAGACGCCGTGGAGAACGTTCTGCTGCCTGCAACATCCTCCAGCATGACCGGTTTGGCGGTGGGTCAGTCATGGTGTGGGGTGGCATTTCTTTGGCGGGCCGCACAGCCCTCCATGTGCTCGCCAGAGGTAGCCTGACTGCCATTAGGTACCGAGATGAGATCCTCAGACCCCTTGTGAGACCATATGCTGGTGCGGTTGGCCCTGGGTTCCTCCTAATGCAAGACAATGCTAGACCTCATGTGGCTGGAGTGTCAGCAGTTCCTGCAAGAGGAAGGTATTGATGCTATGGACTGGCCCGCCCGTTCCCCAGACCCGAATCCAATTGAGCACATCTGGGACATCATGTCTCGCTCCATCCACCAACGCCACGTTGCACCACAGACTGTCCAGGAGTTGGCGGATGCTTTAGTCCAGGTCTGTGAGGAGATCCCTCAGGAGACCATCCGCCACCTCATCAGGAGCATGCCCAGGCGTTGTAGGGAGGTCATACAGGCACGTGGAGGCCACACACACTACTGAGCCTTATTTTGACTTGTTTTAAGGACATTACATCAAAGTTGGATCAGCCTGTAGTGTGGTTTTCCACTTTAATTTTGAGGGTGACTCCAAATCCAGACCTCCATGGGTTGATACATTTGATTTCCAATGATAATTTTTGTGTGATTTTGTTGTCAGCACATTCAACTATGTAAAGAAAAAAGTATTTAATAAGATTATTTCATTCATTCAGATCTAGGATGTGTTATTTTAGTGTTCCCTTTATTTTTTTGAGCAGTGTGTATGTATGTATGTATGTATATATGTGTGTATATATATATATATATATATATATATATATATATATATATATATATATATATATATATGTATATGTATATATGTATGTGTAAAAACATGGGGGATTGGAAGTGATGCAGACAATTACAATCTATCTGCAATATTAAGCTGATCTACCCCCCCAAAAAATAGACTGCATCATAGACAGAGCTTTGGATGCAAGGACTGACCATCCAATATATCAAAATTATAGTTTCAAGCATGTTTTGAGGCAATACAGTTTGTAAACATTGTAAATGTAAACAAACATTAGTGTAAAACAAGCTTATATTTTGGTTTCTGAAGGGGTTTGACAGTTGAACTAAGTTCATCAGGCATTTATAAGTGATATTCTTCAAGAATCAGTATCTATATATCATTAATTTAAGTCCAAAAAGGGATGTACGAATTGCAGATTGCCCCTTTAAACAGATAGTCAAATATCTGCTTCTCTTTATTTTTGTATTCTTTTTTTCAACAGTACCCATGTTATACATGATAATGATTATGCCAAAACAATCTTCTTTCTCTCTTGTATATAGTTCTCGACGGTAGCTGTGACTGCTGGGGTGGTATTGCTGTCCACTGTGGGCATAATTGTAGCCCTCTACTTAGGCAAGAAGAAGAAGCCTCCAGTCACCTTGCTTGACGCTACCCAAAAATACCAGCTAACGCTCATTGATAAAGAGGTACATGTGTGCTATTGAAATCAATTAGACATTTTTGGTATGTGCTTCAGAGGCCTGTGCTTAATACATGTGTATATACTCCATGGAAATCATTTTTGTGTAACATTTAATCAAATGTTGGTAGTAGATGTCTTTGCATTGAATTGACACATTATTTTACAAAACCAATGTATGTATGGTTCGATATGTCTTTGGCCTCTTTCCATAGGTGATCAGCCATGATACTCGCAGGTTCCGCTTTCGACTTCCCTCAGCAGAACATATCCTGGGTCTGCCTGTAGGTAAGTCTTCGCTTGCACATTGTTCTTTTTGGGTTTTGTCAAGTGACAGTGTTTGATAATTGATTATTATTTGAGACAGTGCCATGCCATTTATATAAATACATTTTAGTAATTTAGCAGATGCTCTTATCAAGAGCGACTTACAGGAGCAATTAGGGTTATGTGCCTTGCTCAAGGGCACATCTACCTGTTTATCACCTAATCGGCATGGGGATTCGAACCAGCAACCTTTTGCTTAGTGGCCCGACGCTCAAATAGTCCTTTAGCTCACCAGCATTATAACTACACTCATAATGTAATACTTGATGGCGTTGTATTGCACTGATGGAAACTAGAAAGCTTAGCTTCCCATTCCTGGAATGCCCTCTACTGTATGAGTCATTTAGCAGAACAATCAGTGGATGAAGCCACACAAAATGACCCTATCAGTATTTTCAATCAGTGTTGTCTTTGTGTTTCTAACCACCTTATTTGTTTCCTCCAGGGAAGCATGTATACCTCTCTGCCCGTATTGACGGCAGCCTGGTAGTCAGACCGTACACACCTGTGTCCAGCGACGACGACAAAGGTTATGTTGACTTGGTTGTGAAAGTATGTATGGCTTGTCAAAGCAATCCTATATCATATACTGAAACTGAACACACTAGTACTACCATATGTATCAAGCATGTCATAGTAGGAGTGATGATCTACAAACAGGTCCAGCATGTCATCTTATTCTTTGGGATCTAAAAGGGGAAAAAATATCTGAAATAAGCACTGCTACTGTGAGACGCTTGATACATACAGACCCTGATCTGCAAACCATATTTCATGTAGAAAATTCCTCCCCAGATCTACTTCAGGAATGTGCACTTTAAGTTTCCTGACGGAGGCAAGATGTCCCAGTACCTGGAGAGTCTGCACCTGGGAGACGTGGTGAACTTCAGAGGACCAGGAGGACTGCTGGAGTACAAAGGGCATGGTACGACCAGTCCGCTGCCTGGCACACCCTCCTTCTGATATTTACAAATGATGCATCCCAAATGGTAACCTATACCCTATGTACACTGAGTGTACTTAACATTAAGGACACCTGCTCTTTCCATGACAGACTGACCAGGTGACAGCTATGATCCCTTATTTATGTCACTAAAATCAGTGTAGATGAAGGGGAGGAGACAGGTTAAAGAAGGATTTTTAAGCATTGAGACAATTGAGACATGGATTATGAATGTGTGCCATTCAGAGGGTGAATGGGCAAGACAGAAGATTGAAGTGCCTTTGAACATGGTATGGTAGTAGGTGCCAGGCGCACCGGTTTGTGTTAAGAACTGCAACGCTGCTGGGTTTTTCACGCTCAACAGCTTCCCGTATCAAGAATGGTCCACCTCCCAAAGGACATCCAGCCAACTTGACACAACTGTGGGAAGCATTGGAGTCAACATGGGCTAGCATCCCTGTGGAATGCTTTCGACACCTTGTAGAGTCCAAGCCCTGATGAATTGAAACTGTTCTGAGGGCAAAAGGGGCCGGTACAACTCAATATTAGGAAGGTGTCCTTAATGTTTTGTCCACTGTGTAGTGCATAGTGATGGGGGGGGATCAATACAGTTACATATCGCAATATTATTTTTGGACTATATAATATTGCTATTTGACTCCCAAGTATCAATTTGTAAAATGAAAGTTAAACAAAAAAAAATAGTTTAAAAAAAGGTGCTAATGTAGATGCCGTTAGCTAGCGCTAGTCGGCTGTACCTGCGCCAAAACTCCAGTATTTTTCAGCACTTTAATTTCCTTCACTGATCAAAACTCATTTTCTCATGCTCTCTCTTGTCTCTTTGCAGCAAACGTATAGTGAGCAATATGTTTGGAACATCAAATTGCAATAAAATTGCAGTATCGAATCGCAATACAAATAGAATCATGAGAATCGCTGTACATATCTTATCGACACATACGTTTCGTGAGCTCCCTGGCAATTCCCAGCCCTAATATTAGTGCACTATTTTTTGACCAGGGCCCGTAAGGCTCTGGTCAAATGTAGTGCACTATTTAGCAAATCTGGTGCCATTTGGGACGCACACAGTCTCTAATGGAATGGGGGTTTTAGCTTTGTGTACTTGGGTGTGGCTGGCTGAGAGTGATTGTGTGTACACACTTCTTTTCAACCTTAAGTCTACTGAATAAGTCAACAGTAAATGTACAATATCTCTGAGCAATTTGCTGGCTTGCTGCATCGCATTTTGAAACTTTCATGCCCCAAAGGCTCCAGAAAAGCGCTGCCTAAAGGATATACATTTACTGTATTGTCACTTAAAATGTATACTAATACTCCCAGTATTATTTGATTGTATGTTCCACAACCTAGGATGATGGACACACCCAACAACTGTCTTCCATTTGGGACCAGATAACTCTTGTTCATTTGCTCCCCAAGCACACTGGAAAAGGGAAATAATCTCTGGATTGTGTTGGCTTAATTTTTGTGTCTCATCACTTTCTCCCATTCCATTCAACAGGGCAGTTTGCAGTTCAGACAGACAAGAAGTATCCTGCGGAGATAAAAGTTGCCAGTACTCTTGGTCTTATAGCTGGAGGAACAGGTGATTTTTTTATTTTTTTCCCTTCGCAACCTAGCACTCTGAACCTAAACACTTAAATGTTGTCTTGTTGTAGCCAGGGGGTAAATGTAGAGTGAGCGCTTTTAGTTCCTGGTGCTGAACTCCCTTCCCTGTCTGTAGGCATCACCCCTATGCTACAGCTGGTGCGCGCTATCATGAAGGACCCCAGTGACAGGACCACCTGCAGCCTGCTGTATGCCAACCAGGTGTGTGGCCGCTGCCCACACTGGCCTCTCTCCTAAAAGAGACTTTTAATATCAATGGGCTCATCTCTATAAATAAAGGATAGATACTGTAAATGCTTGTACTAGCTTCACTGTGGATGTAGTTCATAGGTTTGCTTAGGTTGAGAGTTAACACTGAACTGTGTGTGTGTGGTGTGTTCATGGCAGACTGAGAAGGACATCCTGCTGAGGGATGAGCTGGAGGAGGTCCAGGCCAGACACCCAGACCGCTTCAAGCTGTGGTTTACAGTGGACAGGGCACCCGAGGGTATGTGCCTTACGGCTTTTGCTTGCATTGCTCAAGTGTTGACATCAAGATTTCAGAAGTCTTAACAAAATGTGTACATTTTATTATCTTTTGAATTTGTTTTAATTGTGTATATTATGGCACAATCATTATGCATAACGGTACTTGTTTGCGACCCCATGAAAGATTGAATTATGATTCATTTGTGTCGCTCAGGCTGGGAGTACAGTGAGGGCTTCATCAATGCGGACATGATCCAGGAGCATCTGCCCACCCTCAGTGAGGACACCATGGTGCTCATGTGCGGTCCGCCCCCCATGATCCAGTTTGCCTGCAACCCCAACCTGGACAAGTTGGGCTACCGGCAGAGTCAGCGCTTCAGCTACTAGTCACCAGCCGAGGAACTATCCTCCCAGCCACCCCCAGCATGGGCATTCTCAATGCAACAATGATATCAATTCAATGCTTGATTGGGCCGGAACTACTGCTTGAGTACCGGCATCTCTTATAGAATTTTGGCTTAGAAATATTGCAGAGTTCCAGCACCTAAATATATACAGTACCGGCACCCAAAATGAGTACGGGCACCAATTTCAGTCCACTGAAAGCACTGCATCAAGTATACTGCCAAAAGCCCCTTATGAGAAGTGCAGACATGGCCTCTTATCTATCAGGTTGAGCATTAAATGCTCACTTGCAACCAAGGTCCTACCTTTGTATTATTAGCCTCCATCTCCTGCTGATATCTACAATTGATTGGGCCCTGTGTATTTTTAGGTGAGGTTTGAGGCTTTGATTTATTATTGATGTTCTTAGCCTTGAGCATTCCTCCTAAAAACAGGACAGAGAGAACATAACTTAAAGATAAAGCCGCATACTGACCTGGATTACGCCCAGGGATGCGGTGCTAAATATGAGGAGGCCGCACAGGCAGCTTTGCTTTAAACGCACACATAACAAATTATATGCACTTAAGTATTACAGCTTCTGTAGAGATGCATTATACTGTATTTTGGCATCTGCTTCAGTTGTGAGTGTGACATATATGTGGGGCTTTTTGTTGTGTGGGTATGTGATCTGACTCTATTTCTTATTGGATTTCTGTGAGATTGAGTGAACATAATTATTCAAGGCTCTTTTTGTTTTATATATTATAATTTCAGAGTTTAATCTGCAATGCACTACACTTTGTAAAATGTATTATGTGTTTATGAAGAGAAAAGACAACATTTCTGCCAGCATTTTAAATTGCCTCCACTCATATACGTGATCCATAATCCTGTTCTCTTTATGTATTGGCTGGACCATTCCTTAGATATTATCCCTTGTTGCAAAATAGAGTGTTGAGGAGGAAAACAATTTTGACACCATTCAGTTTGCTGGAACAACGTGGCTCTGATTGCAACAGTTGAATGCTGTCACAACAAGGAGTAATCTGTGCTTGGGGCAGTATGTAGTCTGGTCTAAATGCTGGGACAGAGTGGGAGTTGGAAAATGTCATCTAATTCCACTGCCTACTACAGTACAGGACCCCTTTGTTGACAGGGATTAGGGATTATTGAGGAATGGAGATGCTGATGGTAGTTTGTTTACAGGGTAGGAGTAGGAGTAGCTCTATCCACAAGTAAAGGGCTTGATGAGGGTTTCTTATTTTCATTTTTAATTCAGCCTTTCTTGTGCTGCTAAAATGTGGGTTAGGCAACTCAGTGCTGAAGAGAACTTTTTGCATACTGTACATACATTATTGTAAACTACACCAAGCATCTGTTTTGATTGGGTGTCATGTTTCATGTGGGTTCATGCAGGCACCATTATGGAGGTAATGTGATTCCACTCAATCATTTATAGCAGAAGCACGTGCATGACCTGGGAATAAAACAGTGTACTACTATCTTGAGTCTATGTTAATTTTTGATATCATAGCTACATAAACAGATAATATTTTGGTGTTACTTCTAAAACATTTTTAAATTGTAATTTTAACCACTAGATGGAGACGCTGCTTCATTGTATATGAGAACCAGTTGAAACTTAGCTTGGCATTGACTTGTCATTTTCGTTAGCCGTGCTGCGTAACTGTTCGTTCCGGGCTTCGGCTTGTTTTTGTGAGAATCGGGAAGGGATCACATTTCCTTTGACGTCTGGAGTATCAGGTAGCTACGTCTGCTGAATGAAAATGCAAACGTTAACTAGCTACAACAATGAACAATATTATTGCATTGTATTTGCAACTGTGTCGGGGTGTTTGGTATTGGTTCGATACAGCCAGATGACCAGTTTTCTTCGAATATGCGAAAGCTAACTAGCTAGTTCCGCTAGCCTGCTAGTGCTAGCCTAGACTGCTAGCAACTGCGGTTAGCCTACGTTACCTTAGGGCTCTAGCTAGCTATAATTTGCCGGTGTACGTCAGGAATCATGTCAGCTAAATCATATTGTTGAAGGAGTTTTGTTGGGGGAAATCAAGTCGTTATATTGTTATTCCAATTCCATGTTTCTTCGGATGCTAGTGTATGATTGCTTTGTTCTAGGCAGCCAACCAGCTGACACAACAAAGTCTTGCCAGTTTTGTTTGTTAGCTGCCAGCCAACTATCTTTTTCGGCCGCCTCACAATAATAATTTTGGTCTTCCTGCCATGTTAGCCGAGTAGCTATTCGTCTTAACTGTTGTAAAATACTAATTTAACGAGTGAATATGTTCACGACATGATATTATTAGACTTTGTTGATGGTGTAAAAATGTATGTCAAAGTAATACTGGAAGATGCACTTTTTACTTCAGTGCTGAATGCAAGAGCAGGCAAGGACCATCTGTCGGTGGGAAATATAGACCTACCAAAAGTCCACATCAGGTCCAATTGTCACAGGTGAAGTTAGTTGCAATTTGGAATCTAGTTATTTCAGTGAAAAACTCCAGTAACTAATGTATTTATTTGTCTAATTGTGATTTCTCAGCACTGGGCCAACTGCGGATTGAAGTGCCAGGCTTTAGCAGTACACACAGGCAGAGGACAGGTCATCAGGCAGTCTCCCTATGTCAGGCCGAAACGGGTCTGCGAGTGATGCAGACTGTCGGATCTCAGAGGACTGTCGGGTCCCAGATGTGGAGCTGATGGAGCTGGGACCCTTGCTGGAGGAGACGGGACGGCAGACAGCGGGGAAAGGCATGATGTCAGAAGTGAGAGTGGGGGAGACAGGTTATGTCCTATATGGCACCCTATTCCCTACACAGTGCTCTAATTTTGATCAGCGCCCTAGTCAAAGGTAGTGCACTATATAGGGTGCCAGTTGGAATGTAGCCTGACTCAACTCCTCTATTACCACAGGTATTAGGTATTTTCTAAAGCGGGCGCAGAATCTTCCAAATCAACATTTGGAAGATTCAGGTGATCTGCCAAGACCAACGTTTCTAGTGAAACCAGGGGTGTATTCAGAGAGGTGAAAGTTCAGAATGTTGCAGATCTCCCCATTGGCCTATTCTACATCGCAAACAAACTGGTTTGTTCTACACACTGAGTTTCTATCTGAATGTTCTGTAGCATTGCACCCTCATGAATAGACCCCAGTTGAAGACAAAACAAATGTAGGTGGAGGTCATTGGGCAATAGAGCTCAGCTTGGGTGGGGTCACACCTAAGTAATGGTCAGGGAAACGTAGACCAAACCAACTGGGATTCGTTCCCATGTTTTCACTTCTATCCTGCGCTGCAAAGACATCTGCTCTACTCACCTAACTAAATCACCTTACACATTCTGTCTCTGCAGGGGGCCTCAGTTCTGCCTGATGAGGATGATGAAGAGGTGGAAGAGGTCCTGACACTGCCCCTCCAGGCTCACCACGCCATGGAGAAGATGGAGGAGTTTGTGCACAAAGTAGGCATCATTGGGCTGTTCCAGAAGGCAGGATCATTAAGTTAGCCAGCTAACTTTGATAAGCAGCCAAATGTATCTCTTGATTTTCTGATTCATTGAGAAAGCTAAACTTGAAAATGGGTTGTTGGTTGTCGAGTCAATTATACCATGCCCATTTCAAGTCTATATTTCTCGAAAAGATGAAGTTATTTCAGAATTTCTGGGACAGTTAGCTGGCTAACTCATTGATCCTGCTTTCTGGAACAGCCCCCATGGCTGCTCTGTCTAACTTCATATACAGAGATAATAAGAGAATAAGACTGGTGAGATGAACAGGACATTCATGGTAGCCTATACCCTTGTGTTTTAAGGTGTGGAAGGGTAGCTGGAGGGTCATCCCATTTCATGTCTTGCCGGAGTGGCTGAAGGACAACGACTACCTCCTGCATGGACACCGGCCCCCCATGCCCTCCTTCCGCGCATGCTTTGGAAGCATCTTCAGGATCCACACAGAAACAGGCAACATCTGGACCCACCTTCTGGGTGAGTGTGTGAGATATCTGAGGAGACTGAATCCTCACATGTTGAACCTCACACCATCGCCTATAAAGTTGCAGTGAAGCACAAGTCCACGTTACCCACAACTAGAGTACATTCAGTAGGTCCTAAGTTCAGCATTCTGCCATTAAGCAATGTATGTATAGTGCAGTCACTTATCTATACTACATAGCAAAAAAGAGTGCCTCTTCTACACAACACATGTCCATATACAATGCTCCTGATTGTGCTCCCCACTGTATATACAGTATGCCACATAGAGATCCCTTTCTATTGCTAATATTCATTTGTTAAGATATGCCCTATATGATTACTGGTCCACTAATGATGTCCTCACCTCTCCAACCCCCAGGGTTGATCCTGTTTATTTGTCTGGGTACGTACACCATTCTACGGCCCAACATGTACTTCATGGCCCCGCTGCAGGAGAAGGTGGTGTTTGGGATGTTTTTTCTGGGTGCCGTGCTCTGCCTCAGCTTCTCCTGGCTCTTTCACACCGTCTACTGCCACTCCGAGAAAGTGTCTCGCACCTTCTCCAAGTAAGGCCGCATGCCCCCCTCCCTCTTGCTCACACATAAATGTTTTTTTTTCTTCTTTCGATTAGCTCTCCTGTGTTTCTGAAAAGTAATGTGACGTTTCATTTCATTTATTTTTATTTTTATGTTAAAGTGTCATTTAAATGGATGTTCCTCTTCTAAACTCAGTGTTATGTTTTCCCTCAGACTTGACTACTCTGGTATCGCCCTGCTGATCATGGGTTCATTTGTGCCCTGGCTCTACTACTCGTTCTACTGTTCCCCGCAGCCGCGCCTCATCTACCTCACCATTGTCTGTGTGCTGGGCATCGCCGCCATCATAGTGGCCCAGTGGGAACGCTTCTCCACGCCCGCACACCGGCCCACACGAGCAGGTGCTGCACCACATATTAACCAGCCTGTCAGTGTATTATGACATAGATGCAGAGCAACGGCATACATGTAAATGTGTTAATACAACATACCATATAGCTAAAACCATGAGAAAATCATCAGGAATTGCTTTTTTCTCCTACTTGTGTGTGTGTGTATAGCTGGTATAAGTTTGACTATCTTATAGGATCCTATACTATGACTGCTCCAGTTGCTCCTGCTTCTACCAACCAACCTTTCCCCACCATGTCTCCCACAGGAGTGTTCATGGGCCTGGGACTGAGTGGCATCGTCCCCACAGTGCACTTCACCATTGAGGAGGGCTTCGTCAAGGCCACCACTGTGGGACAGATGGGCTGGTTCTACCTGATGGGCGCCATGTACATCACTGGCGCCGGACTGTATGCAGCCAGGATCCCCGAACGCTATTTCCCCGGCAAATGTGACATCTGGGTAAGTGTGTAACAGAGGCTAAAAATTTAACCCTATTACATTTATACTGCACTACTTTTCACCAGGGCCCATAGGGGGATCCCAGGAAGAGTGTGGCTAATTGGGATCATAATAAAATACTAAATAGGGCTCTGGTCAAAAGTAGTGCACTATATAGGATATAGACTGCCATTTGGGATGCAGACGCAGGCTTGTCGCTGGCTCCTGAACTAACCCCATGTCCTCATTTATATGATGCTGATGATGATTATATATTATTATTATAATGTTATTGTCATTTTATGCGATATGAGTTACGGTCACACATGTTCTGCACTGTACTGAACTGTACTGTAGGAATATGTGGCCCATGCAGTAATCAAATGCCTAGAACTTTAGTGTTGCAAACACCATGCTCTAACCAGAGGAGCCTTTGGACATACTCTGTCTGCGGCCCCCCCCTTATTCCCTATTTAGTGCACTACTTTTGACCAGAGCCCTATGGGAATAGTGCACTAAATAGAGAATAGGGTGCCATTTGGTAAGCAGCTTCTGACATCCCTCTCTCCCCAGTTCCACTCCCACCAGATCTTCCACGTCCTGGTGGTGGCGGCAGCCTTTATCCACTTCTACGGCGTCTCCAACCTGCAGGAGTTCCGCTACGGCCTGGAGGGCGGGTGCACTGACGACACCCTTCTCTGAGAGGCCCAGCTGTGGCCCCCTCAGCCATTTCCTAGTCGATCCCCCTCCCTATAAAGTGCTACTGGAACACGCAATGGTCCTCCTTTTCTCCGCCCCTCTTCCCCCCCCCCCCCTGATTTGCTCATGTCATATTTGGTTTTCTGGTGGTGTTTTTTTCTGCTTTTCTCCATTAAAGTAGCTTTAGCCAGTGAACTATATGGAGGGGCATCTCAGTGATGCAGCAGCACTTTTTAATCAAAAGGGAGCTCTAGGCACCACTTTAGCTCATGAAGAACAACAGCGGATTTTGACCAGATTGATTACATGTTCCCTTCAACCTCTGAGAGGCGTAGAGATATTGTAATATTGTCTCTCTTGGCCTCCAGAGCTTCCCAAATCAAGCTGTAGGAGGCTTATGTGATAGAATGGGTCCGGGTTGGGGTCAGGCTGCTCCATTTTTATTCTGTCAATACAAGGAATTATCGAAATTCAATTCATGAATTTTTAAAATGTAAAAGTCCTAATTTAAAACAATGGGCAATTAGAACAATTGATTAAGAGCTTTTTTTTATTTTGTTGATTTACATTTAGTTGACATGCAATCAACCACAATCCAGGTATGGGTTATGGAACTGAAAGTCAAACAATCGAATTACTTTCCTAAAAGACACAGTGCTTGGTACCCTTACCCCTCATGTCCCTTTTCAATTGAACAAAATCTTTTCAATCAAACAGAATCTTGTATGATTGATAGCTGGTATGAAACTAATCGGGAAACGCACAATGGGCAAATCTGGGAATAGGTCAACTCTTTCCCTTTTCAGCTTGAGATTTGTTTCTTTTTAAGGCTATATTTCAGAACTCTAAAGGTCAAATTATTGCAGCTTAACAATATGTTATTACCATTAAACTTTGTCACTGCATGGGGTCCACCATGTAGTGTGTAGGAAATAGGAATAATATTTTAGTATTCCTGTGCCTTAGGCCAATGGAAATAGTTTTTAAATAGATGGGCCAATATTGCAGTCAAGTGAACTTCATTAGGATCTCCAGATATAATGATGATAACAAACTTTTTAGTTTTCTTGTCCTTATACCCAATGAAATCACTATTAAACTTTTGACCTCCAATAGTTTGCTCAAACTGCTGTTTATTAAGACAACCATTTTTTAAAAGCTGACTTTATGTGGCTTTATTACAAAGACTAAACAATCTGTGTATTCTTGACTTTGTGTTGTGTCCCGTGTAGACAAGTTGATGGATCATACATTTCCCTGAAATGTAAACACATAATAAATATTTATTAATGGTAAAATGGGAAACTAACCCAAGTCATGCCTTTTCTTTCCAATGTAGTGTTATGGCACTTCATCACACTTTACTTTTCACACACATGAACATGGTTTGTCATTGTCACTATATGTTTTGGGGTTACCAATGCTGCTGCAATGTAGTCAATTTCATATTTGACCATATTTCTGCCACATGTATTGTCTATATCCACACAGCTTTACAAATAATATTTTATCTGGGGTGTTGCATAGCATTTAATCACTCAGGTTATGGAATGTCATTGTTAGTTTCATGCAGGGGGCTATGCACCTGGGCTAGTTATGTAGCTCGCTGCATGCATGGTCGCAAAAAGTTGGAACGTTCTCTTTACCCAGTGCAAACGATGTCTCTTAAGACCACACACCTTGGGAGTTCTACAATTCTGCCTGAAGGTAGCAGAGATGGGGAGACTGGTGGTTTGCAATGACTTCCACTGATTAGAAATACAGTATCTTAGAACTTGCAGAGAGGTACAGTCTATGTATGATAGCTCAAAAATCCTGTTCAGTTGGATGGGTCATATGACAAGGCAGGTAGCTTAAAGGTGAAGTAACTGAAAGTTCGCTGGTTCGAATCCCCGAGCCGGCAAGGTGGAAAAAATCTGCCGTTCTGTCCTTGAGCAAGGCAGTAAACCCCCAACAACAACCGCCCTACGTGTGTATGTCGATTAAGGCAGCACCCGCACCTCTGATTCAGAGGGGTTGGGTTAAATGCGAAAGACATTTCAGTTGAATGCATTCAGTTGTGCAACTGACTAGTATCCCCTTTCCCTTCAAGGGTGCCCTTTCATTATGAATGATTTGTGCAGTATCTGCCACATCCTGGCATCTTCTATATTGTTGACCTTACGCTTGACTAATTGGTTAACTGGGTGGATATGATTATTACTCAGATTAATCCGATTTTATCACAAGTGTAAGTCTATTTTTATCTTATCCAAAGGTAAAAAATGGTTTGGTTTTAAACATATTTGAGATATAGTAACTATTTCCCTAAAATATGTTATTGTGATTAGATTAAATGACATTATTTGTTTAATTGTGGATAAAGAACGATCTATACGACGGAGGAACGATATAATTGAGCGATGTGGATTCCGAACGGAAGTTTCAGCGGGTGCACACTGTCCAGCAACGCTTGTTCGGTCGGTCTGTTTGACAAAATGTTGATATGGCCGAGTGGTTTTACTAGTTACATTACTTGTACTACCCGCTTGGTAATAGTTTAGGTGTACTCTAGCCATTCTTTCTGAGCAGGTTTTTCAGCAGATGTGAGTTGACGCCTCAAAATTCGCATTACATTATCCGATATTAGCTAGCTCACGTTAGCTAGCTTGGTAACGTTAGTTGAACAAATATATAGAGCAGTGGTTTGATTATAGCTAACCATCTTAGCATTCGCTTTATAAGTGTAGTATAGTCACATAAGTTGCGTTCAACATGGACAACCAAGAACACTGCTCTCCCTCTGAAGGATGCGTCGACCGGTCTACGCTGGTGTCGGGGGTTGGAAAGAATATCAAGTCAATTTTGTGCCAACGTTGTGGATCGAAGGTCCTCTGCCCAGGGATGGCAGTTTTTGCAGAGAAGGAGGTAAGGTTCACCTCAGACAGGTTATGTGATTCATAACTGACGTATTTTCCTATCTGAATGGGCATTCATCATTTGCTTTATTTCAAGTTAGTGCAATGTCTTACCACCACCTAAACTGTAGCACAAAATGATATTTTTCATACATTTTTACATTTTAGTCATTTAGCAGACGCTCTTATCCAGAGCGACTTACAGTTAGTGAGTGCATACCTTTTCATACTGGCCCCCCGTGGGAAACGAACCCACAACCCTGGTGTTGCAAGCGTCATGCTCTACCAACTGAGCTATAGGGGATCCTACAATGTGCAATTAGCTATGTCATGATGTGACAAAAAAATGTCAGGGAGTGGAATATCACTTCTGTTTATCTATTCATATTAATGGTCATTGTCATGATGAATCTTGTCTGGTATTTCCTCCCCTATATCCACCAGCTGTTCCTGCCCTCAATGCGGAAGAAGACCACTATCACCCAATCAGAGGGATCCGTGGATGGGGACACACTGACTACCCACTGGTTAGTCGACGACATGTACACCTTTGAGAATGTGGGCTTCACCAAGGACGTGGGGAGAATCAAGTACCTCATTTGTGCAGACTGTGAGATTGGACCCATTGGCTGGCACTGCCTGGATGACAAAAAGAGCTTCTATGTTGCATTGGAAAGAGTCAATCATGCCTAGTGTGGCCCACTGTAAGAACCTGGGGACACTTAAGAGGGTGTACACATTTGGAACTGAAGGACAAGACAGACCAACACAAACGTCGCCTTGCGCAGTAGATCACTTGCTGGGTGTCGAAAGACAGTGCCGATTCAACATGTAGAATTGTTGTGAAATCAACAGAAAATGACGGCAAATGTTCTGTGGTCAGAGGCAATAGGACGGTCACCCACTGCGCATGGGCAACATATGCGTTGGTCTGGCTTGTCCTTAACTCTTTTCGATCTTCACTTTCCCTCTGGCTGGTGCTGGATGCTGTCTCGGTTATTATGATGACTCCTTAGTTCAGCAACGTTGTTCTCTACTGATCAACAATCGTATTGATGTGGTTCTCTGAACAAATGTCTTATCAGTCTATAAAACTGTTATTCAATCCAATACTGTAACTAACCCATATTCAGGTGTTATGCTTTGGTCTGAGATTAACGCTACAGCCTTTGGAATTGTATTACTTGTATAGGCCTACTTGTTATTATTACTTTCAACTTCTGAAATATTATCAGAATATCTCTGTTCTTCTAACACTTATTGCAGATGCTAATGTGAAATGATGTGGTGCATTTGGACTTCTACTGTTTGAATGATTAGTGTGCTTATCAGCATAGCACACCCTTTGCCTTGCATGCTGAATAATGGGAGTGGTTGTATTTGTTGAGTGTGCTGTATGCATTTGTTGCTGATACATTTCAAGTGACAGTGTTCTGTCTGTTGATATACCACATTGGCTTTGACTGCTGCTCTGCCACCATGTTGGCCCTCAGCTATTGCCAACTAATACCAGAGGCCCCCATTAGATCTCCACAGTACATGCTCATCATGGTCATATGTTCTGGAATGTATTTCATTCCATCTGCATTGAGGACTGGATTGACTATGTGAGCTCTATTGTTTGTCGCTTCTCTTTCGCTGCATTTTAATGCTCTCTAAAACGGTTATAAACTCTGTAAAATAAAATGTATCACTCACTAATGTGCTTTTTGACCAGTTTGTAAATTCTAGTTCTAGAATGGAGTTCACCCTCATTGACTTGATTGCATGGGAAATAGGAAGTCGCTGCTGATGGAATTCATGAGATTTACAATACTTTAATTGGTTCGGAACATGTCTTTATCTAACTTAAACATATTCACTATTTAGATGTTGCCTATAGCTTGTAATTTTTACATGTCACTTGTAAAGTCGGTGGCCCCCCTCTCACCAGAATCCAAGGAACGACACCCAATCATCGAGCCTATCGAGTCCATTTAAAAAAACAAGTCCCGGTCACCACGAGGCTTTAGTATGAATGCGCTCATCTGTTTCACTTCCACTAGGATGCTTAACTCAAATGTAGCCTTATACATTTTGCTTATTAATTCGTTTTATTTTAAAATATATAGCCCTAAAGGACAATTATTTTCACTTCAATATTTTTTTCATACTACCAATTGTAAATTAAACGGTAGGTTGTGTACACCATATTTTGATTACGTGGATTTTTTGTTTACTGACCTTTTGTCTCTTATTTACAGCAATCAATTTAGTTTCTCGTTGCTAGTGCATTGATAATGAGGTCTTTTTTTATATAAACCCCGAGAAAATGACATGCCATGAATTTACCTTCCATGTGTAGTTATTTGTTTTATATTTTGTAGCTAGTATGCCATTGTCATCCGTGTGTATGGTGGTTTCTACTTTCTGAAGCGGAAGTAGCCTAGGTGCTGTCCCCCGACCAGATAATGCTAGTGCGACTTCAATGAGTGAGTGGTGATGTTCTTAATTGACCGAGTTAAAGGGAGCAGTTCTTCAAAGGGGACAGCTTTCATTGAACTTTAATTAAAATACTTTGAATCGCAACTCTCCACTATTTAGAACGAAGATGCAACGATGACCCAATCTCGGCCCAACGAGTTCATTGCTCCACCGGAGTGTCCTGTTTTTGAGCCCACTTGGGAGGAATTTGCCGACCCATTTGCGTATATCAACAAAATACGGCCTATTGCAGAGAAAACGGGTATCTGCAAGGTCCGACCGCCGAAGGTGAGTGTCTTTAATTAGGGTATGATTTCAAACTCCTGCTGAAAACATTTTCTAACAGTTTTTGATGACATTTGTGGTCGTTTAGTTATCTTTTTAGACATATTTTCAACATGGCGGATTGCGGCTTGAGTTGAATTGCCAGCTTCTATGCGAGCGTAGGTTATGTGTGTGCCTCTGTGTAGGTGTGCAAGGACACGCACGCGCCCAGTGATCTCTGTGCAGACAGACTCGCGACAAAGTTACAATAAAGTATCGCTTATATTCCAGAGAACGTTACACCCAAGTACAATGCATCTTTAGAGGCTATTGGTCAAATTGATGGGTGAGAAGGTTGGTTACCTTTTCTCTTCCTGCGAGTTGTTAATTGTAAAATGACACGGAAATAAGACATTTCACCAAATCACTTTAATGCCTTCCAGCTTGTTATCAATTCAATTTTCGAATGTGAAATTGAAAGATATGTATAATATAACATACCATATTGTTTTTTATATTCACTTGTATTGACATCACAATGTTTTGATGCTGGATTTCCGTGTGACAGCTACGTGCACAATGACGAACTCTTTATGGAGTGTGACTCGTTGTAAAGGAAAACCGATTAGTTGGTGAGGAAACTGCATTGTCGACTACCGTGCTGCAATTTTCATACATGAGCTTACTTGTTTCTTGAACATGGGGGAGGAAGTTTCCTGGTTCTGTATTGGTCTGCACTACTTGCGACATTTCTTGTTTTCATCCCGTTGCTTATTTGACCACGTTAGGTAATGGTGAGCAGTGAGCGCCCTTAAATCTCCTCAAGGGTATTAGGGACAGCTTATTGTGCTGACTGAAATGTTGTTTTGCCTCTTGCCTACACAACCTAGATTATTTGATATTAACTGAGAGTGGGGCTGATTTAGAGGCCTGTATGTTGTAGGCCTGCTGAGAAGACTCTTCTAGCTTGTTAATGTCCTCCATGTTGCCTTTGTGGTAGTGGGTGTGGACTGGATTGTGTGGCTTTTCCTTTGGAGTTTATTAACATATTAAAGAATAATACGATTTTGGTAGGGATCATTTGTTATAATTCATCTGTGAAAAATATGTACCGCTTTCCAATGGTAACCAAATGGTTTTCTTGAAGGGCTGGCCTCTGAACATTGGTTATCACTGAATAATATTGTGAAAATGATGATAATGCCCTTTTAAGTGTAAGAGCTGTTTTTTAAATGCAGCCTGAAATGTCAGCCTATTTTGGTGGGATGAAGTTTTGGCCTGCCTGGTGGTAAATTAGTTTAAAAGTCCAATGCAACCATTTTTGTCTCAATATCAAATAATTTCTGGGTAACAATTAAGTAAATTACTGTGATTGTTTTCAATTAAAATGTTCAAAAAGAAACAATTCTTAGTAAAGAGCAATTTCTCAATCAATAATATTGCTAGGACTGTCTTAGCTGTTATTGGCAGAGAGGTTTGAAACTCTTTCTTATTGTTCTATCAACTCATTTACCGCCTGGTGATTACATTTACATTATTTAGCAGACGCTCTTATCCAGAGCGATTTACAGGAGCAATTAGGGTTAAGTGCCTTGCTCAAGGGCACATCGACAGATTTTTCACCTAGTTGGCTCGGGGATTAGGCAGGCCAAAACTCCATCCCACCAAAACAGGCTAAAATGTCAGGTGGTCTTCTCAAACAGCTCTTACACTTAAAGGGCATTAGTTATTTTTGTTTCTTTTTGACCATTTTAATTGAAAACAATCACAGTAAGGTACCTAATTGTTAGGCAGAAATTATTTGATCTAATAGTTCGCCTAATTTCAGTTTGTGACAAAACAAGCATAGTGTAAAGAATCATTGTACCATCTAAACCGCTGTGAAATATATTTTCCATAACCAAAAATATTGTACTTTCAGCTGTTTTGAAGCTGGTGTACAAAACCGAAAGTAAAAGACGCAAAAACAAAACTTAAGACCGGGAAGCATAGAAATAGCGCACATAGAACATATCTACCGCTTCTTCGCTGCTTTCAATGAGAATGACAGATCTATAACTCACAATTCTATGTGAATTTGGTCGGGTCGCCCAAAAAGTTAAATATAGAGGGGTTGGTTGTTTAGCAACAAAAACGACGCATGCACAACCATGGGGCCGAACAGAAGAGGTTGGTTTAGATTGGAGACAAAATATAGCTTACATGTTGTCAACAATGTATATTGAAAACAGACACATTTGCACAATGACCACTTGTTGTCTCGCATACATCGATAGTTGTTGTTTAGCTAGCTAGCGAATTTTTGCCATATTAGCATTGACATGAAATCAGTCAAAACGCCTCAAAACAAGACATGGTATCAACAACAAGCTGAAATTAGACACTTATTATTCCCGACATGGCAGGTTCTTGTCATTCTTGCTAGCAATCTGGCCATCCAGAATCACAACAAGACTGACTTCTGCCCCATGAAGCGTGCACATCGTTTTCGTGATGTTGTCAGCCAACCCATCTATTGCAGCTTTAACTTTTACTGGGGCATGCATGTATTACTGTCATTTTGGTTTGCAAAAAAAAAGATCTCTACAAGAGTTGATAGTAGTTGATTAAACATAGTAATTTGGGTAACACTTTACATGAGTTATTCTTATACCTATGCAGTAAAACTGTAATTGCACTTGGTAGGCCTATTAGCCTAATGTTGTTGCACACCATAGTAACTGCATTATAGACTAATTGATTAGACCTAATTGAGTTGAGAATTTAATTACACAACAGGAATAGGGACTGTCCTTTATTCCACTGGTGTAATAATGAAATATGCTAATTTACAATTACTCAAATACTATGAAACAATAATGTACACCTAAAATAACCCAAATGTGAATTGTTTGAGAAACTACAAAGGCAACCTGTTTATTTATTTATGCATAATTATTTATTTGGCAGTAGGGTGTTTATTCCTTCCACCATTTGTTTTGTATTATGTGATCAATTTTGTTCTCCTCCTTCATTCAAACAGTTTTTCCTACCTATCTGTAGAGTTGTGACTGGCTTTGTTTCTTATCTGGTCTAGCTGCCCTGCACTGGGCACAAAGAAAGTGAACCGCTTTCTCAATAACCACAATTTTACCCCTCTCTCTCTCGATTTACTATCTTGCACAGCAGTTGTGTAATCTGAATGTTGTTTTTACAACACTGGATAAACATCAAAATATGCACTCCAGATCGCTCAGCTGTGCCTACTGTAGGTAGTCTAATGATGGCTGAATTTGGCTAGCTGTTCAGAGGATGGAAGTTGTTTGTGCAGAATGGGAGTGCTTATGCAATGGGCCCGTCCGTTGTCGTAGCTCCACTACTCCACAAAGGGGCTGCTGGAAATACAGCCAGAGCTGTTGTTTCATAAGCCATGCCCCCATCTGGGCCGTGCACTGCAGACAAAGGGTGCAGAGTCAAAGGGTAATCTATGGCGGCTAAATTTATGGTGGTCTTATCAACACCCCTCCTCCCCGGCTCCAGGGGAGCCATATTTTTTCCCAGCATTTTTTGATGACTGCACTTGGACTCGTCCACGTCCCCAGCTGGTTCACTTCTCAGTCTGAGGTGACAGTTAGGTCTTCTTGTTTAGGTAGTGGCTTTTAGGATGGACTCTTCCACTTTTGATCAAAAAGGGTTTTGTCCTATTTGTCACTTGGGATGAATTTGCAGAATTGCTGTGTGATAGAGGCTAGCACTTGTGTAGCCTATTTAAAGCCAATTTAAGCCTTTTCTGTATTCCTGAGTTATCATGCACATTCGAACAGGCATGCTGGCACTCTGTGATGCCATGCAAGGTTACAGAGACAGTGTAGTCTCCAAAGATAAGAAGGCTGTAGTGACCTTAATGTTCTATCTGCACCACACTTTCCTGTTGATTCCAGTCAAACAGTCTCTCTCTCTTTCTCTCTCTCTCTCTCTCTGAACCCAATGTTTAATAGAAAACAAGAGAACTGGAAATACCAACTCTCCTCAGAGGGCCTATATCAAAGAAAATGCTTGAGTCCTCTTTTATGTGCATCAAATACTGCATTGCAACTGCTGGTCCAGTGCTGAAATAAGACTGAGATGCACAATGAAAGTAACTATGGTTATGCAAATGTATTGGACTATTTGTAAATGATAACATTTGCATTCGGTTAATCAGCATCTCACCTGAGTAGGTAACTATTGACATGCACCCGTTTATAAGAGGTTTCATATCCACTCAGGTCACATTGTTTTATGTGATAATATTAAAATCATTTTCATGTGTATTTTACTCAGGTTTGATTGGAATTTAGTCGTGTTTATTAGGAGTGTAACAGAAGAGATCAAATATGGATTTAGACTAAAGATGAACAGCCTACATTACTTTCTGTATGGAACATGGCCTGCCATGTCACAATGTTCCTAAATGGTGCAGTATAGATGACGTATTTAAATGTATTCAAATACAGCATAGACTGTGGCTCAACTGATAATGATTCTTCAAAATGGAGGATGAGCTAGGAAAAATGAGTGACACCTCAGTCAGTTTGACAAGATGGTATTTACTCCTGCAGGAATGGCAGCCACCGTTTGCGTGTGATGTGGACAGACTGCACTTCACGCCCCGGATCCAGAGACTTAATGAATTGGAGGTATGTTCATTTTACTACTTAACTGGTTTATCCATACAGTACCTATTTTTAATAATAGTATATCTAGTTACCTTATTATGAGCGACTGGATATGTATGTAGCCAAGTTTTTATTTTTAATATGTGGATTACTTTTTTACAATGAGATGTTCCACAAAGTTATTTTGGGGAATACATCTTCTCAATCCACATTATTATCCTACTATTTTATAAGTGCTAAAGAAATAAAAGAAAACTGACAAATAAACACATTAGTCTGCTAATTCTTTAGGCCTAATCTAACGCGAATCTGAAGGCTACATTGATGCATTGAGTGACATTGTCAGTAAAACAGTGGCTTCAACAGGCTAATAACACCCAGCAACAGGGTGTCTATTGAAGCCAGAGTGCTCTCTGGCCTCTGAAGTGTGCCTTGTAGAAAAAGTTGATGACATCAGGTCAAAGGTCACTGGTTCCTAGACCTTTAACCCTTTTTTTTGATACAATGAGCTACTTTAAATGTCAATGTCCTGTAAGGTTGGGCGGTATCCAGATTTCCGTAACTTCATACCATGCCTGTCGTATACCGGGGTATACGGTATTACCAGTGGTGCACATAAGGGCACGATTTTTTGTTGTTGTAAAAAACAAACAAAAAATGCTAACATGTACTAAGGAATTCCCATAGTAAATTCTAACGAGAGCATGCAAACATAAATTGCAAGGACAGACAACCCAGCTCATAAAGTTAAGTATCTCAAAAGGCTACTCAGTTTCAAATCAAATCAAATTTTATTGGTCACATGCGCCGAATACAACAGGTGCAGACATTACAGTGAAATGCTTACTTACAGCCCTTAACCAACAGTGCATTTATTTTAAACAAAAAAAGTAAGAATAAAACAACAACAAAAAAAGTGTTGAGAAAAAAAAGAGCAGAAGTAAAATAAAGTGACAGTAGGGAGGCTATATATACAGGGGGGTACCGTTGCAGAGTCAATGTGCGGGGGCACCGGCTAGTTGAGGTAATATGTACATGTGGGTAGAGTTAAAGTGACTATGCATAAATACTTAACAGAGTAGCAGCAGCGTAAAAAGGATGGGGTGGGGGGGCAGTGCAAATAGTCTGGGTAGCCATGATTAGCTGTTCAGGAGTCTTATGGCTAGGGGGTAGAAGCTGTTGAGAAGTCTTTTGGACCTAGACTTGGCACTCCGGTACCGCTTGCCGTGCGGTAGCAGAGAGAACAGTCTATGACTAGGGTGGCTGGAGTCTTTGACAATTTTGAGGGCCTTCCTCTGACACCGCCTGGTATAGAGGTCCTGGATGGCAGGAAGCTTTGCCCCAGTGATGTACTGGGCCGTACGCACTACCCTCTGTAGTGCCTTGCGGTCGGAGGCCAAGCAGTTGCCATACCAGGCGGTGATGCAACCAGTCAGGATGCTCTCGATGGTGCAGCTGTAGAATTTTTTGAGGATCTGAGGACCCATGCCAAATCTTTTTAGTCTCCTGAGGGGGAATAGGCTTTGTCGTGCCCTCTTCACGACTGTCTTGGTGTGTTTGGACCATGATAGTTCGTTGGTGATGTGGACACCAAGGAACTTGAAGCTCTCAACCTGTTCCACTACAGCCCCGTCGATGAGAATGGGGGCGTGCTCAGTCCTTTTTTTTTTTCTGTAGTCCACAATCATCTCCTTTGTCTTGGTCACGTTGAGGGAGAGGTTGTTGTCCTGGCACCACACGGCCAGATCTCTGACCTCCTCCCTATAGGCTGTCTCATCGTTGTCGGTGATCAGGCCTACCACTGTTGTGTCGTCGGCAAACTTAATGATGGTGTTGGAGTCGTGCCTGGCCATGCAGTCATGGGTGAACAGAGAGTACAGGAGGGGACTGAGCACGCACCCCTGAGGGGCCCCCGTGTTGAGGATCAGTGTGGCAGATGTGTTGTTACCTACCCTTACCACCTGGGGGCGGCCCGTCAGGAAGTCCAGGATCCAGTTGCAGAGGGAGGTGTTTAGTCCCAGGATCCTTAGCTTAGTGATGAGCTTAGAGGGCACTATGGTGTTGAATGCTGAGCTGTAGTCAATGAATAGCATTCTCACGTAGGTGTTCCTCTTGTCCAGGTGGGAAAGGGCAGTGTGGAGTGCGATAGAGATTGCATCATCTGTGGATCTGTTGGGGCGGTATGCAAATTGGAGTGGGTCTAGCGTTTCTGGGATAATGCTGTTGATGTGAGCCATGACCAGCCTTTCAAAGTTTGAGCATACACAAAACAAAAATTAGACAGCAGGGATCTTAATCCAGGAGGGGGTTGTCTCTGCTGCTACCAAGATTCAAACTAAATACACAGCTGGAAAGAGTTTATTTGGCACTTATTAGATAGAGATGGATACAGATGTGTATATATACAGTGGGGGGAAAAAAGTATTTAGTCAGCCACCAATTGTGCAAGTTCTCCCACTTAAAAAGATGAGAGAGGTCTGTAATTTTCATCATATGTACACGTCAACTATGACAGACAAATAGATAAAAAAAATATCCAGGAAATCACATTGTAGGATTTTTAATGAATTTATTTGCAAATTATGGTGGAAAATAAGTATTTGGTCACCTACAAACAAGCAAGATTTCTGGCTCTCACAGACCTGTAACTTCTTCTTTAAGAGGCTCCTCTGTCCTCCACTCGTTACCTGTATTAATGGCACCTGTTTGAACTTGTTATCAGTATAAAAGACACCTGTCCACAACCTCAAACAGTCACACTCCAAACTCCACTATGGCCAAGACCAAAGAGCTGTCAAAGGACACCAGAAACAAAATTGTAGACCTGCACCAGGCTGGGAAGACTGAATCTGCAATAGGTAAGCAGCTTGGTTTGAAGAAATCAACTGTGGGAGCAATTATTAGGAAATGGAAGACATACAAGACCACTGATAATCTCCCTCGATCTGGGGCTCCACGCAAGATCTCACCCCGTGGGGTCAAAATGATCACAAGAACGGTGAGCAAAAATCCCAGAACCACACGGGGGGACCTAGTGAATGACCTGCAGAGAGCTGGGACCAAAGTAACAAAGCCTACCATCAGTAACACACTACGCTGCCAGGGACTCAAATCCTGCAGTGCCAGACGTGTCCCCCTGCTTAAGCCAGTACATGTCCAGGCCCGTCTGAAGTGTGCTAGAGTGCATTTGGATGATCCAGAAGAGGATTGGGAGAATGTCAGATGAAACCAAAATAGAACTTTTTGGTAAAAACTCAACTCGTCGTGTTTGGAGGACAAAGAATGCTGAGTTGCATCCAAAGAACACCATACCTACTGTGAAGCATGGGGGTGGAAACATCATGCTTTGGGGCTGTTTTTCTGCAAAGGGACCAGGACGACTGATCCGTGTAAAGGAAAGAATGAATGGGGCCATGTATCGTGAGATTTTGAGTGAAAACCTCCTTCCATCAGCAAGGGCATTGAAGATGAAACATGGCTGGGTCTTTCAGCATGACAATGATCCCAAACACACCGCCCGGGCAACGAAGGAGTGGCTTCGTAAGAAGCATTTCAAGGTCCTGGAGTGGCCTAGCCAGTCTCCAGATCTCAACCCCATAGAAAATCTTTGGAGGGAGTTGAAAGTCCGTGTTGCCCAGCGACAGCCCCAAAACATCACTGCTCTAGAGGAGATCTGCATGGAGGAATGGGCCAAAATACCAGCAACAGTGTGTGAAAACCTTGTGAAGACTTACAGAAAACGTTTGACCTGTGTCATTGCCAACAAAGGGTATATAACAAAGTATTGAGAAACTTTTGTTATTGACCAAATACTTATTTTCCACCATAATTTGCAAATAAATTCATTAAAAATCCTACAATGTGATCTTCAGGATTTTTTTTTCTAATTTTGTCTGTCATAGTTGACGTGTACCTATGATGAAAATTACAGGCCTCTCATCTTTTTAAGTGGGAGAACTTGCACAATTGGTGGCTGACTAAATACTTTTTTCCCCCCACTGTACATCTCGCTCGCAAACATTGGTAGTGAATTTCATAACTTGAAATGTGTAACTTGATCACCTCACTTAAGTTGCACTGCAGGAGTGACTCACCTCACAAAGCTCGCTCAATCAGCTGTTTTGGGGGAACTACCAGTCAATTTAATAATGAAAAATAACATGTGAAATGAAGAGCACAATCTTCTTTATCGATTAACCTAGTGCACAAGTTGACTGCAGGTATTTATTTAAAAAGTACAAATATCGAAATCTATTAAACTAACATTTGTTTCAATGGTATTTAAAATCATACCGTGGGTATTTAAAAAATACCCCTGTATACGTTATATCGCCCAACCTTAAAGTCCTATCATTTGCATTTAAAAGTAGCGCTGCAGGGGATTAATTATTATAGAAACAATGGCATGTAATGCACCATTTGATAAGTATTATTTGTTTTTTCTTTTATCTTGCCGATGTGTGAAATGTACCAATGTTTTGTGATTTTATGTTGTAGGCTCAAACCAGAGTCAAGCTCAACTTCCTGGATCAAATCGCAAAGTTCTGGGAGCTACAAGGGTGCACCCTGAAAATCCCTCATGTGGAAAGAAAGAATCTGGACCTGTACCAACTCAACAAGGTATGTAGCTACAACTTCTGGCACACCCTGGATGCAGGAAACTGGCCAGCTATTCTTGGATATGATCCAGGGGGCATTTGTGTTATACACTCATATAAGCATGGGAGCTCTATATGCTTCTTATTGTGCTATGTTTACACATTTTTATACACACACACACACACACACAGTAAATCTAATTGATTGGTATCCTCCTTCCTTTACCAGTTGGTGAACGATGACCGGGGTTTTGACGCGGTTTGCAGAGAGAGACGCTGGTCTAAGATAGCCCTAAAGATGGGCTTTGCTCCAGGCAAGGCCATAGGCTCTCATCTGCGCTCTCACTATGAGAGGATCCTCTACCCCTACAACCTGTTCCAGACTGGAGCCAACCTTCTGGTGAGTCAGATGGTCGCTCTCTCAGCAGATGGTGCTCTGCTCTGGGCTGTTTACTAATGTGCTCTTATCTCGAGTTGAGGACTAAGAGGTTGTGCTGCGTCAAAGGTGTAGACATTGTCCATAGCGAAATGTCAAAAAAAGAAAGAAAAGTTTTAGCTGTTGATATAACATTTATTTTCCAATAAATACCTGCTCGAAGATGGAAGCAGGGTCAACTTTATAAATGGGTCAACTGTACAAATAATTGGCAGTTCTTTTTTCCTGCGTAAAATGTGTAAAAGTGACTTGTCACTCCCTGCTGTCTCGGTATGTAGAGCATCACCCTAAATTAAGCTAATACCAGCCAAGCTCATTATTAACTGCCCTACTACTGCAGAGAAGGCACGTCAGAAGTGAACTGGCACTCACGTGGCCTCTTTTCCACACTACTCTATAAGTTTGATATTTGGCCAGGGATAATGTCAAATTATGTATTCAGTAGGTCTTCTTAACTGCAGTAGGTCTGCTTTGTCCCTTGGTATAACGAGGAGTTGAAGGGTCCTGGGTTTTGCACACACATTTAGTTATATGCTAGATGAAGCCTGGGACTTTTAAAAAGCATGACTGGAATCCTGACAACAAACTGGCAACAAACCAACCATTTTCTTAGTGAGCTCTCCTCCCCATTGGGTTATTTTTGTATAATTTAGTACCGGTTTCCTCTTTTCTTTCCGTGTTTATTTTATTGAAGGCCTAAGTTGTCTCTTGCAGCTTCTCTGATTGTACCTTGGGGCCCTGGTTGGGTTTTGTGGTTAGCAGCAGCTCATCCTCTCTTTGCAGTGCTGCATGCCTCTCTCTCAACCTGCTGGCCTTGACCTCCCCTGATCCCCTCCCTCTCCTCCCCTTTCACCCTCCTCCCTCTTGCCCCACCCTCCCTGTGTAGAGGCCTAGCTGTCTCTGGCCTGGCTGCTGCCCTCGCACTGTCCTCCTGATACACCAGAGACAGCAGAGCGTCAGTGATCCCAACCCCCACCTCACCTCAGTGTTGCTGCTTGTCTTCCTCTTTGTCATGTGAGTGGTGTCAACAGAAAGATTAGAGACCATGTGCTGATCTGGCAAGACAAAAACAAGTATCAACAGTTGAAGCCCATGTGTGTAGTGGTGGGTAATGTTGAAGTTTGAATTAGATGGTTGAATTTATCAAGCCATGGTATTCAACAACTCAATTACAATTATTTTGTTCAAAGGCAACAATGAAAGATTGGAAATCAAACCCCCAAGGGAACTGTAAGACAACTAGGCACCTAAACAACCACATGGCCCTGCCTCTGTTTATCAAATCAAATCAAATTGTATTTGCCACATGCACCGAATACAACAGGTGTAGACATTACTGTGAAATGCTTACTTACAGCCCTAAACCAACAATGCATTTATTTCTTAATAAAAAAGTAAAATAAAACAACAACAAAAAAGTGTTGAGAAAAAAGAGCAGAAGTAAAGTAAAATAAAATAACAGTAGGGAGGCTTTATACAGGGGGGTACCGGTGCAGAGTCAATGTGCGGGGGCACCGGCTAGTTGAGGTAGGTGAGGTAATATGTACATGTGGGTAGAGTTAAAGTGACTATGCATAAATAATTAACAGAGTAGCAGCAGCGTAAAAAGATGGGGTGGGGGTGCAAATAGTCCGGGTAGCCATGATTAGCTGTTCAGGAGTCTTATGGCTTGGGGGTAGAAGCTGTTGAGAAGCCTTTTGGACCTAGACTTGGCGCTCCGGTACCGCTTGCCGTGCGGTAGCAGAGAGAACAGTCTATGACTAGGGTGGCTGGAGTCTTTGACAATTTTTAGGGCCTTCCTCTGACACCGCCTGGTATAGAGGTCCTGGATAGCAGGAAGCTTGGCCCCAGTGATGTACTGGGCCGTACGCACTACCCTCTGTAGTGCCTTGCGCTCGGAAGCCGAGCAGTTGCCATACCAGGCGGTGATGCAACCAGTCAGGATGCTCTCGATGGTGGAGCTGTATAACTTTTTGAGGATCTGAGGACCCATGCCAAATCTTTTCAGTCTCCTGAGGGAGAATAGGCGTTGTCGTGCCCTCTTCACGACTGTCTTGGTGTGTTTGGACCATGATAGTTCGTTGGTGATGTGGACACCAAAGAACTTGAAGCTCTCAACCTGTTCCACTACAGCCCTGTCGATGAGAATTGGGGCGTGCTCAGTCCTCTTTTTTTTTTCCTGTAGTCCACAATCATCTCCTTTGTCTTGGTCACGTTGAGGGAGAGGTTGTAATCCTGACACCACACGGCCAGGTCTCTGACCTCCTCCCTATAGGCTGTCTCGTCGGTGATCAGGCCTACCACTGTTGTGTCGTCGGTAAACTTAATGATGGTGTTGGAGTTGTGCCTGGCCATGCAGTCATGGGTGAACAGGGAGTACAGGAGGGGACTGAGCACGCACCCCTGAGGGGCCCCTGTGTTGAGGATCAGCGTGGCAGATGTGTTGTTACCTACCCTTACCACCTGGGGGCGGCCCGTCAGGAAGTCCAGGATCCAGTTGCAGAGGGAGGTGTTTAGTCCCAGGATCCTTAGCTTAGTGATGAGCTTTGAGGGCACTATGGTGTTGAACGCTGAGCTGTAGTGAATGAATAGCATTCTCACGTAGGTGTTCCTCTTGTCCAGGTGGGAAAGGGCAGTGTGGAGTGCAATAGAGTGCATCATCATCTGTGGATCTGTTGGGGCGGTATGCAAATTGGAGTGGGTCTAGCGTTTCTGGGATATTGGTGTTGTGAGCCTTTACATTTACATCATTTAGCAGACACTCTTATCCAGAGCGACTTACAAATTGGTGCATTCAACTTATGGGGGGGGGGGGGGGGGGGGGGGGGGGGGGGGGGGGGTAGAAGGATTACTTTATACTATTCCAGGTATTCCTTAAAGAGGTAGGGTTTCAAGTGTCTCCGGAAGGTGGTCAGTGACTCCGCTGTCCTGACAGCCATGACCAGCCTTTCAAAGCACTTCATGGCTACAGACGTCAGTGCTACGGGTCGGTAGTCATTTAGGCAGGTTATCTTAGTGTCCTTGGGCATGGGGATTATGGTGGTCTGCTTGAAACATGTTGGGATTACAGACTCAGTCAGGGACATGTTGAAAATGTCGGTGAAGACACTTGCCAGTTGGTCAGCACATGCTCGGAGTACACGTCCTGGTAATCCGTCTGGCCCTGCGGCCTTGTGAATGTTGACCTGCTTAAAAGTCTTACTCACATCGGCTACGGAGAGCGTGATCACATAGTCCGGAACAGCTGGTGCTCTCATGCATGCTTCAGTGTTGCTTGCCTCGAAGCGAGCATAGAAGTGGTTTAGCTCGTCTGGTAGGCTTGTGTCACTGGGCAGCTCGCGGCTGTGCTTCCCTTTGTAGTCTGTAATAGTTTTCAAGCCCTGCCACATCCGACGAGCATCAGAGCCGGTGTAGTACGATGCCTAGTTTGTTCTTGGCAAATTGAATTTGTCACAGCATAATAGTAGTAGGAGTGACAAGGAGCTAGCAAAGCGCTTTCTGTTGTCATTCAAACAGAATTATTGTCATTTGCTTCTCATTATTTTCAAACAAACATATGTTTGATATCTGTGAAAATGTCTCATTGATGATATTATGGGGACTCTGTGTTAGAAAGCTCTACATGCCCACTCACTCCCCCATGTCTCCCCTACAGAAGCCTACTCTGACTAATGACACCAAGGACATGGACTACATCCCCCATGACCTGCCCCAGCGCCAGTCTGTCCAGCCCCTGGAGACCTGCAGCATTGCTCGCAGAGCCAAGCGCATGAGAGCTGAGGTGAGCTTCTTCCCGGTTCCCCATAAGTCACAATTCTACCTCTAGGTCGCCATAAGTAAACATTCTACCTCAGTCAGTGGCTCTGGTTCCCCATAAGTCACAATTCTAACCCACAATAGTTACATGGAAGACAGCTCTGTCCGAGTCATTGTGTGAAAAGCCCAAAGGCACAATTTGGTTTGCAGCTTTGCGTATATTTCTGGATACTGACCAAAAGAGCCTGTTTGTGTATGCAATGGTGACCTCTAGAAAAGGATGTTGCTCTTCCTGAATTTCCTGTCGTAGTCCACATGGCATGAACCCCTCTCTCTCTGACAGGGAGGCTGTATGAAGACTGAGACCGAAGATGACTGTGAGAACCGTCCCAACCTGAGGAGGAGGATGGGTTCCTACGTGGCCAAGCCAGAGCCACAGCCTGGTAAACACTGACCTCTGTCCTCTGGCAAAGTCTAGTGCAATGTGAAATAATTTTAATATTTTTCATGAACAAATGAAAATGTTTCTCATGTTTTAATTTAAGTTTTGATAATTATTACATTAAAAAAAAGTAAAATGGTGAAGGAAATTAACATTTTATAATATTTTAAATCTACAGTACCGTTCAAAAGTTTGGGGTCACTTAGAAATGTCCTTGTTTTTGAAAGAAAAGCAATTTTTTGTCAATTAAAATAACATCAAATTGATCAGAAATACAGTGCAGCATCCCGGAGTCGCCTCTTCACTGTTGACGTTGAGACTGGTGTTTTGCGAGTACTATTTAATTAAGCTGCCAGTTGAGGACCTGTGAGGCGCCTGTTTCTCAAACTAGACACTCTAATGTATTTGTCCTCTTGCTCAGTTGTGCACCGGGGCCTCCCACTCCTCTTTCTATTCTGGTTAGAGCCAGTTTGCGCTGTTCTGTGAAGAGAGTAGTACACAGCGTTGTACGAGATCTTCAGTTTCTTGGCAATTTCTCGCATAGAATAGCCTTAATTTTTCAGAACAAGAATAGACTGACTAGTTTCAGAAGGAAGTTATTTGTTTCTGGCCATTTTGAGGCTGTAATCGAACCCACAATTGCTGATGCTTCAGATACTCAACTAGTCTCAAGAAGGCCAGTTTTATGCTTCTTTAATCAGCACTACAGTTTTCAGCTGTGCTAACATAATTGCAAAAGGGTTTTCTAATGATCAATTAGCCTTTTAAATGATAAACTTGGATTAGCAAACACAACGTGCCATTGGAACACAGGACTGATGGTTGCTGATAATGGGTCTCTGTACGCCTATGTAGATATTCCATAAAAAATCTGCCGTTTCCAGCTACAATAGCCATTTACAACATTAACAATGTCTACACTGTATTTCTGATCAATTTGATATTTTAATGGACAAAAAAAATGGCTTTTCTTTCGAAAACAAGGACATTTCTGAGTGACCCCAAACTTTTGAACGGCAGTGTATATAAGAACAGGGTTGTGTTGATATGAGTACATACTGTATGCCCTGGCCTCCATTATTCATGTCATAAATGTATTTCAGTGGAAGTGAAACTGGAACCCACTGAGCACGAGGAGCCAATAACAAGTGACAAAGAAAGTGTGCTTGCTAAGAAAAACGACCCTGCAGTGAGTAAAGTACGTTTATATGCTGAGCTAATCAAGGCTAATTGTCACTTCATTATTACTACGATGATGATAATAACCATAATGGATAGCATTTATTCAGGTCTCTCACAAAAGTACAATTGCTTAAGCTCTTTACATTTTAATGGTTAGTTAACTCATCCCTTCCACCAACCTGGGTGATGTTTTTGCTCTATAGTGGATAAGAAGCCTCATGGTCTTGTCTCTGTCTCCTCAGGTGGATCAGTACATGTGTCTGGTGTGTGGCAGCGGGAGTGAAGAGGACCGCCTGCTGCTGTGTGACGGCTGTGACGACAGCTACCACACCTTCTGTCTGATACCGCCCCTCCACGATGTCCCCAAAGGAGACTGGAGATGTCCCAAGTGCCTGGCTCAGGTGACAGACATGCTCCCGCTCTCCCCCAGCCCTAATTACCGTACTACACTGTCACTCTGTAAACCAACTCGACACACCCCGTCCACTGGGGAAGCTGAACGCAGAAGCAGCAGTAGTCGTGAAATGGGAACTGAATCTTGTTTTCATTAAAAGGCTAAAACACTAGACTCTTAAAGCGAAACAAAAGAATGCTAAACCTCTGTTTTGTGGTTATCTCATATACCGGAGCTGCTCAGTAGAATCCTACTCCTGTTGGTATTGTTTTCGGCAAGTATAACTTGATGTTGACATTTTGCTGCATTAGTGCTTATCTCATCCTTGTCTTCCCTAAAGGAGTGTGGCAAACCCCAGGTAGCCTTTGGCTTCGAGCAGGCTGGCAGGGACTACTCCCTACGCACTTTTGGGGACATGGCCGACTCCTTCAAGTCAGACTATTTCAACATGCCGGTTCATGTAAGTTTGGCAGCAGATGTACTGTCCTCATCAGTGTCATGTTTAAGATGGAACCTCGGTTTCAAAGTATTTTCCCAGTGTCTTTGTGCCTACTGAACCCCCACCTGATATAAGCTGTATTAGACGTAGCTCAACCAAGCTCAGCCTGTAGTTGAGGTAATGGTTTTTCTCTGTCTCTGTTTGTCAGATGGTTCCCACAGAGCTGGTGGAGAAGGAGTTCTGGCGGCTGGTTAGCACCATCGAGGAGGACGTCACTGTGGAGTATGGAGCAGACATCGCCTCCAAGGAGTTTGGGAGCGGCTTCCCCATCAGGGGCGGACGATTCCAAGTCTCCCCTGAGGATGAGGTACACAAAGGCTCTCCTCTTACAAGTTAACATATGCTAAGTATTGGGATGATTCTGAAGTTGACTGTACCACAACATCATGGCAACGGTACACAATTTCAGACCAAGAGAACTGTCATGAAAAATAAATAAATGAAAATGTACTACTCTCAAATAGTTCTATAGCTCACAACCCACATACATCTATGCTCTCAGACTGTGGTAGCACTTGTGGCTTATATTTAAGGTGATATTGGAGTTCTACTGGAGATTAAACCCTAGCCAGTATCACCCGCAGTTGAGTCGAGCCTTAACTTGTACTTGTCTCTGACCCATAGGATTACCTGAGCAGCGGCTGGAACCTGAACAACATGCCCGTGATAGACTCCTCGGTGCTGACTCACGTTACGGCCGACATCTGTGGGATGAAGTTACCATGGCTCTACGTGGGCATGTGCTTCTCCTCCTTCTGCTGGCACATTGAGGACCACTGGAGCTACTCCATCAACTACCTGCACTGGTACATACAGGCTGCCTCTAAGGCCCCACAGGCCATTAGTATGGGACTGGAGTTTTACCTGACCTTGTGACTGGACCAGGAAAGACTCCTGTTCCGCAGGATAATGCACTGTATAGGTCTAAGCAAATGGCCTCTGCTTCTTTCATTTTGAGGAATCTTGTCAAACCCAATTGCTTGCATAGTATTGGAGTTTATTGGTTGACGTGGTATTAAACACCTCAATATACCTCAATCTTCAGAGTGATAACAGCAATCAGTGTTTTTGACAAACTGGCATCTGTGTCCTCAGGGGAGAGCCCAAGACGTGGTACGGCGCTCCGGGGTACGCTGCGGAGAAGCTGGAGGGGGTGATGAGGAAACTGGCCCCCGAGCTGTTTGAGTCTCAACCTGACCTCCTGCACCAGCTGGTCACCATCATGAACCCCAACACACTGATGAACCATGGTGTCCCCGTAAGTAACACACACACACACACACATGCACACACACTGTGTTTATAGTTATGGTCTAACCATGACTGCATACCCACTCATCTCTAGATCTATCGCACCAATCAGTGTGCTGGTGAGTTTGTCATCACCTTCCCTAGAGCCTACCACAGCGGATTTAACCAGGGCTTCAACTTCGCTGAGGCTGTCAACTTCTGCACCATGGACTGGGTAAGATGCCTTGGAAGTCCCTCGTCAATACCATACAGAAGCTAATAAATGAATAACTGGAAGCTGTTTCTAATGACCAGTGGTCAATACACCTGGTCCTGGAGAGCTACATGATGTACAGGCTTATCATGGTCCGGATGAACAATACATTAGCTCAGTCAGGTGTGTTAATGCTGGGCTTGAACAAAAGGCTGTATACCTTGTAGCTCTTTGGATCAAGTTTGGTTATTAATGATGTAACCAGCACTGTGTACGGCTCAGTTCAATAGTGTTAAATCGATAGTATAGTTCTAACCTAAAGCCTCCTGCTCTGTCATTTTAGATGCCCATGGGCCGCATGTGTGTGGACCACTACAGACAGCTGAATAGGTACTGTGTCTTCTCCCATGACGAGATGGTCTGCAAGATGACGTCCAAGGCGGACACCATGGACGTGGCCCTGGCCTCGGCCGTGCAGAGGGACATGACCGTTATGCTCCAGGAGGAGGACAAGCTGAGGGACAAAGTCCGCAAGATGGTGAGAGGCCTCTCATACTGGCACACTTTCATAGATTTTTGACAACATTATCATTAGAGAAGCAAATGGCCAGAGTAAACTTTCCTCGTGTCTGTGCCTGAGTCATCCATAGGACACTACTGGTGTGGGTGTCTGTGTGATCTCTGTGACACTACTCATCTGTGGGTGTGTGTTTATGACACTCATCATCTGTCTGTGTGTGATACTACTAATCTGTTTGTGTTTCCGTGTGTCCCCAGGGCGTGCAGCAGTCCCAGCAGGTGGAGTACGACCTGCTGCCAGACGAGGAACGCCAGTGTTCCAAGTGCAGGACCACCTGCTACCTGTCTGCCCTCACCTGTCCCTGTAACCCCGGCCAGCTGGTGTGTCTGCACCATGCCCAAGACCTCTGCTCCTGCCCCCCCAACAACCTCACACTCAAGTAGGTCTATCCACAGCTAAGTTGGTGCTAGATGCACACATTAGAATGTTAACATTCATCCCCATCATTACATATATCCCATGTTTTACAGAAACGGGCAATCAACAGAAGCTCATAAGTTAAAACTTTTTTTTTGTTGCAGTTTTCAAGTAAAATGCCCCTTTAAGAACATCTATCAACTTAAAGTCAGGGTCAAATTCAGAGTGAGCAGCATTAAAACTTCTAAAAGCCTTCTAGAACCTTCTGATGAAAAACAAACAAGTGTCACCTGGCCAGAAAATCAACAGTTGTGACAACAGTTACTCAGCCAAGATTCCAGTCTTCAGAAACACTATAGACGTGTTTACCTGGTTGTGTGTCTTGGTCTTCAGCTACAGGTTTACCATGGCTGAGCTCTACCCCATGATGGAAGCAGTCACTCTGCGTGCCGAGTCCTACACAGGCTGGGTCTCCCATGTCAGTAACATACTGGAGGCCAAACAAGACAGGAAAAGCAGTAAGTACTAACCCTAAGTAGGATACCTCTTTGGAATCAGGCGTCTGTGGAATTTAAATGGGTCATTACATAACAAAATGCAAAATTATGTTATTGCTGCTTATTTGCATAACTCCAAGTAGACAGGATGTTCTCAAATGTATTATGGAATGTTTTGTACTTCTCGTCACCCAAATATGTTGCCTTTGTCTAATGATACACACAAAATACCAGAATAGATTATTTTCTACCATTTGCTAATCATACAGTTTACTTGATAATTGGACCTTGATTCTTTGGATGAATTGATGACTGTGTCTAAAGCAGTGTTCTGAAGCACTGTTTGTTTATTTATGTGTTCAGGCTTGGAGGTACTGCGCTCCCTGGTGGAGGAGGCGGAGGTGAAGCAGTTCCCTAAGAGTGACCTCCTGCGGCAGCTCTGCACTGTTTCCCTGGATGCTGAGAAGTGTGCCGTGGTGGCCCAGCAGCTGCTCAATGGGAAAAGGCAGACCAGGTATTTCTATTATTGTATTATCATGCTTTCTAATGTTAAAATCCTTTACCACTCCTAATTCTAGTATTGCTAGACACATGGTTAGACAAATAGTCATAACTAATGCGCAAAGCAATAATGTGCTCTAGTGAAAATAGTTTAAGCTTGTGTGCTCTGTTGGTTAGCCGTGTCTCTGATCTTTAGTGTGTTGTTGTCAGGTATCGTTCAGGTGGAGGGAAGTCCCAGAGCCAGAACCTGCTGACGGTGGAGGAGCTCAGGTCGTTTGTCAGGCAGCTGCACAACCTGCCCTGCAGCATCCGCCAGGCCCCCTTACTCATGGTACAACTATAGGGCCAGAATATATCCACTACTATCACAGTGACAACTCCTGCTTTCCTCACTTCGCTATCACACCTGACTCCGCTCAGCACAGTCTTGATTAGTTGAAGATGCACTAGGCGGGGACAAAGCCTACGTACAGCCACAGTGGTCTTTCAGGACAAGGATAACACTGAACAAAAACAACAACAGCGTTCATTGATTGACCCTTTTACTTGCTTGTATTTCCCCCCAGGACCTGCTTACCCGTGTGGATGACTTCCAGCAGCGCAGCGAGCGGCTCCTCTGTGACGGGGCCCCCAGCCCAGCGGAGCTGCAGACCCTGCTGGACGTGAGCCTCGGTCTGGATGTGGAGCTGCCCCAGCTGGTCCCGCTCAGGGAGAGGCTGGAGCAGGCGCGCTGGCTGGAGGTGGTTCAGGGGGCCAGCAGCCAGCCCCACAGCCTCTGTCTGGACACCATGCGGAGGCTGATAGACCAGGGGGTGGGTCTGGCCCCGCACGCCTTGGTAGAGAAAGCCATGGCGCGCCTGCAGGAGCTGCTCACCATGTCTGAGCACTGGGAGGAGCGGGCGCTCGGCCTCATGGAGGCCAGGTGAGAGGCAAGGGAGGAGGAGAGCGCCTTAGACAGTACTGTAGTTGAATATGCAAGTTGACCGGTTCTATCCTACATCACATTATGTACAGGAAAAACTCTTGATTCAGTAGTTTCACCTTTCCTTCTTTCCCTGAGACATGGCTGTAGACTCCTAGCTGTAGTGGGGGTCTACAGCCATGTCTCAAGGCCACTTCTTTCATAACTTGAGTAATACAAAAACTTTAATAGTAAAGCCATAGACATGTTTTCATTAGGATGCACAAAACAAGATTTTAAAAATAGAATGAGATGTGTAAAACAAAATAAAGCACACTGACATAGTTAATAGTAAATATGAAGCCCTGACACCTACCTTGCGAAAAGCTGCTTAGAAGTTCAGCCAGCAGAGAGTGAAAAGTGCAAGGTTTGCATTCGGAGTTGAAAGCTGCTCACTGATTGATTAACTGGATCAGTGGGTTGGGACAATGCTCTGCTCGGCTGGCTCACGCAACAGTTTACACAGAGGCGCTAGTCGCAGAGCTGGGTCCCATTGCTATGAGGGTAAACTGTGGCGGTTGCCTGAATTGAGACATCTTGGACCCTAAGGTCTTATTTGACAACTCTGAACTTTTTGAAATGGAGAAATGATGTACAGAACACTAATTCCACTGTCCATAAGCAACATCGCTTAAAGAGTTGGTTTATTCTATTGGTTTAGTTCGCTCTCTTCAGACAAGCTGAAATCTAGCTCCTCATAGTGCTAATGTGAAGAGTGACCACTGTAGAACCATATGAACTGTGAAATGAGTGACTAATTTGTACCACCTGGTTTTGAGAAGTTATGAAAGGTGTTGACAGAACTTCAAATCAAATTTTATTGGTCACATGCGCCGAATACAACAGGTGCAGACATTACAGTGAAATGCTTACTTACAGCCCTTAACCAACAGTGCATTTATTTTAAACAAAAAAAGTAAGAATAAAACAACAACAAAAAAAGTGTTGAGAAAAAAAAGAGCAGAAGTAAAATAAAGTGACAGTAGGGAGGCTATATATACAGTAAAATAAAGTGACAGTAGGGAGGCTATATATACAGGGGGGTACCGTTGCATAGTCAATGTGCGGGGGCACCGGCTAGTTGAGGTAGTTGAGGTAATATGTACATGTGGGTAGAGTTAAAGTGACTATGCATAAATACTTAACAGAGTAGCAGCAGCGTAAAAAGGATGGGGTGGGGGGGCAGTGCAAATATTCCGGGTAGCCATGATTAGCTGTTCAGGAGTCTTATGGCTTGGGGGTAGAAGCTGTTGAGAAGTCTTTTGGACCTAGACTTGGCACTCCGGTACCGCTTGCCGTGCGGTAGCAGAGAGAACAGTCTATGACTAGGGTGGCTGGAGTCTTTGACAATTTTGAGGGCCTTCCTCTGACACCGCCTGGTATAGAGGTCCTGGATGGCAGGGAGCTTTGCCCCAGTGATGTACTGGGCCATACGCACTACCCTCTGTAGTGCCTTGCGGTCAGAGGCCAAGCAGTTGCCATACCAGGCGGTGATGCAACCAGTCAGGATGCTCTCGATGGTGCAGCTGTAGAATTTTTTGAGGATCTGAGGACCCATGCCAAATCTTTTTAGTCTCCTGAGGGGGAATAGGCTTTGTCGTGCCCTCTTCACGACTGTCTTGGTGTGTTTGAACCATGATAGTTCGTTGGTGATGTGGACACCAAGGAACTTGAAGCTCTCAACCTGTTCCACTACAGCCCCGTTGATGAGAATGGGGGCGTGCTCAGTCCTCTTTTTTTTTCCTGTAGTCCACAATCATCTCCTTTGTCTTGGTCACGTTGAGGGAGAGGTTGTTGTCCTGGCACCACACGGCCAGATCTCTGACCTCCTCCCTATAGGCTGTCTCATCGTTGTCGGTGATCAGGCCTACCACTGTTGTGTCGTCGGCAAACTTAATGATGGTGTTGGAGTCGTGCTTGACACTAAAGATAAGCAGTACTGTGTCTATTTGTGTTTTTAAGCCTAGCTTCTATTTTCTCCAGGCCCTGTCACTGTGTGGAAACTCTTGAGGCAACTCTGCAGGAGGTGGATAGTATCCCTGCCTATCTGCCCAACTGTCTGCTGCTGAAGGACACGGTGGACCAGGCTAAAGACTGGCTTCAGGAAGCAGACACCCTGCAGGTATGAGGCTCTTAGGTTGTGTCCCAAATGGCACCCTATTCCCTATGTAGTGCACTACTTTTTTTGGGGGGGGGAGCCAGACTGCTTGTGAGAGTGTCTATATGCTTATAAGAGTGTGTTTGTGTGTAGCTGGGAGGCCGTATCCCTGTACTGGATACCCTGACTGACCTGGTGTCCCGGGCCAAGGCCATCCCTGTCTGGCTGGACCCTCTGGCTCGACTGGAGGCCCTGGTCTCTGACGTGCAGGCCTGGAAGGAGAGCGCCGCCAAAACCTTTCTAATGAAGAATTCCCCTTACTCCCTGCTGGAGGTAAACTACCTACAACAATCTAATGCCAATACATATAATCAGACACCTTAGGGGTTGTTTCACTAAATAGTCACTTAGGCTACGTCCCAAATGGCACCCTATTCCCTTTATAGTGCACCGCTTTTGACCAGACCCCTATCATTTTATCCTAAGGAGAGTCTTTTGGGATTTGGCTCATTGTCTCCTTTGTGTGTTTAGGTGCTGTGCCCCCAGTGTGAGGGTGGGACGGGGTCTCAGAAGTCAAAGTCTAAAAGGGCAAAGGATGCAGCCCAGTGCAGCAAGAGAAATGAGACTTTGCTGGACTGCCTGAGTGACGTGGAGAGGGCCCTTTTAGAGAGCAAGGACTCCGCCTCTGCTGTACGTGCTGCTTGTTACTCCATCTGTCTACGTACATGTTTAAAAAAAATAAAAATAAAAAGCACACCATTGAACTCACTGATTAGCTTCCAACATATTCTAAAGACCCCAACTATTGCAATCCTCTACATTGATTGATATAAGCACCCATGATATGAAAGTGCAAATAATTCAATGTATGGTTTGATACAGTATTGTAATTCCATATACTGTAACTGTGTAGGTTACTGTTTGGTTACATGTATGTTGATGTAGTGAGCATTGCGTGTTGTCATGCCAACCTGTGCTGGTTCCCCTTTCTGTAGATGGCCACTCTAGCCGAGGTGCGTCAGAAGGAGATGGAGAGTCTGCTGGCTCTCAGGGCCTCCAATGAGTCCAAGCTCCTCCCAGCGGGCGACTGCGGGGCGTTGAGGGTGTGCGTGTGCCACAAGGCCCCGTTGGGAGCCATGCTGCAGTGCGAGCTCTGCAGTGACACCTTTCACCGCAGCTGTGTCTCAGGCTCCAACCAGGACCCCCGGCCCAACCAGGCCTGGCTGTGCCCCCATTGCCGGCGCTCGGAAAAGCCACCTCTGGACCGGGTGCTTCCCCTGCTGGCCTCCCTGCAGCGCATCAGGGTGCGGCTGCCTGAGGGCGATGCCCTACGCTTCCTCATTGAGAGGACGGTCCGCTGGCAGCACCGCGTGCAGCAGGCCTCCGCAGAGGGGGTGCTGGGGGAGGGGGTGGCTGTGATGACATCACATCAGCGCTGGGGCTCATCCAGTCCCACCTGGGTTCCATCTCAGGAAACATACAGCGCATCATTTTACACGGATCACCAGTGCATTCCTCTGCAAGGTCAGTGTCGGGCTAGCAACAACATCCAATATCCCAACCTTTCATAACAATTCACATTTTTATCAAATTTCTATCAATGTCTATCACATAAAATGTATTGCACGTGTTATTGGTGTGTGTTTCAGGACTGAGCCCTGAGCTGGAGGAGCTGATGGTGGAGGGCTTCCTGCTGCAGGTGACTCTGCCTGAGACCCAGCAGCTGTACATGTCCCTCCTCAGCAGACTGGCCTCCCATAACCACACAGACAGCCCCTCCCCCCAGCACAGCACAGAGCAGGACCAACACAAGCACAACTCTCAAGGAGGGAGCCCCCCTCATAACCAGGTAACATACTAGTCTACTACTGTGAGGCACAACTCATAAAATTGTTGTATTGATGTGTTTGAGAAGTTTCTGAACGTTTGTTCTTCATGTTGACATTAATTATTTTGAATGAATTTATTTGGGTGAAAAATAATACAACAAGATCTGCACTGGATCCCAGAAGATGACACTTAAAAGCATTAATTAAAACACTTATTTCCAAAGTGGTCCACGATGGTAAAACAAACATCTAATGATTTTAAAAGACAAGTTAAAGTTACAAATCTAAAACATTACATTCAAACAAAATTACATTCATACATACAAAACATTGACGTTCAAACAAAACCATTACATTCAAACAAAAACATCACATTCATGTGTGTGACCTTAATGCGTGTTTACTGTTTTCACCAGAACGGAGTAGCCTGTCTCAAGAAGGAGGCTATGAATGGCAAGCGGACCAAGCGGCACATGGAGAAGGAGGGTTCCGAGCGCAAGGACAAAGCCAAGAAGCCCCGCAAGAAGAAGCCCAAGATGGAGAGGAGCCAGGGGGCCAAGGGGACCTGTTCACCCACCACCACTCACTCTGACCTCTCCCTGTCGGACTCTGATGAAGACTTCACCCTGTGCGCTGCACCGTGGTGCCGAGAGCCAGAGGGGAAACAGGTGAGCATTAAACCCCCCTCCAATGCATTATGTTGTGGGTAATTTCAGTGTGTTTTCCCTCCCCTCATATCAAATTGTTTTAGCAATTAGACTAATAGACTTATCGTAGTATATTGAAAATAGTATGTAGTATGATTTGTATTAAAGGAAAATTCCACCCAAAACTATATTTTGGTATTTGTTTCATTAGTCCATTGTTGACATAGTCCCAAAATGTTTTGCATGTCAGAAATCAAGTTATCAAGATATATAACTTTCAAAATACAGAAATACAGCCGGTATGATGCATTTTGCATTATACCATTATACAAAAGGTGATCAGTGTTTATTTCCCTCTCTTTTTCTCAGGTGAATTGGGTCCAGTGTGACGGCAGCTGCCAGCAGTGGTTCCACCAGATCTGTGTGGGAGTGTCTGCAAAGCAGGCAGAGAAAGAGGACTACATCTGTATCAGCTGCACACAGCCAGACCACACCAGGGAGTGAAGATCGAAAGGAGAAAGAAAAAACAGTTTTGAAGGATCATCAGTTTTAGCTTAGTCACAGCTCTGGGTGTATAACCACCCAGTGATTTCCCTTCCCCATTCTTAGCTATGCTCTGGCCCCACTGCCTCCTCATTGACTTTCCTGATCTGGCTACTCTTGGTGACAACAGTGCTACTTCCTCCTCCTTCCCAGCCCAGACTGCTTTTCAGAGCTATTGAGACTCTTTCATCACTATTTTGTTATAGTGGCTGGCTTTACAGCCAATCAACTTTATCTTTCCAATCAACAACGACATGATTGCGATTGTACTGTGTGAGGTACCAACTGTCTACGAAGGAGAATAAAGTGGAGGAAACAAGACATTTTCACTTGACTGACTTTACTTGCATGTATAACAAGACAACGCAGGGATTTTTCAACCAGAAGAAGTCAATTGGACAACATTTTTGGAACCCAGTTTTTATACATGCATCTGAACAACAATGTGAACCCATTTTCTTCTCTTGTAGAGCTAATATTATTTATCTGAGCAATAACTGAGTTGTTAATTCATTTGAGTTCAGTTTTTGTCTGAGCTATGTTTGCTTAGAAGTGGTTCTATACTATAGAACCTATAGAGCGCCCTTGCAGGTTGAAAGTGATGTGTTTGACTTGCAACATGGCTAACATAAGGAACTGTGTGAATTAACTGCCACGGGTATCATTTGACTTTTTTCCTCCTTTGGGTAAATATGATTCATGCGTTGCAGTTTGCATAAGAAATAAAATAATTTGTTCCCACAAGTATGTTGTCCTTATTTCCTCAGTGTAGAAGCTATCCAAACTCTTTTTTTTCCTTCTTTTTTGTTGTTGTCATTTAGCAGACTCTCTTATCCAGAGCGACTTACAGTAGCAATTAGGGTTAAGTGCCTTGCTCAAGGGCACATCGACATATTTTTCACCTAGTCGGCTCGGGGATTAGAACCAGCGACCTTTCGGTTACTGGCACAACGCTCTTAACCACTAAGCTACCTGCCACCCCTTACTCTTAACTTTAATATCTGAGTCTCACATGGACAATAATAGTTCATTATATGAAGAATAACGGTATTATAATGGCTGAGAATAATAATCCACTGGTGTACTGTGAATAGAGTGGGCTAAACATGATACATGAGATATTTACTACTTACAATTAAATATTATGTAGGATTATATCATCCAAAGACAACTTTAAAAATAACTCCTACTGTTAACAATCAAATGAGTCACATTCCAATCTTCCAATAAAATATTACAAATTGTATTCTTATTCAGCTCACGCTGATGCTTAGCTATTTCTATCCAAATAAATAATTCCTTTACACTGAACAAAAATATAGACGCAACATGCAACAATTTCAAAGATTTTACTGAGTTACAGTTCATACAAGGATATCAGTCAAATTGAAATAAATTCATTACTTTACTTTACTTTACTTTAGTCATTTAGCAGACGCTCTTATCCAGAGCGACTTACAGGAGGCCCTAATGACTGGGAATATAGATATGCATCTGTTGGTTATAGATAACGTTTAAAAATTGAGGAGTATTTCTGTCTGTAATAAAGTGGAAAAACTCATTCCGATTGGCTGGGCCTGGCTCCCCAGCGTGGATCAGAAAACCAGTCAGTATCTGGTATGACCGCCATTTTGCCTCATGCAGCTTGACACATCTCCTTCGCATAGAGTTGATTGTGGCCTGTGGAATGTTATCCCAGTCCTCTTCAATGGCTGTGTGAAGTTGTTGGATATTGGCGGGAACTGGAACACGCTGTCGATCAAGAGTATCCCAAACATGCTCAATGGGTGACATGTCTGGTGAGTATGCAGGCCATGGAAGAACTGGGACATTCTCAGTTTCCAGAAATTGTGTGCAGATCCTTGCGACATGGGGCCATGCATTATCATGCTGAGGCCTGCCCATACCATAACCCCACCACCACCATGGGGCACTGTTCACAATGTTGACATCAGCAAAACGCTCGCCCACACGACGCCATACACGTCTGCCATCTGCCCGGTACGGATGAAACCAGGATTCATCCATGGAGAGCACACTTCTCAAGCGTGCCAGTGGCCATCGAAGGTGAGCATTTGCCCACTGAAGTTGGTTAGGATGCCGAACTGCAGTCAGGTCAAGACCCTGGTGAGGACGACGAGCACGCAGATGAGCTTCCCTGAGACGGTTTCTGACAGTTTGTGCAGAAATTCTTTGGTTGTGCAAACCCACAGTTTCATCAGCTGTCCGGGTGGCTGGTCTTAGATGATCCTGCAGGTGAAGAAGCCGGATGTGGAGGTCCTGGGCTGGCTTGGTTACACGTGGTCTGCCGTTGTGAGGCCGGTTGGATGTACTGCCAAATTCTCTAAAACTACGTTGGAGGCGGCTTATGGTAGAGAAATGAACATTCAATTATCTGGCAACAGCTCTGGTGGACATTCCTGCAGTCAGTATGCCAATTGTACGCTCCCTCAAAACTTGAGACATCTGTGGCATTGTGTTGTAACATAACTGCACATTTTAGTGGCCTTTTATTGTCCCCAGCACAAGGTGCACCTGTGTAATGGTCATGCTGTTTAATCAGTTTCTTGATATGCCAAACCTGTCAGGTGGATGGATTATCTTGGCAAAGAAATGCTCACTAATAGGGATGTAAACAGATTTGAGAGAAATAAGTTTTTTGTGCATATGGAACATGTCTGGGATCTTTTATTTCAGCTCATAGGAAACATAGGAACAACACTTTACATGTTGCGTTTATATTTTTGTTCAGTGTAATTTCCAGTCCTCATCTTTTCTTTAACCACTGATGAGTGAAGATGCGAGATTTCTTTCCCCAATGCTCTATTTTCCACCATTTTGTTTTCTTCTATCAAATCCTAACACCGGTTATCAAAACAGTTCCATATCCATCTTTTTACCCTTTGTTTACCCCCCAGTCGTGCAACTCCAGTTTTAAAAGGCGCACAACAATATGTCCATTATTTTCGAGAGCAAATCAACTGGAATTAATCTCTATTTGTTTGTCTGTCTCTTGTTCGTGGTCTGTATACACTACAGAAGGAAACATGCATATATTCTGCCGAGCCACAAGGCGGCGCAATGGGCGCATGTAACTATGGACCTTCAGTTATCTGATTGAGATTTTTTTACTAGCCAGTTAGCTTAGGCAAAGGCTATCTAATTGTTTTGAAAACACATTCTGTATTGTTTTGTTTTCTAGGCTTGCTTTATTATAACTTGTCGTGTGCTTCACATTATAAACCCTACTCACTCTCTCGTCATCATGGACGAGGAATATTACGAGAGGAATATTGGAGACTGGGATGGTCCGGATGGCAATGTAAGCATCATCTTTAGCTACTGTAGCAAGCTAGTGAATGTACAATGTCGCTAGTAATGGCAATGTAGCTAAGATAGCTAGTAACTACATTGTTGTTGGCTGTTGATTCATTGTTTGACGGAGCCAAATCGCGAATGTATATGGTGATAGATTCAATGTTAAGATGTTCTTTCCTTGGCTGAAGTGATGTGACTTTCATATAGCAAGACGACTATATTGAAGGGGAGAACGATGGGAAAGTTCAGGAGGACTGCCTACAGAAGTTTTCCAGCAGAGATTACATCATGGAGCCTGCTGTCTTCAACACCCTTAAAACGTAAACACAGTATTGTGTGTGTCTAGTAACGTTAGTGTGTGAAGAGTCAAATCATTTCCTGAAGAGGCTTCTGTTTCCACAGGTATTTCCAGGCTGGTGGCTCCCCTGAACACGTCATCCAGCTCCTGTCGGAGAACTACTCAGCTGTGGCCCAGACTGTCAACCTGCTGGCAGAGTGGCTCATCCAGATGGGTAAACAACACTGGACTGAGCTGCAAATGGCACCCGTTTCTCTATGCAGTGCACTACTTTTGACCAGTAGTGCATTACATGGGGAATAGGGTGCCATTTGGGACGAAGCCTGGACTCCACAATCACTGAAAATATAGGGTTTTTGTTCCTCTCACACTGTTTGAGACGCATAGTAGAATTAATGTTTTTTCTGTCTGTGTATCGCAGGTGTAGAGCCAGCTCAGGTGCAGGAACGGGTAGAGAATCACTTGAAGAGTCTCCTGATCAAGCACTTTGACCCCCAGAAGGCTGACTCCATCTTTACCGTCGAGGGAGAGGTGAGATGAAGGACAAACCACCAGTCGCCAGTGAAGGACAAACCACCAATGCTTTGCTGTGGTCTGGATGTGACAGCTCAAAACTGGTGCTCTCCTGCTTGCTTGCTTGCTGTTTCTTTCACTGTTTTCCTCTCCTAGAAAAAAACTTGATTAATCATATAAATTGTTTTAATTCTCTGTGTTCTTGCATGTGATGCATTTCCCTCAGAGTATAGTAGAAACCCTATAGTATACAGAGTATATAGTAACCCTGTCCTCCTGTGTTGGTTCAGACTCCTGCCTGGTTGGAACAGATGATCGCCCACACCACCTGGAGAGACCTTTTCTACAAGCTGGCCGAGGCCCACCCTGACTGTCTGATGCTCAACTTCACTGTCAAGGTACTGATGATCACCCAGCAGTTAATAACTAATGTCTTTATGGGTCAAACAGTGCCATGTTCCTCCTCTCCTTGCTGACTGTGTCCGTCCTCAGCTCATCTCAGACGCAGGCTACCAGGGGGAGATCACCAGTGTGTCCACGGCGTGCCAACAGCTGGAGGTGTTCTCCAGGGTCCTGAGGACCTCTCTGGCCACACTGCTGGATGGAGGTGAGGACAACCTGGAGAAGAACCTGCCAGAGTTCGCTGTGAGTCTCTAATCAGGTCCCCCCCCCTGTCCATATAATTATATTAATTAGGATCTAAAAGGCAATACTGATTATAGAGATCAGCACTCCTACTCTGAGACGCTTTATGAATACCGGCCCTGGTGTTCCCAAGAATAAGATCTAGGCATATCTGTCATTATCTCACTCAATACAAATCCTTGGTTTGATGGTTTTGGAAATGTGTTGTATTCAAGGTTTTCAATCATTTGAAAGCGGTACTACAATCAATATTGCTCTAACCAATATGGAATTGCAGGACATTGGTAGCACAACATGATGTTGCAGGTTACCTGTCTTTTGGCATGAGTGTCTTTGTTTGTGTGGTTGGTTTGGAGCTGAACTGTTCTCTCCTCCATTTCTGTGTTACACAGAAGATGGTGTGTCATGGGGAGCACACTTACCTGTTTGCCCAGGCCATGATGTCCATCATGTCTCAGGAGGAGCAGGGGGGGTCGGCCATGCGCAGGATCGGCCAGGAAGTACAGAAGTCTGCACATCAGAGGTATCCTGCCCTCTACACTATTTTGCCAGCATTGACTTACTTGACAAGCTCTTGGCTCCTATAAGGAGCATAGGCCGTTGACGAATGTCCTCCATCTTGGCAACATTTTGGCAGAATTACATAATGATTAGAGGAAATGTATTTCATTTATTTCAATTGATTTCTGCATTTTGAAAATTATGGTTGTATTATCTGTAAAATCCAGTGTTACAATAAACATTAACATTGAGTGAGCAGCTTTGTGGAAAATGAAGTTATGCTCTCAACTGTCACAATCTCAACTGAATGGGTGTAGTAATGTTGTATAGTAGCTAATTTTATTACAGGCCATATGTTCCTCCAGGAGCAAAGCGGTTTAAGTAAGTAAGTGAGCTAATTTGAGTGTTTTACTGTTCCTTGTGCTGTGCAGGGGCCATGATGCCAGTCAGATCACACTGGCATTGGGCACAGCAGCAGCCTACCCTCGAGCCTGCCAGGCCCTGGGCGCAATGCTGTCCAAAGGGGCACTCAACCCTGCCGACATCACTGTGCTCTTCAAGATGTTCAGCAGCATGGACCCACCTCCCGTAGAGCTGGTTAGTGTGGGGCATCAAGCCACTTTTTAAAAATCAAAAGTAGTGCACTACATAGGGAATAAGGTGCCATTATCCAAGTTAGATGGAGGGATATTTTCACTGGTTGCCTTGCATGTTTGACGTGACAATGACCAATATGAGTTAGCAAGACAGCACAAACAGATCTGGGACCAGGCTAGCCTTAGCTGGAAGCTAAACTGAGAATTGCTTGTCTTTCAGCTGTTGATATTGTCTTTTGAGAGAATGGGTGAAGTATTTTCCCTTGTATATCTTCAGATTCGAGTGCCTGCCTTCCTGGACCTGTTCATGCAGTCGCTGTTCAAGCCAGGCTCCAAGATCAACCAGGACCATAAACACAAATACATTCACATCCTGGCCTACGCTGCCAGTGTGGTCGAGACATGGAAAAAGGTACCAGAAACAAAAACGCCCCTGACATAAATCCCTCATACTACTAAGTTTATCAGATGTTCTGTCGTTGCTCATACTTATGTGCAGAATTTGAAATGTTTTTCTTACCAGTATATACAAATATTTTTTCCAATGACAGGTGTTGTTTTTTCCCAAATAAAAACGCCCAGATAACAGTATGCCTCTCTTTTCATCCATCCACAGAACAAGCGAGTGAACATCAACAAGGATGAGCTCAAGTCCACCTCCAAGGCCATTGAGACGGTCCATAACCTGTGTTGCAATGAGAACAAAGGAGCCACAGAGCTGGTGGCTGAGCTCAGCACTCTGTACCAGTGCATCCGGTGAGCCCAGCAGCCAACTAGCCAACCTAGTGAGCCCATCATGGATCTCCAATATGTAGCTAAAGCCAGAGGATTCCAAGAATGTAATTGGTTACCACTGTTGGTTGAGACATCATTATGTCCATTTTCAGGTTCCCGGTTGTTTCCATGGGGGTGCTGAAGTGGGTTGATTGGACAGTCTCTGAGCCTCGCTACTTCCAGCTCCAGACAGACCATACCCCTGTCCATCTAGCACTTCTGGATGAGGTAGAGGTTGCACTTTTTCACTGGTTGAGGGAGGATGTTTTTGTTGTGCTATTATGGATAACTCACTATGATATATAAGTCCCAAATGACTCTATATAGTGCACTACTTTTACGCTATGTGCCCTGGTCAAAAGTAGTGCACTATATAGGGAATAGGGTGCCATTTGGAACTGGTCAAAGTAGTGCACTATATAACGAATAGGGTGCAATTTGGTTGTACACAGAAATTGTGCATTTAACTGTCATTCTTGGAATTGTTTTGCGGTTTAAAGACTAGAACTGATCCCCAATCAGGTGGTAGGGACAGAGATTAATGAGACCATTATGTTTGTTTTTATTCCCCAGATCAGCACCTGTCACCAGCTCCTGCACCCACAGGTCCTCCAGCTGCTGATCAAGCTATTTGAGACAGAACATTCCCAGCTTGATGTCATGGAGCAGGTGTGTGGGTTGTGCATGCGTGCATAGGCTTAATCTGGGCCCATGCAACCACCCCATAGACTTTCAGTGGATGACTTCTTAGCTGACTGTATGAGTGTTGTCCCTTTCAGATGGAGCTGAAGAAGACCCTGTTGGATCGTATGGTCCACCTGCTGAGTCGGGGCTACGTGCTGCCTGTGGTTGGATACATCCGCAAGTGCCTGGAGAAGCTCAACACAGACATCTCTCTCATTCGCTATTTTGTAACAGAAGTATGGCCTGCTGAAACCAGAAACTATTAAAAGAGAAGTGAAACATTCCAGATAAAGAGAAGTGAAACGTTCTAAAGACACCGTCAGTCCAATTTAGTTGCGCTTGAAGAAATGGTAGTGGAAGTGAAAATACTGATATTTCTGTTTGCCCTATCAGGTGTTGGATGTGATTGCCCCTCCATACACTTCAGACTTCGTCCAGCTGTTCCTGCCCATCCTGGAGAACGACAGCATCGCTGGAACCATTCGGACAGAGGGAGAACACGACCCTGTCGTGGAGTTCATAGGTCAGTCTCTTATACCATCTTTTTCATGGCCAAAAACTGTCTACATATTGATTACTTTCATTTGGCCCAGTTATAGAAGCTTAAAATATAATTATCATTCTGCTCTGTTTCAGCTCACTGCAAATCCAACTTCATCATGATGAACTGAGAGTGACACTGGTGGGTTTAACTTGACTGAGGATGTAGTGGGAAGAGCAGGGAGGGGCAGAAGGCGGGATCTCATGGTTATGAGCCAATCCCTGGATGTGTTCTGCTGAACGAGGAATTGAACATTGCCAATTTTGAGGCAGACGGCTGACCATTTGCATATAGACTTTGACCTGCAATTTTATTTTCAAATGTGGCGTAAACACAAATGACTTTCAGAATTAAAAGGATGTAGTGTATCTTTGCTTGTCTGGAGGTATGAGGAGAACTTCTCTAGCTCCATTATTTGTTTCACTGTAGTTTCCATTGGTATGGGCTAAGGTTTCGTTGTTCATTTTCTATGTTGCTTTGTGTTTAAATATGTATGACTGACTGCTCAAAAGGTTTGTTGAAATTCCCACTGAAAAGGTTAAGCCTTTTTCATGGTTATCCTTTTCAATTTGACAAGAATATTGACACGTCTTGGTTTTATTCATTTCACACGAAGCGACATCCACCGTTCTGCATCACTTCTTTTGAGGTGGTTCAAGGAAAGTATGTTTCAGAAAATGTATCAACTATTACAACTTTCCATCCTAGGCCTGGATTCAAACACATTGAACTGCACAATCTGCCTTTAGCAGAGATCACATTTGTGGAAACCATCATGAAGACTCAAGCATAAATTACCTGTAAGCCACGTGGATTGCTGTTAAAATCCTGAAAAATCATTCAGTTAAATTTGCATACAACAAAAGACATGTGGCATCAGAATTTATCAAGGCTTCAACATTTACAGCCACAATTAGTTATCTTACTGGCACTTAGATCTTAAGCTAATTGTGCACCAAATATTGTCAGCATTTGTACTTGTTCAAAAGGCGAAGTACATAATGACTTGTTCAGTCACATTTTGTATAAGAAAAGATCTTAAAAAACACAAAGGCAAAAAAAAATGTCCCCTTTCCATTTTACCATGGTACATTGTTGCAATGTGGAAGTAGCCTGAGATTGTCATAGAAAACTGTAGATATACAATGCTGTCTATTCAGTTTAACAGCTTCTGAGCCTCATTTACAAACGTTTCATACATACAAAATATACCCCCAAAACATGCGTGCGCTAGTTTACCTGCAAAAGTTGGCATTTATATAATCAAATGTGCTTACCTCCATGCAAACTTCAGACCATGCGTACGCACATTTTGTAGTGGTTGAAGTATGGTATTGCAAGCAGGCAAGTAAGTATTTTGTGCAAATGGTGGATATGCTGACATGCTTATTGATAAAAAAAATAAAATGTAAAAATAAACAAGATTTCAACCATTTGCGTTTAGTTAGTTAGAAGAGCAAAAATGTACCGGTATTCGTTTTGTTTTTGGAATCTAAAATAATTAGACATTTATTTCCTATTTATTTTATTTTCATAACCATTGCAGAATAAATTCCTCAACTTTTCTGGACGCTAGCCATATAACAAATTACCATGCACATCATTTAATTGGGCCTAGTAAATAGATGGGCTATGCATTTCAAGTTTTACTGTAGCCTATGCGATCCCATAGGCAGCGCGGTTTATAAGATACTAAATTTGCTCGTTTAAAAAAAATCTTTGGGCCAATTCCAATAGTTCCAAATGATACAGCAAATAAAGGGCGTTATTGTCACCATAAAAAGGTGAATGGAGGCATTTTCCAGGCGGTGTTATAACGCTCGTTCATGCGTGCACAGTTGTAGGACAGGTCTGATTTATAAAATCTCTATTTTTATACCTACGTATTCTTCTCAGAAATGGCGGACAGATATTAAGTGTGAAATTTACGCAACGATTGTTAAGAGGCCCCTGGTCTTTAGAAGAAACATTGGTTGGTCCCACTGCCTGTTGTCTACAGGTAGGTCTTAGGCACGATGGGATCTCCGTACATGCAGTCTTCCTCCAGGGCCAGGTTGTACTGACTGCCACTTCCTCCCTTGTATGCGCTGGTCACGATCCTCAGCCAGCCCTTCTCACCCTGGCAAGAAAACAGAAACTTACTCAATCTGGAGTTTCAGCTAGATAAATATGGTAGAACATACAAACAATAGAAAGTGAAGTTCATGTAGAAGTAAAGTTAATAAACTACAGGAACTGCTATAGGCTAGGATTTGTTGCCCCATTTTGAACACTAAATGTAATTCTATAGTAGAGCATGAGGTTTTAAATTCTCTGCTGCAGTTAGTGCCATGAAAGATCACTACAGACTACCAGCTCCAATATGGAATGCATAGTGTTAATTCAGTCGATAAGGATGGAACAAGCTTCCCCCTAATGTCAGGACAGCAGAGAAAACCTACCTCTTCATCTTGATTAATCCCATAGCACCCCCCCCCCCCCCCCCCCAAAAAAAAAATACAAATAAACACCCTTGCCTTTCTTGCACCAGCACTCACTTCTATTTTCTTATCACCGACTTTGCGGATAGCTACTTTGGGATAAAAAAAAAAAGTACTAGGACTGATCGGTGGTTGTCTCATCTAGCTACCTTAAAATGAATGCACAAACTGTAAATAGCTCTGGATTAGATCGTCTGCTAAATGACTAAAATTTTACCCAGGGCTCTCCCCATGAGTTGCGGACGATCCAGAATTCCACACCGTTTTCATCCATGCCCCAGCCGGCAACAGACACAATGTGGTTGATGGAGGGCTCCTCGATATACTCAGAGTACAGGCCTCCAGTGTAGGCGTCCAACTTGTCGGTGGCCATGATTCCACAGCTACCAAGGACAGAAAACAAAAATGTTTGTTTCGCTTTAACTAATTACAGTCTGCATGTTTGTTTGTGTATGTTTTTGCAGGGGCGGGAAGGGAAACATAATAGAGGGCTAGCAGATACACATAGACTTCCAATCATTGCGCTAACGCTAGTTAGGAACTGCGCTAGTTAGCAACTTCCTTCAAACTGCACGCGGAGACATAAAACTGGTATCCACAAGTTCATCTGACTCTGGGGAAGTATATAAAAGGGCCTCATTTTCAAAATCCTGAAGTATTCCTTTAAGCTTTGACAACAAGTCATATTGCTACTCCAGTCATTTTGTTACACATCAGATATTTGCCTATTTGACTGTGACTTGGCTTTACTTCTCGTGCGAATCCATACACAGTCACTGTTAGGACAGGTGGAGCTCATGAGAAGAGAAACAGTCACCATGTTGACCCAGTCCAGTTCCAAATGCCACCCCATTCCCTACATAGTGCACTGTATAGTGAATAGGGTGCCATTTGGGCAGGAGCGCAACTTTGCATTTCTACTAGGGCTGTCCCTGACTAAAAAAATATCTTGGCACACCAAGAGTAGTCTTAAGCGTCTATTTTTCCACAGGCCTATATAGACACACCCTATGTGTTTGAACTTGTACTGAACTTGTCTGATGCTTTAAGTACGCTGTTTGATTAAATAATGAAGACACACAAATGACTCAAGAGGGAGCCAGAGATAACAGTTATGATTTTCATATGCACATTTTTCATTTATAATAATCTTTGTATCTCAAAATCCTTGTCTGTGGTTAATCTACATTCTATCTAAATGAAAAATATTCAAATCTAAAAGTAGCTTTTTTGCCATTGCCAACTATGTAATAATAACCTACATAAAGCCAAAACCTTGCAGTCTGCAAGTAGAAAATATCCAGATAAATATCCTATGAATCACATTGGCTATGCATGGCCTGTCTGCAACGATCTTGAAACATTGTATTAACTGGGTCACCCCAAAACTTGAAACATTGTATAAAATATTCTGGACCCTCAGTTTCCTGCGCCAGTGAGCTCGGGACAGACACAGCTGTAGGCTATTTGTGCAGGGGGGGATAAGAAGTAAAATCAGGTATTTTAGGACGTTTCCACTGGATCAGAGCATTACATGTTTCCCTTTAATGCATGTGGTTATCGAAAGGGAGAGAGCTGGAAATATTGTTCAAATACTGTGAGGAACTATTGTCATTCTCAATTGATTCTAAAAACAGACTTTGTTTACTTGCTGTTTGAGGTGAAGAAAAATTACTTTGAGAAGCTCCACAGCTCATTAGTGGTGGTGAGTTAAGACAATCAGAAATACTATCAGACATCCCCAAATGGGCACATTCATAGGGCTACATTTGCACGAAGGCCAGGTAGACTAGTCCTACTTCTATATGCGTAATCAGGTGCTCATCCTTACTCAACATTGACAGGAGCGTTTCAAACAAAAGACGATGAATACATTGACAAAACTCGTAAATGGAATGAAATAAACAAAAACTTGTTTCTCACAAGTGTAGCATAGGTTGTGAGTTCTGCAAAACACATGTCCACACAGACAACGAGAACAGTAAATGACTGTAATAATATATTGAATGCATTAACAGAAATTACCATAAACAAAACAAACATCGCAGATTAAAATTATGGGAATTAAAGGTCAATGTAGGCTACTACTGGTGATGTACGTAATGGGGAATTGATACACAGCAAACAATGCACACAATTAAGTTATGAATACCCACAAAATGGCAGGAGAGCGTGCATTCTGGAGAGAGGTGCCATATTCTTGGACCGTGGCATCCCCGTGGCCTCCTCAATGGATTAGTCCACCGAGACAGGCGCAAATCACACAGGTGTCTCGTGTGCCATGAAAAATATAATCTATTTGCGACTGCTCGACTAAATAAAATCTAATGTTTTCAATACAGACCCCTTTTGTCATATAGTAGGCACCCAGATGTTATGAAAGTTCCACAGTATACCCTTAATCTTGTATAAAATCAAATCTAGTGATACATAACTTGACATTTCTGCCATACATTGTGGGAGGATAATCAACCTTCCAATTAAATGGCGATGCATTTCTTAGCCGCTATAAATGCAAGGTTAGACAGTTTCTTCTGATAACAGTCTCCAGTATCAACATTTCTGAGCAAAAAAAACTGGGAGAACCTGTAGACATGCCGAGATAAAATAACATACACTTTGCCAGAATTCAGCCAGCCTTCAAATGATTATAACATCTGCAAAATATGTCCCCTTTTGTGTTTTACACTTCCAACAGAGGAATTACATGTCTGAGTGCATGATATTCAGTTTCACTGGCATATAGGATGTTCTATTGATGATCTTAAACTGTAATTTATGTCTGAGATTATATGAACATGACTGGGCATTCAAACATATCTGTATCCATTCATCGTCATCATCAATATTGTGTTGTGCACTGACTGTGCACCATGACAGTGTAGTCTGTAGAGCTGTTTATACTGTGTCAGTGCGAAAAGTAGGGAATTAGCTAGGGAAACTGACAGATCAATAATGTTACACAGGCAAAAATAATACCTAAAGTTAGTGAGCTAGCTAGCTAGCTAGCTAATGTTGGCTAGCTCTAATGGTGCATCAACTGGCAAAAACTAGCCAAGTTAATTTACTTCTGTTGAAACGGGACAAAAAGGACATTTCCATACACACAACAACTGTTAGATACTGCTATCTGACAGATAGCTAAAGCTCAACTGGTTGTGGTAGCTACTAGCTAGCTAGTTCATTCTCTTCAGACAGAATTTCAGTCGAGAGGGGATGAAACATTAGCTGACGTTACATGTCAGTTACACTACTAGCTCAGCATGGTCCTAAAGCACACGATGCCGCTAATGATAAAACTGGGGTGGACAAAAATTGGGGGGGGGGGGGGGTCATGTCACCCCCATCCCCAGTGAAAGTTGCGCCCCTGCATTTGGGACACAGCCCATGTTGACCAAGTCCAGCTACTAACCTGATAGGTCCTCCAGCGTAGATCTCGGCCATCATTTTCTCCCTCCCACCTACGTCGCCGAAGTCTCCGACCTTCCACAGGGTATAGTTCTGGATGATGTTGCAGACCCCGAACGTTGTGCAGGTTCCACACTGGTTGAACGGTTTGCACTCTGCAAGACACAATATGGAGAACATATTAAGCATGAGAAATTGTAAATTAACCTTAATTTGATGTGACAGAAATTCTTGTTATCAAGTCATGGAAAAAAACTGTTCAACCAAGTAAAAGTAATGTGCAGCTAGGAGATAGCAGAGTTCTTGAGGCCTTACTCTGGTCCTTGGCCTGGTAGTTGTTGCAGGTCTCGTCAGGGATGCCGTGTTTGTTGGCGTACTCCCACACCCCAGAGTGATCCCCTCCATGACAGGAGCCGGCCTCGCCACAGTCCACCACATTCTGGACTGACAGATAAGCAGAGGGCCAGGCTCCCTTCCGCTTGATGTTGATGCGATCTGACAAAGGAGAGCAAACCACCAACAACCAGTCCATTAATTCAGTACAGGTGACAGAATCTGCTCTTAGATGTTCATAAGTCAACAAAATTAGTAAGGACTACTCTATCATAACAATACCATGACTTCAGAATGCTAAAGGACTACTTGTATGAGCAAAGGAGGAACTGCATTTTACAACAAACATGCACAGATTTACAGGAAACCTGAATTACAGGAAACCATGAAGCTTTAACTGCATGTCTGCACATTCAGGGGTTGGCACTGCCACAACGCTTCACTGCCATACCACCCTGAATTTGAGTCAGTGGAGTGAGTCATGTGTTAAAAGCCTGACAGGCATGCATGTCTGAACAATTACTGCAATGTTTATTCCACCTTGGTTATAAAATCTAGTTTCCAAGTGACTTTAGATTGGTAAACCATCTTTATGACCATCTTGAAGGTGAATTACCAAAATGTACAACACTGTACTTATAGTGAAGAGGTTTGCAGACATCTGTGGCCAAATAATAGGATAGCATTTCACAATCTGATCTTCATCCATTTGTCCCTTCGTACGGTGTTCCCTTCTGATGCAAGAGAGTCTGTAAAACGACCAAGTAAATTGTATATGGTTTGTTCATTTCTATGAGCTGTCCAAGTCGGATGACCAGGGAAAGGCAAACTTGAGGTTAGGCTACCTGCCATGGCGCTGGTGCTGCCGTGTGCCCAGCAGGAGCCACAGTACTGGGGGATGTGCTGGTTGCGGGTGGTGCTGACGTAGTTGGTGCCGTTGATGTTCCTCCAGTCCCACGCCTTGGGGAGCTCATTGAGTTTCAGGAACTCGTGGGGTCTGGGCATCGTCCTGATGAAAGACATGACATCAGGGTACAAGGTTTTCTAGACAGAATTCCTAATGTAGAGCGGCTCAAACAGTCTCTGCAAACATGATGGATAACAAAATGCAGTGCGCACTTATAAGGTCCCATACCATGACAGGCCAATTCAAAACCTGACCAGGGGTGTAATCATTAGCCCAAACAGTTGCAAAATGGGTTGCAACTAAAACACGAGTTTTGATTGGACAAATTCAGGTAGATCCCTCCCAGTTTCGTGCCATTTGCTTTCGTTTAAGACACGTTTAGCAACAGAAATCGGTGTAATGAATACACCCCAGATCAAGCTTGGCAGATCTGCCTCTCCATTCAAAGGTCAAGCATTCAAAAGCATCCACAGCACAAGCATACTTTCAAAACTCAGAAGCCAAATAGCTACTACCGCTGAAAGGGCCATGCATGTTTCTGGAGACATCCAGTTGTCAAATTATATATTTCAGGAGGGCAGAATTGTGAGCGCTCAATAGCAAAATGGGATGAAAAGCTTTAAAAACGTCAGATCCCAAACAATTTCTTCCCATGCTACTGGAGACCCAGTCATCTCCTTCCACTCACAGACATGTCAGAACTTTGCTACCTTGTTTCCACCCTCGGCTTTGATTGCTTCATTGATTTCAAACTTTGGATAGCCATGATATGCCTTTTCTGTAATAAACTGATTAACACTCGAGTCAAAATCACAGGGGGTAAAAATTCTGCACTTGAGTATTGAGTATTGTTTAAAGAAGAAAGTTATGTAGTAGCCTACCAATCAGCTAATTTTCATTCTGGGACAATTCTGAAACCTGCAGGAACTTGGCAACATTTGAACCATTATTAAACCTTTTTATGAAAGAATTATGTGCAATAAACTCATACTCAGTTACTGACTAATGATATCAATTGAGTGCAGAAGATGCAGGCAATTCACACCTGAATAAATAAAGAACACTTAAATAAAATCAACACTAGACAATTTAAAACACTAGAGGCAAAAGACAGACATGCGCCATAGACATCGCATCATTGTATCTGTCCCATTATGGCGCCTGTGGGTGCGGGGCAGCGCCATTGAGACCATCTCCATTTTTAAGTAGTCAATTTTCTTCTACTACTTCTATGAGTTGGAAAACAAAGGGTGCCTACTGCCACCTGTAGTGTGTTTGAACCACTGAGATATAATAATAAATGGAGACTGTCTTAGATGTCCGACCATTGTTTTCAAGGGAATCTACTCACTTTCGCCGATTCATGGACCTTCTATATCTGGGTTGCATCTGGTTTATACGGAGCAACATCACATGAGCACAGGGAACAGCGAGAGAAGCGACGACGCCATCACGCCATCCAAAAACATGGAAGACATTGGATGAATATAAAATATTAATATCTTCAGCTGTGAGTGATAATGGGCCTCAGTGACAATTATTAATATAATTTAATGGATGTCTTGTGCACAAAGGAATGACTAAAGTGTCTTATTAGGAATTTTCAAATCTGACTTCTCTATGTGGCCGTCTATGGAAATTGTCTGTCTGGGCCGGGTGTCAGTTAAACTGCAGTACTGAAGCAAAACTGTAGGAGCAGTCAACCGTGCTAGACCAGAACCCTGGCCCATTGGTTTTAACAGGTATAAAGTCAAGGTTGGTGATTTCCTGCCACCTGCAGGGATCAGAAATGTCCTGTGCGAGAGAGGCAGGTTGAGGTTTCCAGGGTAAGAGTAGTGAAGAAGTTGTCATATGCTGAGGCAGTGAAGAAAGTAGAGGAAGATGGGTCAAGGGGGAGGAGTGGTGAGAGTAGTAGAGATGTACCAATGCAGAGGGATAGGACAACAAGTGATATATGTGTCAGTAAGATTGGATTTTTAGCATTTATAGCAATGGTTATTAATTGTACTGCAGGGATGGAATGTAAGCCTCCTGTAGCTCAGTTGGTAGAGCATGGTGCTTGCAACGCCAGGGTTGTGGGTTCGATTGCCACGGGGGGGGGGGGTCAGTATGAAAAATGTATGCACTCACTAACTGTAAGTCGCTCTGGATAAGAGCGTCTGCTAAATGACTCAAATGTAAAATTAAAAAATGTAGGTTGTGGTGGCAGCTGCAGAGAGGTATTTGGGTGTGCGAGACTTGACATCAGAAGAGTTACAGGGAGTGTTAAGTGGTGATGTTCCATCATCTCAGGTTGAGGGCATGAGGTAGGAATGAATATATTAAAGGAGTGGGGTGGTAATTATTAATAATAATTTTGAATTTGTGAGTGTAGTGTTAGATGGTAGGGTATTTATTTTATTTTATTTTTCAAGCAAAATACACTGCTCAAAAAAGGGTACTACTAAAATAACATCCTAGATCTGAATGAATGAAATAATCTTATTAAATACTTTTTTCTTTACATAGTTGAATGTGCTGACAAATTATCAATGGAAATCAAATGTATCAACCCATGGAGGTCTGGATTTGGAGTCACCCTCAAAATTTAAGTGGAAAACCACACTACAGGCTGATCCAACTTTGATGTAATGTCCTTAAAACAAGTCAAAATGAGGCTCAGTAGTGTGTGTGGCCTCCACGTGCCTGTATGACCTCCCTACAACGCCTGGGCATGCTCCTGATGAGGTGGCGGATGGTCTCCTGAGGGATCTCCTCCCAGACCTGGACTAAAGCATCCGCCAACTCCTGGACAGTCTGTGGTGCAACGTGGCATTGGTGGATGGAGCGAGACATGATGTCCCAGATGTGCTCAATTGGATTCAGGTCTGGGGAACGGGCGGGCCAGTCCATAGCATCAATGCCTTCCTCTTGCAGGAACTGCTGACACACTCCAGCCACATGAGGTCTAGCATTGTCTTGCATTAGGAGCAACCCAGGGCCAACCGCACCAGCATATGGTCTCACAAGGGGTCTGAGGATCTCATCTCGGTACCTAATGGCAGTCAGGCTACCTCTGGCGAGCACATGGAGGGCTGTGCGGCCCCCCAAAGAAATGCCACCCCACACCATGACTGACCCACCACCAAACCGGTCATGCTGGAGGATGTTGCAGGCAGCAGAACGTTCTCCACGGCATCTCCAGACTGTCACATGTGCTCAGTGTGAACCCGCTTTCATCTGTGAAGAGCACAGGGCGCCAGTGGTGAATTTGTCAATCTTGGTGTTCTCTGGCAAATGCCAAACGTCCTGCACGGTGTTGGGCTGTAAGCACAACCCCCACCTGTGGACGTCGGGCCCTCATACCACCCTCATGGAGTCTGTTTCTGACCGTTTGAGCAGACGCATGCACATTTGTGGCCTGCTGGAGGTCATTTTGCAGGGCTCTGGCAGTGCTCCTCCTGCTCCTCCTTGCACAAAGGCAGAGGTAGCGGTCCTGCTGCTGGGTTGTTGCCCTCCTACGGCCTCCTCCACGTCTCCTGATGTACTGGCCTGTCTCCTGGTAGCGCCTCCATGCTCTGGACACTACGCTGACAGACACAGCAAACCTTCTTGCCACAGCTCGCATTGATGTGCCATCCTGGATGAGCTGCACTATCTGAGCCACTTGTGTGGGTTGTAGACTCCGTCTCATGCTACCACTAGAGTGAAAGCACCACCAGCATTCAAAAGTGACCAAAACATCAGCCAGGAAGCATAGGAACTGAGAAGTGGTCTGTGGTCACCAACTGCAAAACCAGTCCTTTATTGGGGGTGTCTTGCTAATTGCCTATAATTTCCACCTGTTGTCTATTCCATTTGCACAACAGCATGTGAAATGTATTGTCAATCAGTGTTGCATCCTAAGTGGACAGTTTGATTTCACAGAAGTGTGATTGACTTGGAGTTACATTGTGTTGTTTAAGTGTTCCCTTTATTTTTTTGAGCAGTGTATAAGGGAGTTGTACACCAGTCTAATAGGTGGCGGTAATGCAACAAATTGGATGCCAACCGCCGTTAAACCTCATCGAAGAAGAAGTACTGCCACCTGCAGTTATGGAATGTTTGCTTACAAATCATTAATTGACTGATCCTTCCTTAACCCATAGGAAGTCCCACCCAGTTGACTACTTCAAAATGGTGAAAGTCCTCAAATGGCGCTACCCATGCTGAAACAGGCGTTTGATCACTTGAGTCATCTATCTCTATGACATTAGCTTGCTGGCCACCCTACTTCCCATTTCAGAGAGATGGCTATGATTATATGCTATCAGAGTATATACTACAAAAAAACGAATGATGCAGTGTTGTGCAAGTACAAAATAATTGACCATCTTTAGACATTAAGGGTGTTTTCACATTTGGTCCCTTTCATACAACTTTTGTGAACTCAGTGCGGTTTGCTTAATTTTTTGCGCAGTGTGAACACTCAAAAGAGCCCCCGAAGCGAGCTCGAGAGGTGGTCTGAGTTTGGTTCACTTAGAGCAATGTGAACACAAAGTTCCCCAGGTTCGCTTGTCATTATTCCCGCACCCCACACGAGACTACTGAAACAACGTTTCCCCGGCCATAACTCCTCACATTGGTGCCACAAAGGGGAGACGATGATGTACAGGTGCGTTGAAAAAACGTGTGCTGTTTTTGCATATTGATTAGCGATTGTCAAGAATGTACAGAAATTACAAAATATGTGTGGTGTTTTTAGTTCAGATTTTTTTATTGCAATATGTGATCTATAGGCTAAGATATATGGGCCCCGTGTAGCTCAGTTGGTAGAGCATGGCGCTTGCAACGCCAGGGTTGTGGGTTCGTTTCCCACGGGGGGCCAGTATGAAAATGTATGCACTCACTAACTGTAAGTCGCTCTGGATAAGAGCGTCTGCTAAATGACTAAAATGTAAATGTAAGAGAGCTTCATAAACTGTTTATTCGATTGTGGGGTTTGAATAGTGTTAGAAGCCAACAAAGCAAACATATTTGGTGAGTATCACAACATAGGGTACAAAATCAATTATAGCTCTTAAAGGATCAGTAGCCTACATTGGGTGTACTATTTTCAATTACAGCATTATTTAATCTGCAGTTATTTTTCTGCTATTTATTCTGTTACCAATAATATTTACATGTTAATAGTATCTTATTACAATTATAAATTGTTTACATTTTAGTCATTTAGCAGACGCTCTCATACAGAGCGACTTAATTAGTGCGTTCATCTTAAGATCGCTAGGTGAAACAACAAGACATCACAATCGTATCAAGTACATTTTCCCTCAAAGTATTCATCAGCAAAGTCAGCGCTAACGGGAAAAGTTAAAGTGCCTTCTCATCTCTTAACTAAATGCAATCTATTAGCTTCCAAAATGTAAGTAGGTATATCAAGCTATCCGATAGCACGATCTGATGGAATGGCTTGTCCTGCACTTTGTAAAAACCCAGAGTGCATTGAGTGAACGTTGGAAAAAGACCTTGGTTCCTTTCTAAACATAGCAATGTGAATGCAAAGAGTACTCGGACCACTCAACTGGTGAAGTGAACTGGCAAAAGAGTTGAGCCCTTATTCAAAGGCAAGGGCAGTGTGAATACAAAGATGACGGGAGTTATTCAGGTTGTTTTTTTTACCCCATATTTCACTTTAAAGATGACTGAGATCGGTTATTTTAAAGAGGCCTATGTGAAAACACCCTGATACAGCTGGAAGAAAATGACTAGAATCATGTTGCAACAACTCTAGCTACTATTTTTTGCTCGAGAGCAAGCACTAGACAGAAAACATATCAAATTAGATGATAGAAGACAGCTAAAGTTACCTGACTCCATTGTGCTTGGTCAGCTTGGGTCGATAGCACGGTTGTTTCTCGTTAAAGTAGCGTCCAGCAAAGACACCAGACAACATAAACACAAACAACAACAGCGCTCGAGCCATGTTGGAAAATATCAGTCATATGACTTAATAGGAACTTGGTGGGTTTTTATAGTTTCACCCGAGGGTCAGCCTGAACAACGCGCAGGCGCAGCACAGACTCGCTGATCTTTGTGTCGTAAGGATTATACTTCCCTGTCATTGATTGCCTGTTTTACAGACAGGACGATATGATTCTCACTGCACAGTTCGACCTATGTGAACAACCACATAGCAAATGCCATCCCGTGATTAGTGACTCACTACACACAGTATAACAGGAACAGCTGAATTGATTGTTTTACAAACGTTGCATCTTCTAATTAATTAATAAACCAACCAACAACTGAACCCACTGTTGCTTTTTAAAGCTAGAATCCTTAGTTGCTACATACATTTGTGGACTTAATGATATATACCCATTGATAAACACAAACAATTAAAGCTTGTTTTACTCCAATGTTTGTAAACAATGTAAACAAACACTATATAGCCTCAACACATAGTTAAAGCTACAATGTGTAACTTTTTGGGCGACCAGACCAAATTCATATAGAAATGTGAGTTATAGATATTTAATTATCATCGAAAGCAAGTCTAAGAAGCGGTATATCTGTTCTGTGACATGACATCCATCTATACAGCCAATGACTCCAGGCAAGTAACCATATTCATAAAACTCTACCTTGTAGTTGGCTTGGGCAGCAGCATCAGGGAACTTGATGTAATTGTCTTTCAGTTCACATATAGCAGTGCAGACTTTGTGGACTATTCCGCATACAGTCGGTTCACTTACACCACACAAATCTCCTGTTTCATGATGGCAGGTTTCAGATGCCAAAATCCTCAAGGTGATCAGTATTTGTAGGGAAGCAGGAATGGGCCTTCCCCTAAGAGAGTCAGATGAAAGCCTTGGCTCAAGCAAACAAATGTCAGTTGCATGGAAAATTGATTTAATCTAAATCATTCAGTGGGTTGCTCCTGTCTATAACCGCCCTTCTGTCTGGGCTTGGTGGTGTTCTTTGATCATTGAAATAGTCCAGGTAACCAATTTTCCTCCATTGCCAACATCCATTAATCTGAAGTTAAACTTGCCTCTGTCCAGGTTTAATTCAAGCCTTCACTTAGATCTAAATTACCTATAATCGTCCTTCTGGAAATCAATACTTTTTCAATCTAAACTAGGGCATGTCTGATAAATGCCATTTCAGTCAATTGAGTTTAAAAGTGCAATTTAATCTAGGATTAGGCTTAATCTGCCAGCGAAACCGCCCTGTCATGTCGGGGTCTGTAACCTGATTTGATGTGTGCATAAATGTGAGAAGTAAGCATATGCGACCAGGTGTTGAATGCATGTGTCCGGGAGACAGTAACCTTACCTTAGCTCCAGGGCTAGCTCAGTCCAAGCAATTAGTATTTGTTAAAAGTGCTGACTGAAAATAAATATATACAAAAAGATAACTACAGAGGCAAGCATAAACTAGAGGTTAACTAACACAAAACAACAAACACTAACAGGCCGAGAAGCCTCTGGTCACAGAATGCCAATCATCCTGATTGCTCACACCTGTCGATTTATCCAGGCTTCCTGGCAGAGCAGAGCCCTTGACCGAGTTGGTGCTGCCACCTGGGGATGGACTGTAGTGTATCTTGGTAGTATGTTGCCTGGCTGCTAACACTAAACTACCCCCCATATCACAAGACCTGCGTCAATAAAGTGCAAATTATATAGTTTGCTTGCTACCCAAACACATTCCACATTTGTTACAGGCAAGTTTGTCTATTTATTTCATGCAATTATCATTTGACAAGGAATAAGACAAAGCAGGTAAGATTGCTTTATTATTATTCACGTTATTCCCAATGTCCATAATGACAAGTTTGGCATCAGTGGATAAGCTATGGCCGCAAACCAAAATACATGTTTGCCTAGCTAATTTGCTCAAGAAAGACATTGAAACATAAAAAGGAAAATCACTTATAACACAGGATCACATACCTCATTTAGTTACTTTAACAGTCAATTTCAGACTGCGTATTTTGATTTCATTACAGCTATGGTACATTTTCTGAAATTGAGATAATGCTCCGGTAATTATTCAAGGAAGGCAAAACCCTTAAGTGTACAACATCCTATAAACATTTGCATATTCATAATTCCTGCCAATTCTTTGTGGGACATCTGAGACAAAAATCAAAGAGTCAATTAAATACAACATGAACAAATCTGAGAGAAATTCTAGCCACCTGCTTATTTTTTTCACATTTTATTCACTGCATTGTAAAGGAGTAGAATAAGAATTGACGATTGGAAATGCTTTCTAGGTGATCAGTGCATGTCAGTGTAAAGAGGGGAGGTGTGTGGGTCAGGTGAGGGTCTGGAGTTGGTGAGGCAGAGTTGGCTGCTTAGAGGTTTTACACCAGTCTCCTCCTTTTGCTGTCACGCGCCATCGGGTCCCCGGACGCAGCATTCATTCTGGCCGCCCCCAGAGGAGACACCTGGTTGAGCATGTGGTCGTCGGAGGCCTGGCCGAACAGAGCCATGAGCAGAGCCACGCCGAAGCCGGTAGCACGCTCCCCCTGCAGAAAGGAAGAAAATTAGAGAACAGGTTACACCATGACTCAACTCTATTTTGGTTCCCAGCCCCCCTTCCCTTAGCTCTTACACATTTGTTTTTTCACCGATCTGCAAGCACTAGACAGATAAGGTATACAGAGGAAGATCCTTTGTTCCCTATTTGTTCAAGCTGGGCTGAAGCAGGTTTGGGTACACTTTTTCTGAAGATCCTTTGTTTATTTGAGTCTGTCAAGATATGTGAGGGGCTGAAATGGATTTAATAGATCATGTCTATACATTGAAAATATTATACTTTCCTGGACACATATTAAGACTAATCCTGAACTAAAAAGCATTTTCAGTGGGGATTCTCCATTAAGTTATCTTTTTAGTCCATGACTAGGCTTAAAATCGGTGTCCAGGAAAACACCCCCACTTAACCCAAATATCCAGTCACTCACAGCATGGACGGGGGAGGCTATGTCCACATGGACCCAGACCCCAGGCCAGTCGAAGCCCAGGTGAGAGCCGATGAAGAGGCCGGCACAGGAGCTCGTAGCGTTCTCCCGGTCCTTTCAAAGACACAGAAAAGGCATACATTTACATTTGAGTCATTTAGCAGATGCTCTTATCCAGAAAATATATAATAGGCTGAAGGAAAATGATCAACAATCATTATAAACTGTAGAAGCATTAACTCTACTTCTGAGCTACTTTTGATTGTACTCCGATCCAGGATTAGGACCTGGTAGACTGCGCATACAGCAGAGAGAGGAGTAGTGGGGCCACTCACAGCCACAGAGTTCTTCATGTCTGCCACAGCTGAGGTGAACTCGCTGAAGTGCAGCTCTGGGCAGTAGACCAGTGGGTGAGCCAGGTCTCCACTGCTGCGGCCTGCACTCACACATGCAATCTCCCACTGCTCATTGTTGGTCATCACGGCACAATGGTACTTCCCTGTGGAGATCCCCTAGGAGAGCCAGACACAAATTAAAACCATTGTTTGAAACATATACTTGTGTAGTAATTTGTTATACAGGAACTATGGTAATGAACTAAAGTGAAAGGTGGTAATAAGAAGTTCAGTGATGTGTATATTGAGTACAAATTCACCTAACGCTTATGATGGTCAGCAACAAAAATCTGCCTTGTTTTTGTGCATCAGACCTCAGTGACATTTCACTAGCTAACTACTTCACTGGGTAGCCAAAATAATTCAGTGTGGTGCATGTGACTTACAGAATGAGCTCATCAGTGCATCATGAGGGTTACCACATGATGTGGCTTTATCATTGTCAGCACAAGCTGTGTTTTGAGTTAGAACACAACTGTTATAAGGAAGATCAAATATTTAGGCCTAATGATTTTGTTGGACACAAACACACCATGCATTTGTGTGAGACAACCTTGATAACAGTTGTTTTGAGTTCCTCAGAGAATGTGCTGAGTTTTAGCTTTAGCCCACGAAAATGTCAGTTAAGGCAAACATCAGCAAAAGTAAAACTTTTCGGGGTACTGGGTATAATTACGTCTGTCACAAGCCCTGTTAACCTTTGCACATGTTCATTTTAGCCTATATATGGCTCTGATCCAAGTGCAGTGACTGTTAAACAGCCCTGACCGGCTTTTATGAGTGTTTCCACAATGTACATGTGGTGTGACTACCTTGTGCTAACATTTATTACCCAACCATCACTTCTGAAAATAATGTACCGACCAAATATTATAGAAATACAAATATATCAAATGCCTAGAGGCTTAAATCTATTCTATAAGGGCAAAACTATATCCATTGCTTGAAGCACAACAACAATAAGTGATTAAAGAACTGTGGGGCACCAAAGTAATGTAGGTGTCTGTTGTTGCCAAAGATGCAGTGCTGTGGTCCTAGATGAGGCCGCCAGTCACACACCTGTGCCCCTGTCAGGGTGGCCATATCTAGGATGATGTCCGAAGAGAGGTCCTTGCTGGCATACACCACACCATCAGACAGCACCAGCCTGCCTTCGGCATCAGTGTTGTTGATCTCCACAGTCCTTCATCAGAAAGGCAGGAAAAAGAGAACAAAAAAGGCTATTCAAACCACAAATCAACCACAAACTAAGCCAGCAACGTAATAATGGATCCTTGGTCAAATATCAGCCAATTGTGTCTTTCCCACACAAAGCCCATCAGAAGGAAAAACCCTACTTTGCTCCATCAGGTTGCCATTGTATTGGCCTGTTTCCCATTACTTTGCCTAACTGGTTAAAATGAACCCAACAGTTAGGAGGGTACTCACTTTCCAGAGTAGAGAGTGTGGATGTCATCTGGCCGTGTGGCAGTGGGTCCGACTGCATTCTCTGCCAGGCAGAATACGGCATGGAGATTGTCTTTGAAGCCCTGAAAAAAAAAGACATGCATTTCAAAAAAGGTTCGCACACAACTTTTCAAAAGCTCTAACCAAACTGTCAATACGTTCCCATAGGGTGTCTCCGAACAGGACCTTATGTTGCAAAATAAGAGGTTGATTTGAAAGATTAACCAGCGGTAGTAGGTAGACCTCACCTGTTTGACAGTAGCTTTGAAAGCGCCTAAAATGGCTGCTGCCCCACCACAGTCTCTCTTCATCCCAGGCATGTTGGTCTTATAAGAAAAATTAAAAAAGTACATTCATCCTTTACAACATTGTAACTGAATACTTATTTCGCAGGCTACTGTTAAATACCCATTTAATTATACAAAAGACAATGATCACATCAAGGACCTGTTCCAAATGGCACCCTATTCAATTTATAGTACACCACTTTTGACAAGGGCCCATACGGCTCTGTTCAAAAGTATTGCACTATAGGGAACATGGTGCTATTTGGGATGCAACCCAACTGACCAGCCTCATGCTTGCCTTTACCTTTCCCTTGATGCTGAGGCCTCCAGTGTCGTATACGATGCCCTTGCCCACCCATGCAATAGTCTGGGTGGCGCCATCTGGTTTGTGACTCAGGACTGCCAGAGCAGGGGGGTTCACCGCTGCCTTGCCCACTCCATATATCCCTGAGGGCCCAAACAGTCCAAAGTGATTGAGTTGATAACCACAGAAACTAATTTTGAGTTATCAGGAAAACAACCATGAGTATATCTGCATCATTTGACAACTCAAACTAAAATACAAGCTTTATTCCAATGTGGGAAAACTATTTAATTTGACATTCCTTTTTGCCCAAATCTTCTGGGTCCCATTAATTAGCTAGTTTTGCTGAGAAAGTAATAAAGCAGAATAGAAACACTGCACATTCAAAGACAAAGAGAAGAGAACCAATAAACCAACCCCCAAAAAACTCCAAAAGGGAAGTGGAAGAAAGCGTGTGGTCATCATACATGCGAGCTAATACATATGCTAAAAAAATAAAAACACACTGCACAAGAGCGCAGACAGTTTGAAAATACGTTTTTCTAACCGGCCCACACGTTAGTCTGTGTGATGGCAAACAAAGAACCAAACAGATTTGAGTCCCAATTAGAGTATGTGAGCGGAGTTGCTTTGGCGCTCCACATTCTTTCCAACCGCTCCGCTAAAAAACACTCCTCACTCACAGGAAGAAAAAAAACTGATGCTCCAAATTCGCTCCATTCCTTAAAATCACAATTTAACCAACAGCCATTTATTTGTGTGACTACCTGGAACTTCCATTTGGTTTTGAAGTATTGAAACCAAACCATATGATTTTAATTAAAAGTATTTTAATAAAAATGAAAAGGTGACTAAAAGCACTCAATTTCAAATAGGCTACTGTACATGTCGTATTAAACAGCATACAAACACTTTAAATAGGTCAGGAGCCAGACAGGTAGCCTAAGGAGGAATGAAAATGAATTATTTAGGCTACAGTGCTATGAAAAAGCATTTGCCCCCTTTCTAATTTTCTCTACTTTTGCATATTTGTGATACTGAATGTTATCAGATCTTCAACCAAAACCTAATATTAGATAAAGGGAACATAAGTGAACAAATAACACAACAATTACATATTTATTTCATAAACAAAGTTATGCAACACCCAATTCCCCTGTGTGAAAAAGTAATTGTCCCCTTACACTCAATAACTGGTTGTGCCACCTTTAGCTGCAATGACTCCAACCAAATGCTTCCTGTAGTTGTTGATCAGTCTCTCACGTCGCTGTGGAGGAATTTTGGCCCACTCTTCCATGCAGAACTGCTTTAACTCAGTGACGTGTGGGTTTTCAAGCATGAACTTTGGTATGATGTTCTTACTGTGGAATGCAGTGTTTGGTTTTCGCCAGGCATAATGGGACCCATCTCGTCCAAAAAGTTGACTCAAGTTTGCCAAAAAGCACCTGGATGATCATCAAGACTCTTGGAAGAACTTTCTATGGACAGATGATTCAAAAGTCTAACTTTTTGGACGACATGGTTCCAGTAATGCCTAGCGAGAACCAAACTCTACATTCCACAGTAAGAACATCATACCAAAGGTCAAGCATGGTGGTGTGATGGTTTGGGGATGCTTTGCGGCCTCAGGACCTGGACGACTTGCCTTAATAGAAGGAACCATGAATTCTGCTCTGTATCAGAGAATTCTACAGGAGAATGTCAGACCATCCGTCTGTGAGCTGAAGCTGAAGCGCAGCTGGGTCATGCAGCAAGACAATGATCCAAAACACACAATCAAGTCTACATGAAAATTGCTAAAAAGCAACAGATTGGAAGTTTTGGAATGGCCTAGTCAAAGTCCAGACCTAATCCCAATTGAGATGTTGTGGCAGGACTTGAAACGAGCAGTTCATGCTTGAAAACCCACACGTCACTGAGTTAAAGCAGTTCTGCATGGAAGAGTGGGCCAAAATTCCTCCACAGCAACGTGAGAGACTGATCAACAACTACAGGAAGCATTTGGTTGGAGTCATTGCAGCTAAAGGTGGCACAACCAGTTATTGAGTGTAAAGGGGCAATTACTTTTCCACACAGGGGAAATTGGGTGTTGCATAACTTTGTTTATGAAATAAATAAAATAAATATGCAATTGTTGTGTTATTTGTTCACTTACGTTCCCTTTATCTAATATTAGGTTTTGGTTGAAGATCTGATAACATTCAGTATCACAAATATGCAAAAGTAGAGAAAATTAGAAAGGGGGCAAATACTTTTTCATAGCACTGTATATTATTGGCCTATTATTACAAGGCTATAGCCTACAAATAAATACATTTTGAAGCATTTGCGAGTGTCGACACACTAGGCTGGCAGGAACATTAAGCGCTCAGCATTTAAAAAACATTTTATGTTGTATTAAGTCATTATAGTCTATAAATTGTGCATATAGGCTGTGACTTACTTAGAATTAAATACAAATCTAATTAATTATTAGTGCCTTTGAATTCACTTTTAGAAACACAAGTTTGGCCAGAGTGTGGCTTCAGGCTCATGTGATGGTGCCTGCAGAGCAGACCAGACGCAGAGAATACCCTCTCCGCGCTTGCAGAGCTAAACACCCTTCGGGCCACTCTTGCCAGGCTGGGCAGGGATGCAGAGTTATTTTTCTATTTTTCTATTGGTAGGCCTAAAGGTTTTTAGGCAAAATAACCCTATCAAAACGGAAAGAGGTAATATGTCAGGCCTATTGTGCCAAAATCAATGATAGTCTATTGTATAGATACTAGAACAAAAATGAATGAAAATTAAGGAGATCAGATTTTTTGTTTGTAAATACTTTGCTACAATGACACTTAGCTTGCTAACCACCTCGCTACTTTCTGTTAGCATTTGCACGTAGTACACCATCATGCTTTCGGGATACGAGTCTTTTCAGATTTCGCGATGACTAATTGTGGACACTACATCATAACACTCCCTCTCTTGCTCTTGGTCCTAATCTTTGTAAGTCACCTTGATTCTGCACCGGTGTGCTTTATCAGTTTCTTTATGAAAATATTTAGAAAACTCCATTACAGTAGCTAAAGCAAGGGGCTATAGCAGCACACAAGTAGCCTACAAATGCATGCTGGGCCGGGCATGCCCTGAGCTCGTGAAGTAAGCGCTACTGGAGTGAAATTGAAGCGAGCAGGAAGGCTGATGCTCCAGCCTTCGGGAAACTCGCTCCGCGATCCAGTCAAATTGGGCACGCTCCGCTCCAGCTCCGCTCACATACTTTGGTCCCAATCCATAGAAGCATAACAGCCAAGCATAACGCATAGCCAAGACCCTCCTGTCCTGATACAGTACCTCCAAAACCTCTCTGTTTCAGTTCCTCTCCTCGAATGATAACAGGAGTAATGCCCAGTTCAGTCCCCACTGCCTTAATCTCCTGAAGACAAAAAGGTATACCCAGTCAAATAAAGTACATTTCGTTGAATTAAGTTGTTTTAAGAAGTCACTGTCGATTGTCCATTATTTGGGTGCTATTGCTTTATGATGGTTGCGTCCCAAATGGCACCCTATTCCCTATATAGTGCACAACTTTTTAGTAGAGCCCATAGTGCTCAAAAGCAGTACCCTGTGTATGGAATAGGGTGCCATTTGGGACGCAACCGATAACCCCATTAGGATATCACTTGCCTCCAAGAAGTGATCAGTATTCATCTCGTTGCACGGTGTGTCCACAATCCGTGCTGCCAGTCTCACTCCATCAGCAGCATTGGCAAGACACTGGCAAGAACCAAAGCATAAATTACGTTTACATTTTATTCATTTAGCAGACGCTCTTATCCAGTGAGACTTACAACAATGCAAACATGTACTTTAGATGTACATTTATGCATGTAAAGTGCATACGGAAAGTATTCACACCCCTTGACTTTCCCATATTGCTACGTTACAGCCTTATTCTAAAACAGATTAAATCGCCCCCCCCCAATCTACACACATACCCCATAATGACAAAGCGAAAACAGGCTTAGAATTTCTTGCAAATGTATAAAAAAATTAATAACTGAAATATCACATCTACAGTGGGGGAAAAAAATATTTAGTTAGCCACCAATTGTGCAAGTTCTCCCACTTAAAAAGATGAGAGAGGCCTGTAATTTTCATCATAGGTACACGTCAACTATGAAAATGAGAATTTTTTTTCCAGAAAATCACATTGTAGGATTTTTAATGAATTTATTTGCAAATGATGGTGGAAAATAAGTATTTGGTCAATAACAAAAGTTTCTCAATACTTTGTTATATACCCTTTGTTGGCAATGACACAGGTCAAACGTTTTCTGTAAGTCTTCACAAGGTTTTCACACACTGTTGCTGGTATTTTAGCCCATTCCTCCATGCAGATCTCCTCTAGAGCAGTGATGTTTTGGGACTGTCGCTGGGCAACACGGACTTTCAACTCCCTCCAAATATTTTCTATGGGATTGAGATCTGGAGACTGGCTAGGCCACTCCAGGACCTTGAAATGCTTCTTACGAAGCCACTCCTTCGTTGCCCGGGCGGTGTGTTTGGGATCATTGTCATGCTGAAGACCCAGCCACGTTTCATCTTCAATGCCCTTGCTGATGGAAGGAGGTTTTCATTCAAAATCTCACGATACATGGCCCCATTCATTCTTTCCTTTACACGTATCAGTCGTCCTGGTCCCTTTGCAGAAAACAGCCCCAAAGCATGATGTTTCCACCCCCATGCTTCACAGTAGGTATGGTGTTCTTTGGATGCAACTCAGCATTCTTTGTCCTCCAAACACGACGAGTTGAGTTTTTACCAAAAAGTTCTATTTTGGTTTCATCTGACCATATGACAGTCTCCCAATCCTCTTCTGGATCATCCAAATGCACACTAGCAAACTTCAGACGGGCCTGGACATGTACTGGCTTAAGCAGGGGGACACGTCTGGCACTGCAGGATTTGAGTCCCTGGCGGCGTAGTGTGTTACTGATGGTAGGCTTTGTTACTTTGGTCCCAGCTCTCTGCAGGTCATTCACTAGGTCCCCCCGTGTGGTTCTGGGATTTTTGCTCACCGTTCTTGTGATCATTTTGACCCCACGGGGTGAGATCTTGCGTGGAGCCCCAGATCGAGGGAGATTATCATTGGTCTTGTATGTCTTCCATTTCCTAATAATTGCTCCCACAGTTGATTTCTTCAAACCAAGCTGCTTACCTATTGCAGATTCAGTCTTCCCAGCCTGGTGCAGGTCTACAATTTTATTTCTGGTGTCCTTTGACAGCTCTTTGGTCTTGGCCATAGTGGAGTTTGGAGTGTGACTGTGAGGTTGTGGACAGGTGTCTTTTATACTGATAACAAGTTCAAACAGGTGCCATTAATACAGGTAACGAGTGGAGGACAGAGGAGCCTCTTAAAGAAGAAGTTACAGGTCTGTGAGAGCCAGAAATCTTGCTTGTTTGTAGGTGACCAAATACTTATTTTCCACCATAATTTGCAAATAAATTCATTAAAAATCCTACAATGTGATTTTCTGGATTTTTTTCTCTCAATTTGTCTGTCATAGTTGACGTGTACCTATGATGAAAATTACAGGCCTCTCATCTTTTCAAGTGGGAGAACTTGCACAATTGGTGGCTGACTAAATACTTTTCCCCCCCACTGTACATAAGCATTCGGACCCTTTATTCAGTACTTTGTTGAAGCACCTTTGGCAGCGATTACAGCCTAGTCTTCTTAGGTATAACGCTACAAGCTTGGCAAACCTGTATTTGGGGAGTTTCTCCCATTCTTCTCAGCCGATCCTCTCAAGCCCTGTCAGGTTGAATGGGGAGCGTAGCTGCTCAGCTATTTTCAGGGCTCTCCAGAGATGTTCAATCGGGTTCAAGTCTGGGCTCTGGCTGGGCCACTCAAGGACATTCAGGAGACTTGTCCAGAAGCCACTCCTGCGTTGGCTTGGCTGTGTGCTTAGGGTTGTTGTCCTGTTGGAAGGTGAACCTTCACCCCAGTCTGAGGTCCTGAGCACTCTGGAGCAGGTTCTCATCAAGGATCTCTGTTTACTTTGCTCCGTTCATCTTTCCCTCGATCCTGACTAGTCTCCCAGTCCCTGCCGCTCAAAAACATCCCCACAGCATGCTGCTTTACCATAGGGATGGTGCCAGGTTTCCTCCAGACGTGACGCTTGGCATTCAGGCCAAAGTGTTCAATCTTGGTTTCATCAGACCAGAGAATCTTGTTTCTCATGGTCTGAGAGTCCTTTAGGTGCCTTTTGGCAAACTCCAAGCGGGTTGTCATGTGCCTTTTACTGAGGAGTGGCCTGATTGGTGGAGTGCTGCAGAGATGGTTGTCCTTCTGGAAGGTTCTCCCATCTCCACAGAGGAACTCTGGAGCTCTGTCAGAGTGACCATAGGGTTCTTGGTCACCTGCCTGACCAAGGCCCTTCTCCCCAGATTGCTCAGTTTGGCTGGGCGGCCAGCTCTAGGAAGAGTCTTGGTGGTTCCAAACTTCTTCCAATTAAGAATGGAGGCCACTGTGTTCTTGGGGACCTTCAATGCTGCAGAAATGTTTTGGTACCCTCCCCCAGATCTGTGCCGACACAATCCTGTCTCGGAGCTCTACAGACAATTCTTTCCACCTCATGGCTTGGTTTTTGCTCTGACATGCACTTTCAACCGTGGGACCTTATATAGACAGGTGTATGCCTTTCCAAATAATGTCCAATCAATTGAATTTACCACAGGTGGACTCCAATCAAGTTGTAGAAACATCTCAAGGATGATCAATGGAAACAGGATGCACCTGAGCTCAATTTCGAGTCGCATATCAAAGGGTCTGAATATTTTTAATACATTTGCACAAATTAATAAAAACCTGTTTTCGCTTTGTCATTATGGGGTATTGTGTGTAGATTGATGAAAACAATGTATTTAATACATTTTAGAATAAGGCTGTAACAAAGCAAAATGTGGAAAAAGAATATTTTCCGAATGCACTGTACATACCACCACAGACAAAATAACACATGGGACATTTGTTCAGTAAATGCAAGGGGTGTAACCGTTTGACAAACCCACGGTTCGGTACATATTGCAGTTTTGAAGTCACGGTTTGGTACAGCAGGAAAATGAAATGCCAATTAGGCTTGGGCAGTATCCAGATTGTCATACCTTCATACTGACCTTGTGCCATACCGGGATATTCAGTAATACCGGCACTGAACAAAAGGGGCGCCGTTTTCAAATGCCCACTAATACCCTGTAATCCGAAGGTTAGCAATGCTAACAAGTACATGTAAAACCCCATAGAGAAAGCCAACTAAATGTCTGACCTAAACTATACAAGTAACTAAAAAAAAATGCTATGCACAGTTTTCTGCAAGCACAAAATAAATATTAGCCAGCGAGGCTCTTGATCCAGGAGGAGATTCTCTGCTGTTATCAAGCAAATGCTTGATTTGGGAAGAAGCTAACAACTTAGCTAGATAACTAACTAGCTACTAAACTAGCAAACCAAATGAAAAACTGCAGAGCATTTAGCACATTTTAGACAGTTAACTTAATAGTTATATGATATCTAGCAGGCAAACATTAAGTTTTGAATTCCATTCTGTAACTAGATCACCTGGCGAATGATGCACAACAATGAGTGATTCACAAGGCTTGGGTGTGCCTGTAAACAAACACCACATGACTGGGGACTACCATAAGCTTCATAATAATGTGACAGCTGAAATGAAGAAGGCAATGTTCTTTATCTCCTAATGTATTGCACAAGTTGACTGCAGGTATTAACTTTAAAAGTATTTACAAATATGCACATTTATTAAAAAAGTTAGTTTCAACGGTACTGAAAAACCATCCTGTGGCTTTTTCCAAATACCCCAGTATATGGTATAAGCCTAATGCCAGCAGTTACTGTAGTTCATTTTTGTTTTGGCAAAATATGCTAAACTACATTTACATTTTACATTTTTGTCATTTAACAGACGCTCTTATCCAGAGCGACTTACAGTTAGTGAGTGCATACATTATTTTTTTATTTTTCATACCCCCCATGGGAATCGAACCCACAACCCTGGCGTTGCAAACGCCATGCTCTACCAACTGAGCTACATCCCTGGAATGGGTCATGAGGTCAACTAACCCAGGAATAGGTCATGAGACATAATGTAGGGCCCTATATATGGTCCTCTGTAGCTCAGCTGGTAGAGCACGGCGCTTGTAACGCCAAGGTAGTGGGTTCGATCCCCGGGACCACCCATACACAAAAAAATATATATGTATGCACGCATGACTGTAAGTCGCTTTGGATAAAAGAGTCTGCTAAATGGCATATTATTATAAAAATCTTTTTTTTTTTTTTTGCCCGATTCTGTTTTCCAGGTTTCAGATTTTTCCCTGTTTTACAGGTTCACTCTCAAAATCACACTTTTTATATGGGAAAACAAAATTTGAGGTTCTAAGTCCACAACCATGCTTAAACCACATAAGGAGACCATTTGAGGTCTCGGGGAAAATCAAATACATTTTCACTAGAGCTGGGACTATAAACCGGAAATTACAGACACCGACATTTATATCCTCATACCGAAGCAATTTTGCATATGTCTGTAATTTTAGGCGATTACAATGTTCCTGCCTGCATTCAACAATAACCTACGGAGCCGCGCGGCATATATGAAAGCGAAACGCCATAGAAAAAAATTATTGCGCTCTGGAGCTCAACACTCCTCTATGCAGTTTAATTTGAAACAAGACTACAGCAGCCAATCAGAGCAGCGTTCTATCCCACGCTTCCGACCCGGTTGTTGGCATCTCTCCCAAGTGATGTTGCGAGTAGCTTCGTTCAATAGCGGGGGAAATGAACGGCGACGAAGAAAATGCAGTCTCAGAAATCCAAGAACAATTAATGCCAAAGAAGGATGCTGTGTCGGTTGTTTGGGTTTATTTTGCTTTTAAACCTAGTGACATCGAGCAGAGTGAGGCAGTGTGCTTGAACTGTCGCAAAACTATAGCAACAGGTTGAGAAAACACGAGCAACTTATTCCACCCTTTGAAACACAGGCATGTAATACAGCATGACGAATGGATGGCGAAGACAAATGAGGCAGAGGCCAACAAGCGGCATGACAAGAGCAAAGCCCAGGCAACAACCCAATACGGAATAGTTTGCACACAGACACACAACTCCCTACGCAACGCTCTCACCGGTGGAATGAAATAACATGACATCGCAAAAGACATGGCCCCAAATTCAACAGTTGAACAAAGTGGGTTCAAGTAGATGGTTCACACTCTGGACAATAAATACAATATGCCATGTACAAGAAATGTCATGCAAAAAAAATTATAAACAGGTGCACCATTTCGCGACAACTGGATCCAAAAATGTAATTGACACTGCCCTACATCGATCCCGACTGGAAGCCGTGCAGCAGGCTTTCCAGAGGACCACACTGGGGAGATGATAGCCCAGACCAGGGGCTGTGGATCTCGCTAGCAGCCTGGGATCAGCATTGCGACGGACAGTGGGGAAAACGTCGTGAAAGTCAACAACCAAACTGGATGGACGAGGTTGCAGTGTTTTGGCCATAGACTTAATCTCGCGATCATTATGTATTTCTATTGTAATAAAGTTAAATATAATTGAGGAAAAAGTTATAGGCCTACATTTTGATTGTGTTTGGAGCAAATAATATGCTGCAATTACCAAATAAATATACTAATGATCTTGAACTTGGTTTGAAATGCTATTACATTTAAAAATAAGAAATGCATAACTAAATGAATGTTAAAAATACAGGTATCTTTCTGTAGCAGCGTTATATCATCTTATAAATCATATGCTGGATCACCTGGTAACCAAATAACGTAGGCTAATATGGCAATTTATGACAGTGTAAAAAGGGCGGTAATGAAAAAGGGCGGTAATGGAGAGTAACTGTAGTCTTTCTAACACCAGCCTCTACATTTTGCAGCTCGCTGTGTAGTCACGCGTCAGCCAGGGTAGAGTAACTGTGCACCTCCCCCTCAAAAAAAGTATTTATCGTTAAAGCAATAAATGTCAATTTATCGCGATATGGATTTTTGTCGATATCACCCAACTCTAGTAGATACCCTTTAATTTAGGTGAGCACCAGCAAGAGCCTTGCTTGGTTAGCAGTGTTTCTGTAGCACACATGTGATTGCAGAGTTTGCTGAACAAATCACCACTGATTGATGCAAATAATCATATCATTCTGCCAGGTATGCATAGACTACTTTGTAGTTAACATTGAGAAGGTTTTTGGGAAAGCCTTTCCATCTACCAGAAGACGGTTGTCATTATTAGCATCATCGCTAACGGCTACATAGAAGGCACTTAACAACCCCCCTACAAAGTAAAATACTGCACTGATAGGCTACTGTATAAAACACGTGGTCCGTTAACCCTCCATCTGGAGAGCTACTGATTGTGCAGGCTTTTTATCCAACCCTGCTTAAACAGAGTCAGCTTATCAAGGTCCTGTTGAGCAGCTGATTTTATTTTACAATGTGGTGTGTTCTAGCAGGGCTGACACAAAAGCCTGCACACCTATTAGCTCTCCTGGACTCTACAGGATGAGGCTTGGCAACCCTGCAACATTACAATTACAACCAAATACTTTGTGTTTGTAAAATAATTCCCTCATTCAATGAACCAGGGATCAATGGCTAAGGTAGCTAACTAAGGTGTTTATCTATTTGTATGGTTAAAATATTCTGTGTTCAGAGGAGATCTTGACCGCATAGGAGTTACTTGTCAATTAGGCTATTATTTTTTTACTTTGTTAGAATTACATGGCTAGTATTGAATAGAAGAGAATCCTAGCCAATTTTGAGCGCTTGAGAGACAGTTTTACAACAGTATGCAGCATTGGTTTCATCAACTGCGCACACGTATCAACTGCGTGTTGGCCATTTGCGGTTATACACGAGTGCCGGTGAAAAGTTATTATGACAATGACATTAATGTATGCTAAATAGTTAAGCAGCCAAATTACAACATGTTTTGAATTTGCTATCTAGTTAGTCTCGCTCTCTGCAGGTAATGCACACACAATTACTTTTCCAGGATTTTAATTGCTGACCAAAAATGTGCTATAACTGGGCAAATACGTCACTAGCAATGAATATCAACAAATGTGCAAACACTGCTCGCTTTGATCTCAAAAACATCTCGTGACTGCATGATTGAAAGACCGCTCGTGCCTGTCAATGCAGGCCTACAATAATGATACTCCGATGCACACTACAGACATTGGGCGGAGAGTGAGCAAAACATCGCGTCCGGAGGATACTGATCCAATTCTGATCGGAGTAGCATAATTGTTTGATAGTGATTTTTAAATCTATAATCTGCTTGTCCAACAATTTGTTTTACTTGCCCTGGGCAAGCGGACAAATCTCAATGTCGAGCGCTGTAGTTGTTTTTAACAGAATAGCCTAAAAATGTTTTTTCAGCTCAGATTTACTCTATAGGCCTATTGTTTTTATAAATCTATTTTTAAATGTATTCATTCAGGTTCACAGTGCGGACCGAACCGAGGTCCCCGTACCAAACGGTTTATACTTGTACTGTTACACCCCTAGTAAATGCACATCATAAAAGCACTCCATATAGATCTTGGAGTCAGTTTGGTCAGCCAGCAACAAAACCAAACCAGTGGGTGGCAGCAACAACAGTGGCTGATATAGGTCCACAATGGCTCTGGCAATGAGACAGACACACATAATTCACTAGTATAGAAGTCAGAGGTACCTGCAGTATAGTGAGTTCCAGTGGTCCGTTATCTTGGCCCACAGTGATAAACTCCACAGTGACTTCTTTTTTCTCGGTCCTGCGGGAGGAGGCAGAGCGACGGGAGAATATGGGGAAGGCCCGGGCGATGGCACAGGCTGAGGCAAACACATCAGACCGCTCACACACCACCTGGACAGACAGGAACAAACACACTTTTACTGTCTGATAACAAATCTGTTATAAAGGTCTGTCTAAAATGATCAATGAATGCAGTGTGTTAATCACAAAGCATGCAATTTGGCATATTGCCTTAGAAGTAAAATCAAAAGAAGACAGGACATAGGCCTACTTGACCTATGCAACCACATGTAGGCCTAACCTTTATTTGTTTGAGACTTTGGACAGCTGTAGGGGCCCATCTATGGCTTAACGATCACATTATCACTAAGGATCTAATAATAAATGTCTGGTGTCTGACGCATAATGGAAGATCAGGTCAGCATTACCATAAACTCCACAGGCATGTTTCCCGCCACAGGTTAAGCCTAGTCCTGGACTAAAAACTATTCTCAATGGACAATTTCCATTGAAAGTGCGTTTAAATCCAGGACTAGGCTTAATGTGTTTGGGAAACCGGCCCCGTATAGGTCTTTAATCTCAGTACGGTGAACTGACTGACCAGGATGCAGCGGCTCGTCCCTCCAGGCAGGCAGGTACGGACCAGACGGGAAAGAAAGTGGGCAGAGGAGGGGCTGTTGTGTCTGCTAACCCGGGAGGGCAGGGCTGCCACGGCTGCATGGCTCAAGTAGAGAGGGCAGCTGTCCGTAGGGTTAGGGTTCAGAGCAGTGAGGGCCGCCTGCCAGACCTGGATAAAAAATAAAGAACAAATATTTCACTTTGTTAGCTCTGACTGAGTGACAATCACTGGCTATATTATGATGATCACATAAGCGCTGGCACCAATTCTGAATGGCCCTGAATACAGTAAGACTTGGGAAGGCATATGACATAAGTTGTCTGACACAATGTGGCAAATTGTTGAACAATTCACCTGCAAGTTGCACACACAGTGTTGTCAAACTGAGTGATAATATATTTGCAAAGCAGAAGACCAAATAGGAGGCTGCGTTCACACAGGCTGCCCAATACTGATCTGGCCCTGTGTAGTTCAGTTGGTAGAGCATGGCGCTTGCAACGCCAGGGTTGTAGGTTCGATTCCCACGGGGGGCCAGTATGAAAATGTATGTACTCACCAACTGTAAGTCGCTCTGGATAAGAGCGTCTGCTAAATGACTAAAATGTAAATGTCAAATGACAATTTTCCCCAATTATTGGCAAAATATCTGATTGGTCAAAAGACTAATTAGTGGCAAAATATAATTGGTCTGACTCCACAGTCAACCTGGCTGGACCAAACATTAAGTAGTCATGAGCAACAATAGTTAGATTAGTCGGGCACATGCAACTTGACAAATGAACATAATTGCGAAGGTTGGAACATGCTAGTTAACCCAGTAAGACTGACTTTCCTTCAAGTAAAATGGGGGAAAAGTTACAAATTAGAATTTCTTGAAATTAAAGAATAAAGGCCAATAAAATAGTCAGGGATCAAGTAACGAGCCAATGTGGTTGGTTGGAGAATGGAGATGACATGTTAAAAGCTAAGCTAGCATGACTTGATTTGTGATAGCTAACTTAGCTAGCAAACAAGTTAGGCAACGTCGTTAGCATTAAGTCAGATTCAATGTAAGGAGCTATACATGGCCCATTGAACTGTTTCACAATACCAAGAGTCAAATTAAGCATTATTTCATATTATAATTACTAGTTAGTTAGCTATAACATTTTTACTGACGCTAGCTTGCAAAGTTAGCGCGAGAGGACAAGTGAGTGCTTGCCGGGGAGCTCTGGCGCCACTCTGTTCTAGCGCGAGCAGCTCCGATAATTTTTTTATTTCCTCACCTTTTCGCTGACAGCTGGCTGCAATTTTCCCTTGACTTGGGTCCAGTTTGCTTGCTGCAGGTTATTCAGTTGACCGACAATGAGGACCGGGCGATTTTGGGGCTCGGAGTCTCCGGCAGAAGCCTTGAACTCCAGCACCACGTTCGCCATCTTTGAACAAAGCGATGGCTTGATGCCCTTTGCACTTTATCGCACATCCTGCTTTTCATAGAGAAGTGTCACAGATGAGATTGAATGGGAGGTCAGCGTTACCGCCGTCCTTGAATAGTATTGGATTTTCCATATTTCTGTACAGTAGTTGTACATAGTGTGTGTGTGTGAGAAATATATTTTTAAATCAGTAAATTTTCATTTCCCCCGTAAAATCTAAGTGGAAAAGACTCAATGGAAAGCCTATCCAACCCTACTTACGCATATTGTTTTCATGGCAAGCAGCAGGATCTCAAACTGCCGATACGAACCAATGCAATGCACGTGTATTATTATTTTTGAACTGCTAATATCCACAATCGTAAAAAATTATTGAAAAAAAACCCCATAAGATAACATTAGCCATAACATACCATTGGGACGTAGGTGGGTTTTTTTCCCACACAGAAAACATCCAGACATGAACGATTATGATTTATCATTGAAGTGTGTATAAATATTATCTATATATAACTGAACTTGGGCAATGTTTTAGAAATGGAAAATTCTGTCCATGACAAAATCCCAAATTGTACCCTATACCCTGGCTATGGCTCCTGGTCAAAAGTAGTACACTATTTAGTGAATAGGGTGCCATTTGGGACTTAAACATTAATTCAGCTTCATCATCAGTAATAAAGGAAGACTTGAGCAAACAAAGAATTCTATACTGAATTTAACATGAAATGGGTCACATCTTTCCAAAAAACAGGTCCATTCTTCATAAGAAACAGTAGAGTAGTGTTGATTTTGTAGTGGGATCGGCAAAGTAATTTCTGAGCACAAAGGCTTGCATCACATTGTTCATTCCAACACAGGCTGCCATAGACACAATTTAGGCTACTCAATACATCTTTGCCATATTAGACAACCTTTCACCTTTTATACAATTTGAATTCAAAATAAATAATTATAATTTCATATTATACAGGAGACAGTAGTTTGACAGACATGAAACCAAACATCAGTCTTTCGATATGTGCAAACTGTGAGAGGTATAAAATACTAAATAATAAACTCAACTGATGTATCAGTTAGCGATACCGAACAATATAAAGGGTCGTGAAACAAGAGAAAGCAGTCATCAAGTGATCTAAAATGTGCAACATCATGAAAGACACTGCTGTTGGTACAGAGACATGAATTTAGGATGGTCAAGTACAGCTCTGAATCCAAAAGGAAGTTTTGGTGATCAATGAATCAGTATTGTAGTTCTTCAGTCACTGAGAGACACAAAAACCCTTGTAATTTCTCCCTCTTTAAAAAAGGAAACATGATAAAGCAGAAAATGAAACAAATGCACAACGAATCAAGTGTCTGCAATGACCAGGGTCCGTAAAAGCAACACCACGAGACACAAATGTTCATAGACATTCAGTATTCACCTGTGCAGTAGCTGAGTTGTCAGAATTATTCTATTGGAATAACAGACATGGGAAAGCAGGGCTTACAACTATAGCTTACAATAAAACTGGACAGATGATGCTTACTATCACAAGAAAACCACTTATTTTCTCCAAAAACAAAGCAAAACGTATGGCCATGACAATCAGTAGTCGACCACAAGGAAATTTAAGGAGTGTTTTTTCTGTGTTTGTTTGTAGCAGTACCATGACACATGGAGGATATGTTCAAGAGTGTATTGGGGCAGACAGTGGGCATGTGTGCAGGCCTGTTCCAAAGTTAAATAGGAACTCTCCCTGGCTGTCCTCTCTTAAGGATCATGCATTCAACACATCTCCATGAGCCATACAGCGAGAGATTTTGGAAGGGTGATTGGAAAGTTGGACAGGTAGTCAGCATTGTTTGAAGTACAGAGAAGACCCTCATACAAGCACACATATGCACACCAAACAGACACACAGACATACCAAAAGCAAAGGAATGCATCACTAGAACTTTGTCCCAAATAGAATAAGTATTAGAACAACAACTATTACGGTAAGGATTAAAATGACCAGCATCTTTCGGTTTTTCTTCTGATACTGTTCAGCCTGAAAGAAATCAGAGAGAAAATGTTATAATTAAGTTTGCGGGCAAGATAACACATTTCCCCTTGTCGTGGACATCATCAATTGGGCTTCGTTTTAACCATTGTGCACTACACACATCTGAAACATCAACAATCTTTAACGTTGTGTCCTCACCTTTTGTAACTGTTTCAACCCCTCTTCTGTTTTGACACACGATTGCTCCACATTGAAGTCAATTCTGTCAAGTACTGTGCCCTGATATTGGACAAAGAAAGAAACAATCAGTTGGGAAGACATAAAGTCATATATCCATGGGCCATACTGACACATGATGGTGTTGTTATGTTTCCAAACACTGAATAGGGTTTCCCTCACAGACCTGTTCCACCACCATTCCAGCCAGGTCTCGGAAAATCTCATTCAGGTCAGAGATGGACTGGACTATCTGTCTGACCTCTCTCTCGCGTTCCTCCACCATCACTGTGTTCTGCTCTACCAGGACCAGCTGGTCATCTGTAAACCCCTGGGAGAGATCAGAAATATGGGCTCACTGAATAGAACTTTGTCTACGTTCCAAATGGCACCCTATTCCCTTCTGTGGGGGAAAAATTGTTTTGTTACAGTCTAAATTTACTATGAAAATGCTTGAGTTGAATAGAGCTATTCACTGGTAATTTCCCCTGCTGTCCAGTAACTCTTATAAACTGGAAAATGAGTTCTGCCTGATCCTTGGAACAAGTTATTTCTCAACACTTCATAGCACACTACTTTTGACCAGGTTCTCATTGCACCTTTCGAACTGATTACACAATTGCATTGCTTTAGTAAACGGCTTGGCATTTTATTGCTTATCTCACAGCAAAAGAGGAATCCTTTAAAAATAAATGTTATTTTGCCCATCTCAGGAAAAGAAACTGAAGGTATGTAAACGTTTTGGTGGATGTCCACATAAATCATGTGGTATCAGATGAATCAGAGGAGTATTGTTAAAATGTAAGGGTGACTTCCTGTTACATCAAGATAAAGCACAACAAAGAACACAGGGTTTTTTCCTCCCCGCCGATTTTCATGAGGCTTCAACAAGTCAACTTAGTGAAACTCACATTCTTGTTAGGGAGTGAAGGTTATTTATAATAAGGGTTACGTGGAGAAAATCGGACCTCTCTGAAATGAAAATGGATGGCCCTCCCTTCAACATAATATATTTTACCTAAACCCTCCCTGAACGCTTGAAAAAAACAACAAAAAATAATTAAAACAAAGTGGATAGCAGAGAACATGTTTACCTTTTAACCTCACTTCTTGGACAGACCAGAGCCTTAGATATGCAGTTTTAGAAACTGTTCTTCGTACTGTATGCATTACATGGAAACGCAGGAATTTTGAAGGTTGTGGGTTCGCAGACCACCATGGACAAGAGTAGGGATGGAAAGATCTCCTTCATAGTAAAATCATTGCATTAATCTATCATTTTATTTGCAGGTCAGAGAAAAAAAAAGCCTTTTATAAACATTTCATGCAATTATATTTGACATATTAGCAGAATCTTTTTTAATACCACACAAATGACTGAAATTACAGTCTAAGAATGGACATCTTATCATATTTCTCCAATGCCAAATCAGTGCGTCTTGTTTGCAATTAAACTGTCCCTGTTTGCAAATAATGAAATCTGAGACGTCATTAGGAATCTGAGCATGGTACCTTCCACCCCAGACAGAGTAGGTAGGCCTACCGATGCAGAAAAATGTAAGCTTTAACGGCTGGCTACTCTTCTTTCAAGGCTTAACCCAAGTGTTTCCCTAAAAGCTGTCTGGGTTTAAACATCTTCTATTGTACAGAAAGTGAATAGTTTAAATCAATTGATAGTGACAGAATTGGATTACTTTCCAAGTAAAGTACATGTTTTGTCTCCTCGGCTATAGAAGGTTGTAGCTCAGCCTCAATGTCAGGCGCTGTTATAGATTACTTTATATAATTGGATCAGTTTTATTTTCTTTAAAATCTTAAGCTAACAAGGGGTAGGCCTATGCTTTTTACCATTTTCTTTAATAAAAAAGTAGGCCTATGGCCTACCCTCTCATACCCCCTCAATTCGAGTCTTGGTTTTAACTTAACAGCCCTTCACTGACACTGAGGTAGGCTATTTAAAGAGTGCATGGTGGGTGGAGGAATTGACCAACAAATCTATGGATATAGCATCCTATAGCCTAATTTCGTAGGCCTACCTCTTATTTATTAAACAGGAAGAAATAAGCTCCAACATAAAGCCCTCTTGTTGTTAGTAATGTGTAATTAAAATGAAGACTGTTGAAATGAATTATAGCACTAACTCCAAATAGTTTTGGGACACTAAAGTCCATGGAAAATAAGAGCACCTCCTCCCAGCTGCCCACTGCACTGAGGCTAGGAAACAATGTCACCACCGATAAATCTACAATAATCGAGAATTTCAACAAGCATTTTGCTACGGCTGGCCAATGCTTTCCACCTGGCTACCACTACCCCGGCCACCAGCTCTGCACCCTCCGCTGCAACTTGCCCATGCCCCCCCCCCGCTTCTCCTTCACACAAATTCAGACAGCTGATGTTCTGAAAGAGCTGAAAAATCTGGACCCCTACAAATCAGCTGGGCTAGACAATCTGGACCCTTTCTTTCTAAAATTGGCCGCCGAAATTGTCGCAACCCCTATTTCTAGCCTGTTCAACTTCTCTTTCGTAACATCTGACATCCCCAGTGATTGGAAAGCTACCGCGGTCATCCCCCTCTTCAAAGGGGGTGACACTCTAGATCCAAACTGTTACAGACCTATATCCATCCTGCCCTGCCTTTCGAAAGTATTTGAAAGCCAAGTTAACAAACAGATCACCGAACATTTCGAATACCACTGTACCTTCTCCACTATGCAATCCAGTTTCTGAGCTGGTCATGGGTGCACCTCAGCCACGCTCAAGGTCCTAAACGATATTATAACCGCGATCGATAAAAGACAGTACTGCGCAGCCGTCTTCATCGACCTGGCCAAGGCTTTTGACTCTGTCAACCACCGCATTCTTATTGGCAGACTAAATAGCCTTGGTTTCTCTAATGACTGCCTCGCCTGGTTCACCAACTACTTCTCAGATAGAGTTCAATGTGTCAAATCGGAAAGGCCTGTTGTCTGGACCTCTGGCCGTCTCTATGGGGGTGCCACAGGGTTCAATTCTCGGGCCGACTATTCTCTGTGTATATACAGTGGGGGAAAAAAAGTATTTAGTCAGCCACCAATTGTGCAAGTTCTCCAACTTAAAAAGATGAGAGAGGCCTGTAATTTTCATCATAGGTACACGTCAACTATGACAGACAAAATGAGAAAAACTATTCCAGAAAATCACATTGTAGGATTTTTAATGAATTTATTTGCAAATTATGGTGGAAAATAAGTATTTGGTCAATAACAAAAGTTTCTCAATACTTTGTTATATACCCTTTGTTGGCAATGACACAGGTCAAACGTTTTCTGTAAGTCTTCACAAGGTTTTCACACACTGTTGCTGGTATTTTGGGCCATTCCTCTATGCAGATCTCCTCTAGAGCAGTGATGTTTTGGGGCTGTCGCTGGGCAACACGGACATTCAACTCCCTCCAAAGATTTTCTATGGGGTTGAGATCTGAAGACTGGCTAGGCCACTCCAGGACCTTGAAATGCTTCTTACGAAGCCACTCCTTCGTTGCCCGGGCAGTGTGTTTGGGATCATTGTCATGCTGAAAGACCCAGCCACGTTTCATCTTCAATGCCCTTGCTGATGGAAGGAGGTTTTCACTCAAAATCTCACGATACATGGCCCCATTCATTCTTTCCTTTACACGGATCAGTCGTCCTGGTCCCTTTGCAGAAAAACAGCCCCAAAGCATGATGTTTCCACCCCCATGCTTCACAGTAGGTATGGTGTTCTTTGGATGCAACTGGAACGAACTGCAAAAATCTCTGAAGCTGGAGACTCTTATCTCCCTTACTAAATTTAAGCGTCAGTTGTCAGAGCAGCTTACCGATCACTGCACCTGTACACAGCCATTCTGAAATTAGCCCACCCAACTACCTCATCCCCATATTGTTATTTATTTTGCTAATTTGCACCCCAGTACCTCTATTTGCACATCATCTTTTGCACATCTATCATTCCAGTGTTAATACGAAATTGTAACTAATTTGCACTATGGCCTATTTATTGCCTTACCTCCATAACTTACTACATTCGCACACACTGTATATATATTTTCTGTTTGTATTTTTGACTTTATGTTTCGTTTACCCCATATGTAACTCTGTGTTGTTGTTTTTAATCGCACTGCTTTGCTTTATCTTGGCCAGGTCGCAGTTGGAAATGAGAACTTGTTCTCAACTGGCTTACCTGGTGAAATAAAAGGTGAAATAAAATTAAATAAAAAATTATGCCTACTTGAATTTGCCTACTTTCAGCACCATGAGCAGTCCATTTCCGATTGATTGTGCCGCGGTTGATGCTACAAGTTTCAGCACCACAATGTAAGTTACTCGAATCTGTGTCATAACAGCCTCCACACACACACACACTGAGATACACACCCTGCTATTGGATAGTGTTGTTGGATGTTCAGAGAATACATTTATTAATTGCTTGAAAGCTTTCAAATGGTGACATGAGTCACACATGATATAAATAGGTGATATGGACTTGGCTCCTGAGTGGCGCAGTGGTCTAAGGCACTGCATCGCAGTGCTAACTGTGCCACTAGAGATCCTGGTTCGAATCCAGGCTCTGTCGCAGCCGGCCGCGACCAGGAGACTCATGGGCGGCGCACAATTGGCCCAGCGTCGTCCAGGGTAGGGGAGGGAATGGCCGGCAGGGATGTAGCTCAGTTGATAGAGCATGGCGTTTGCAGCGCCAGGGTTGCGGGTTCGATTCCCACGGGGGGCCAGTATAAAAAAAGATGTATTCACTAACTGTAAGTCGCTCTGGATAAGAGAGTCTGCTAAATGACTAAAATGTAAATGTAATGTAAATGCTTATTGTGAGGTCAATAACTCTGATAAATACATAATGGGCAAGAAACATATTGTTTTTAATAAAAATCTATTATAGTAGTACAAGGTATCAAAGTTGACCTCTGGTACACATCATCTTCGCGCTCTCCTTCTCAAACTGAACATACACTATATGCTAGTCCGCGTGCAATATTTATAAGAATTTCATAAATTACAAATTACATGAACCTCCCTTAAACTAGATTTAAAAAAAAAAAATACTAAACCCTCCCCTTGATGGAAATTGAAAAAGCATGACCCTCCCTAATTTTCCTCCAAGTACCCATTATGTAAATTCCGATCCATCCCTTACTAAGTGAATTCGGGACGTCAAACGTTCAGACACTACGGAGGCTCTAGTCTAGAGCGGCCAGTTAAATTGTGTTAAGACATTTTTTACTCTATAATGGTTAAATGAGGGAGAAATAGAGGCATTGTTGCAATAGTTTGTGAGAGGGAAACTTATACTATCATCTTAAAATTGACATGTTTAATTATTTTGCCATATTAACTTATATTGTGCTAATTTCCCTAATGTGGACAGTTTGTGTTACTACTGTACACAAGCTTGCATTTTCACCTCATAAAATATTGTGGAATTACACGTCCTTTTTACCGCAGATTGGTGATGTTAGTATAAAAGTTTATAGTCATCACGATGACATAAGATCGATTGCTTAAAACAGATAAATATCTTTGGTTTTGTACCGTTGATTTTGTCACACGCGCTGGGGTGCGCAGGACTTAGAACGCAGAGTTAATTAGTGTGTTTATAAGGCGCTGTTTAGATTTTCAATATATCACAAACTGTTCCTGCATATTGGTTATCGATTTGGACACAAACAGTTTTGACATTGGGCTATTTATCAAAATGTCTTGTCAACAGGAAGCAGCGACAGCATCATTTTCAACTTAAGTTTTAAGAATATAAATGGAACTTTCAACATTAATTTCCAATGGTATTGTACTTAACCAGGTAAAAACTGCTGAATGTGCCCAAAAACATGCTGTGATTGATTTATTTTGATATACCAGAAATCACCAAAACTGGTTTGCCCTGCCTACTGTATCTTACATTCGCAGACAAAAACATGCATTTCTATATTATATATAATTTATTACACCTGGATATTATATTTTTCCCGAGAGATATGTATAAGCACCGATGCTGATCAGGGAAATGTCAAAATACACTGTCAGTTCCAAGCTCACCCTGTCATATAGTGCTATGTCTTCATCCTCCTCCATTAGAGGGCCGGAGTCAAAAAAGTGCTTGGATCTCTCCTCACGATTCTTCATGCCTGTAACAGAAAACATCAACATTATGACAATAAAAGAGACATGATGAGGGTGGAGGTGAAACCAAAGACGAGAGAAATGAAGAGTGTGTGTGTTTGGTGTATGTGTGCCAGTTCGTGCAAGGAGAGAGAAGTGAGGGATGGAATATGGAAACTAATGGAAAGGAAAAAATGAAGATAGCTGCGAGGTATAGGAGTAAATACAGTAACAAGTGAAATACCACCGTTCAGTTTGAGTGAGTGCTCGCTTACGTTTCAGGTAACTGGACTGTGTGTGTCTGAAGTTGGTGGACAGCTCCTGCAGGCTCCCTGCCAATGAGGACACCACGTTTCTCAAAAGCCTCTCCTCCTGCTCTGTGCAGTGGCCACAGCGAGACTGCAGACCTGTCACCGCACGCTGACACCGGTGGAACATCTACACACACCGGCAAAGGAGAGAGCACTCAATATATCTTTGCCATATTAGAGAAAAACATTTGACCTTTGTTCAATTTAAATTCAAAAATAAATAATGAACATTACACTAGTGATGTACGGGTTGACTCAACCCACAGTTCCCGTGGTTATATCCGTAGGGCGGGCGCGTTTAGGGTCATTCAATATTGTGTGGATGAATGGCGGGCGGGTGGCGTCAGGTTGAATAAAGAGAAAATAAATCCATAAATGTATAATTCTTGTGCAATTTATATCTATAGGCTACATTGAGGTTTTTATTTCATTATTTTTAGGCTATCTGGCATTAGTGCGTAAACTTTACGCGTGCCAAATAGCCTACATGCCAATCACCAAACGCTTTTGGGAACGGGCAGAAAAAGTTAATGTCATCCACTGAGGCAAAAAGGACAATGTCAGAGAAATAAGAGAAAAGCTGCGAAATGGAGAGTTGAAAATAAAGAAAAGATGGCCAGAAAACGAATGTTTGGGAAAGATGGTAAAAGAGGACGATAGCAGTGCCTATGCTGTGTGTGATGATTCTGAGGTGCTATACAAATTTGACAGTCACAAGACGGGAACTTCAAATAGGCCTATGGCACGTCAATGCAACTGTAGCCTACTGGGGTAGATGGGTGAAATGGAAACTGAAATCTGGAAACTGACTGTAGGTCTATAACCTCTCACATAGTCTTAACATTAACTCCTGCATAATTAAGCATTTATTGCTGTAAAGTGATTCACTAAATGTACATTTAGACTTGGGAACAGGAGTAGATAAATATTATTTGTTTCAGCATCTTGAGAGAATGCGAATGAATGTGCAGTTAGGGACTGTCTGTAGAGGTGCTATCTTTAATCAGCATCATAAAAGCTGATAGTATTTCAACCACATAAAATATGCATCCAGGCCAAACTGAAATCTTATCAGAAACGTGTTGCGTCGTTTTCACAGCTTTCTATTTCCTTACAACCTGTCAAACTGACGTAATTTGGAAATTTTGCAAAGAAAGAGTTATTGCATTTTCTTCCCGGTCCCTAAATGTCTTTGCTCCACAAAAGAAGCAGCGATGACAGAGAAAACGTTATACTGACGTCAACTAGATTAAAGCATTCATTATAATTTATTCTGGTGAGGAAGGGTTTATTTAGTCTTCTGGGGCAACATATAATGACAGAAGAGAAGCTGCATGTTTCTAATTATAGACAAGTTGACTAACAAATAGCCTACCAAAATGTCAGAAATTATAAGCAGAAACATATCTAAATTATACAAGAAAAATTCCTGCACCTCCTGTCAAATATATATTTTTTTTAAATAAAAAAAAAATCGGTCCGCCATCTGACTGTAGCCTACAGCGCATTTTCTATATTTGCGGGTTAGGGTCGGGTGCAGGCCTCAGATTTCACTTCATCATATGTTGTTGATGGGTTATTAGCAATTGCGGGCAGGTGCGGGTGAACAAACAGCTGACCCGCACACCACTAATCTACACAGACCAAAGCAAAGGAGAGAGCACGGCAGAAAAGCTTACTGAAAAAAAAATACGTTCTTATTCTACTATATAACAAGAATGGCCACAAGAATGGCCGACTAGGTGAAAAATCTGTCGATGTGCCCTTGAGCAAGGCACTTAACCCTAATTGCTCCTGTAAGTCGCTCTGGATAAGAGCGTCTGCTAAATGACCAATTATTATTATTATTATTATTATTATTATTATTATTATATTACATCAGCAGGCTGCATACAGTGAAGGGAAAAATTATTTGATCCCCTGCTGATTTTGTACATTTGCCCACTGACAAAGACATGATCAGTCTATAATTTTAATGGTAGGTTTATTTGAACAGTGAGAGACAGAATAACAACAACAAAAACGTATGTCAAAAATTTTATAAATTGATTTGCATTTTAAATTAGGCAAATAAATATTTGACCCCCTCTCAATCAGAAAGATTTCTGGCTCCCAGGTGTCTTTTATACAGGTAACGAGCTGAGATTAGGAGCACACTCTTAATGGGAGTGCTCCTAATCTCAGCTTGTTACCTGTATAAAAGACACCTGTCCACAGAAGCAATCAATCAATCAGATTCCAAACTCTCCACCATGGCCAAGACCAAAGAGCTCTCCAAGGATGTCAGGGACAAGATTGTAGACCTACACAAGGCTGGAATGGGCTACAAGACCATCGCCAAGCAGCTTGGTGCGATTATTCGCAAATGGAAGAAACACAAAATAACTGTCAATCTCCTTCGGTCTGGGGCTCCATGCAAGCTCTCACCTCGTGGAGTTGCAATGATCATGAGAACGGTGAGGAATCAGCCCAGAACTACACGGGAGGATCTTGTCAATTATCTCAAGGCAGCTGGGACCATAGTCACCAAGAAAACAATTGGTAACACACTACGTCGTGAAGGACTGAAATCCTGCAGCGCCCGCAAGGTCCCCCTGCTCAAGAAAGCACATATACAGGCCCGTCTGAAGTTTGCCAATGAACATCTGAATGATTCAGAGAAGAACTGGGTGAAAGTGTTGTGGTCAGATGAGACCAAAATTGAGCTCTTTGGCATCAACTCAACTCGCCGTGTTTGGAGGAGGAGGAATGCTGCCTATGACCCCAAGAACACCATCCCCACTGTCAAACATGGAGGTGGAAACATTATGCTTTGGGGGTGTTTTTCTGCTAAGGGGACAGGACAACTTCACCGCATCAAAGGGATGATGGACGGGGCCATGTACCGTCAAATCTTGGGTGAGAACCTCCTTCCCTCAGCCAGGGCATTGAAAATGGGTCGTGGATGGGTATTCCAGCATGACAATGACCCAAAACACACGGCCAAGGCAACAAAGGAGTGGCTCAAGAAGAAGCACATTAAGGTCCTGGAGTGGCCTAGCCAGTCTCCAGACCTTAATCCCATTGAAAATCTATGGAGGGAGCTGAAGGATCGAGTTGCCAAACGTCAGCCTCGAAACCTTAATGACTTGGAGAAGATCTGCAAAGAGGAGTGGGACAAAATCCCTCCTGAGATGTGTGCAAACCTGGTGGCCAACTACAAGAAACGTCTGACCTCTGTGATTGCCAACAAGGGTTTTGCCACCAAGTACTAAATCATGTTTTGCAGAGGGGTCAAATACTTAATTCCCTCATTAAAATGCAAATCAATTTATAACATTTTTGACATGCATTTTTCTGGATTTTGTTGTTGTTATTCTGTCTCTCACTGTTCAAATAAACCTACCATTAAGATTATAGACTGATCATGTCTTTGTCAGTGGGCAAACGTAAAAAATCAGCAGGGGATCAAATACTTTTTTCCCCTCACTGTATACTGTAGGCCCTTATAAAAAGGCACAAATGTAAACATGTACAAGTCTTAAATATTTTTAGATCATATTGTCAAACAAAGAGCTCCATTCATAACAACAATAGTTAGGCACTCCTTATAGGCGGTGGCTTTTCCAGAAGGCCACTTATGAGGTGTGCCACCTTTTGCCTCAGTAGGTATCCTAGGTGATAATAATAGTAGTGACGCTTCAAAGTTCGTTCAATGGAGTTTCTTGTATGGACTCCTCTGTCACTGACCAACCTGTGTGATCTCCTGAGTAGTGATTTCTATGGCATGCTCTTCTTCACTGCTGTCATCCAGGGTGGGACGGTTCATGTGCTTATCATGGAGGGCGGCCAGCTCCTTCATTTTCTGCCGGACCCGTGTGATTTCATACTGAATCTGAAAGCCCACGCAACCACAGGATTAACACAGATGCACGAGAGAACAGCACATGCACTGAAAGCTCCAATAAAAATGCAATTTTAAAGAAGACTAACACAGGATCTTGGAATTTGGTATAGGCTAATATTAGTAGGCTGACATTTTCTGAAGTATCTATAGCTCAATAGTTTCATTATGGTGGTGAAACTAGGCATATGTAATAGCCTAAACGTAAAGGATTAGTTCACTATTTTACAACTTGTTAGATTGTTCCTCACCCTGAAAGTAACTCCATATTTGGTTAGATGTTACTTAAAAGGCGATTTGACCATTAGAAAAAAACAAAAAAATACATGCTCACGTCCATTGATTGTTAGCTTGTGGTGGCTAAAGTAAGCTGACGTTTGTAGTGGCTGTTTAAAGAAAACTGAACCATGGATTAGTTTATCCTGACCCATAGACTACTTTCAGGATGAGGGACCATCTAACATCAAGTTGTAAAATAGTAAACTACTCCTTTAATAAGAAAGTCCTCAAAAGGAAATTGGTGGAGAGATCTCTGATGAAGTCTGGAATAGTGCCTTACTTAGAGTAAATGGAAGCTCCTCTTGTACCCGGCTCAGCCTTATACAGTTTAAGGTACTTCACCGTATCCATTTCATTAAGAACAGATTGTCCAAATTCTACCCAAATATGAATGGTACATGTGACAGGTGTAAAAGCTCCTTGGTGGACTTGACTCACATGTTCTGGTCCTGTCCCCGTCTGGCAGACTATTGGTCCACTTTATTTAAAACCCTTTCTGAAGCATTTGATATAGAGTTGCAGCCTAGTGCAGAAAAGGCTATTTTTGGACTACCAAACAACAATCCTTCCCTGACCAATAGACAGCGAGATGCCATTGCCTTTTCCTCCCTGTTGGCCTGCAGAATAATTTTATTGGATTGGAAATCTATCAATCCTCCCTTAGCCTCAAAGATTGGTCGAGGGGGGACAAAAAGGGGAAAAATGTACAATGTCTTTAAATGTGTATCTTTCGTTCACTGTGAATAAAAATATGATATATACAGTGTATTCAGACCCCTTGACTTTTTCCACATTTTGATACGTTAAAGCCTTATTCCAAAATTGATTAAATCATTTTTTCCCCCCATAAATCTACACACAATAATACCCCATAATGACAAAGCAAAAACTGGTTTAGAAATTTTTGCAAATGTATTAAAAATACAAAACTGAAATATCACATTTACATAAGTATTCAGACCCTTTACTCAGTACTTTGTTGAAGCACCTTTGGCAGCGATTACAGCCTTGAGTCTTCTTGGGTATGACGCTACAAGCTTGGCATACGTGTATTTGGGGAGTTTCTTCCATTCTTCTCTGCAGATCCTCTCAAGCTCTGTCGGGTTGGATGGGGAGCGCCGCCGCACAGCTATTTTCAGGTCTCTCCAGAGATGTTCGATCGGGTTCAAGTCTTGGCTCTGGCTGGGCCACTCAAGGACATTCAGAGACCTGCGTTGTCTTGGCTGTGTGCTTAGGTTCATTGTCCTGTTGGAAGGTGACCCTTCGCCCCAGTCTGAGGTCCTGAGCGCTCTGGAGAATGTTGTTTTCATCAAGGATCTTTCTGTACTTTGCTCCGTACATCTTTCCCTCGATCCTGACTAGTCTCCCAGTCCCTGTCGCTGAAAAACATCCCCGCAGCATGATGCTGCCACCACCATGCTTCACCGTAGGGATGGTGCCAGGTTTCCTCCAGACGTGACCCTTGGCAATCAAGCCAAAGAGTTCAATCTTGGTTTCATCAGATCAGAGAATCTTGTTTCTCATGGTCTGAGAGTCCTTTAGGTGCCTTTTGGCAAACTCCAAGCGGGCTGTCATGTGCCTTTTACTGATGAGTGGCTTCCGTCTGGCCATTCTATCATAAAAGGCCTGATTGGTGGAGTGCTGCAGAGATGGTTGTCCTTCTGGAAGGTTCTCCCATCTCCACAAAGGAACTCTGGAGCTCTGTCAGACTAACCATTGGGTTCTTGGTCAACTCCCTGACAAGGCCCTTCTCCCCCGATTGCTCAGTTTAGCCGGGCGGCCAGCTCTAGGAAGAGTCTTGGTGGTTCCAAACTTCTTCCATTTAAGACTGATGGAGGCCACTGTGTTCTTGGGGACCTTCAATGCTGCAGACATTTTTTGGTACCCTTCCCAGATCTGTGCCTCGACACAATTCTGTCTCGGAGCTCTACGGACAATTCCTTCGAAACTCATGGCTTGGTTTTTGCTCTGACATGCACTGTCAACTGTGGGACTTTATATAGACAGGTGTGTGTGCCTTACCGAATCATGTCCAATCAATTGAATTTAGCACAGGTGGACTCCAATCAAGTTGTAGAAACATCTCAAGGATGATCAATGGAAACAGGACGCACTGGAGCTCAATTTTGATATTTTTAATACATTTGCAAAAACGTCTAAACACATGTTTTCACTTTGACATTATGGGGTATTATGTGTAGATTGATGAGAATTATTATTTTTTAAATCCATTTTAGAATAAGGCTGTAACGTTAAAAGAATGTGGGAAAAGTGAAGGGGTCTGAATTCATTCCGAATGCACTCTATAGAAAAATCAAAAATCAAAACTTCTCATACTGAAGTAATGTAGAAAGCATGTGATTGGTTCTTACCTCATCTACCCCATCTACCCACTTGGGTGGCAGTCTCTTGGTGACTCCGATGGCAGCTTCTGGGTCCAGACTTATCCCGGAGACCAGGGCCATGCGGTCATCAGCCAACTGACAGGAACATCACAGATATTACACAGCATATCACTACCCATTTCAAGCATTGTTGTTTGCAGACTTTCCATACAACGCATGGTTTATTTCCCCCCCAGAAAAATAGGTCCTTGTGACTAATAGTACAGTTTGGATAAGAGGAGATTGGACAGTACCTCATCAAGCTCCTAATGTGATTGGCAGACACCAGCGAAGTCCCATCCAATGAGGAGAGAGGGAGAGGTTAAATGACGTGAGACAGAAGTAACAGTAAGTGAGCCCCTGACAAAAAGCAGTGATCAGCTTCACACAGACATTTTGCATGCAATGTCACAGATACCGTTTAAAGAGGGATCATACAAATGTTCCAAAATGTCTCATTTTGAGTCACCAGATTCTGTGACTGACCATTTTTATATCAATCGAGGTTCTTCAAACCTGTAAAATCACTCTTTTAAAAAATGTAGGTCTGTCTTTGAGAAATCTATGCTAGGCCTAAATACATTGGGTCAGTGAAGTGTGACATGAGTGTGTGTGTGAAGGCAAAGATATAGGGCTAGCCTATGTCCCCGATTCCCAAATGATTATCCTAACCACAGAAGCATTTCATATAGGCCTAGAGAAAGGAAAGATGCAGGCCAATAATTAGCATTATAACAGGATTTTGATATGCATGCAGATCACTCAGCATGAGCACACAGAACACCATACAAGAGAAATAATGCCATAAAAACAAGGAGGAGGAGCACCTAAGCTATATCAATCATAAACTCAAAGCCTGGATTTGCTCTTTGATCCAAACAAACATTACCATTCCCCAAAACACCAGACGACTGATTTGTCTTGTAATGAATTGGGCCTAACGCTTCCTCTTCAGATACGAACAAACATTAACTTTTTTTAAATCATTTTTGTTGCCGTTGGTGCTGTCAGTGCCAGATCAATTCTGAGTAGCCTATCCAAGCTACTATCCACAATTAGGTGGATGAAAAGAAGGCATTTCAATGTCTGGATTTAAGATCTACTTCGAAGCTGCTAGACACAATAATGGTCCCACAGTCAAAACACCTTCGAGCCCAAAAGTAAGAGGGTGAATGAAAGAGGGACTGAAAGGGAAAACTGTTTAGAGTTTTGAAACTATGCAAAATAAATAGGCTAAGATATTATAGACTTACATAGACAGCATTTGTAAAAGGCCCTGCATCCTGGTCAATAATGAAAAATAGAAAATATATATCAGTAACCAACAGTGCAAACTAGGTATTCTAAATGACCATACACAAATATCTTAGTAACAACTAGGCCAAGGCTATATTAATGTAAAGTTTGTCAAATACCTTTAAAATAACAGTTTAACAACCCAATACGAAGCACAGGATCAATTAAATCTAAAACTGAGAGCAAAGCACCATCTTTTTAGATGTAGGTTTGAGAAAGACTATAAACAAACACCTCATTAAATGCAACATGTCAATTGTTACATTTGACCATCTGTTTAACAAAAGACAAGCCAACTCATTCCAGCATGCACTGTTATGACTTCTTTATCAAGTACTGAACATTGCCCCTAAATTGAAGTTCATGTTCTACCTTTATCTAAACTTTTAATTCATTTCTTACTCTGACAAATGCATTGTTTCAATTGATGTAATCATGTCAAAGGAGAATGCACGCTCTTTGATTATTGGTAGCAAACTGAGCTGGTCAAATGTGTTGGCTAGATAGGAAATGCAAGTTGAGGGCATCAGTACTCCAAATGCATGCCTCTGTGACATGACTCAAGCCAAGGCAAATGTGCGCATCTAGCTTGACAGCGAACTGTACCTAGCTGCTGCGTTCTAGCTTGACAGCTAAACGCAGAAAGTAGCCAACATCAGATTAATGTTTGGTAGATGGCCACTAGCTAGTTAGCTAACGAGGAGACTTAATCAAGATACGGTTAGTTTATGAATGTGTTAGCCATCATCACACACACATACATAAAATGTCAAATCCAGACGATTAACGTTAGACTCACCGCAGCATTGCTACGTGTACTCAGAGTACGACGGGGGTCGTATGTACTCACTTGCTCAGCCAATATATGCCGATTTTGGATTGCATTGTTCCGCATTAATAAGAAGGCATCGGTCAAGCGCCTAGTTGCCATGATTAATTTACACACGAAGGATTGGCAGCTATCAAATAACAAACCGTAGCGCACAGTGACTACGACGACAACCTAGCTAGCTAGCTACAATGCAAGGAAAGTTAGCGAACTCAGCTAGCCTGCACCGGCTAATCGAAGGGTTCTTCCCCTTTCTATCTTCACAATAACATATAGCTTGTTCGCTTTCATGAAGTACATAAATAAAACATAAAATATGACGGATGTCGTTTGTCTTCAGTGAAAAACGTAATGAAGAGAGGGTCGGTGTTATGGCCTCATCTACGTGGAAAATATAAATACACAATAAGAGCTTCGTGACCAAACACTTCCAGGTCAACAATTTCAATTTGAATTGGAGACCTCTATCAAAGAGAATATATTTTTAAAGCTCGATAAAACTGAATCGAATCATCATTGATAATATTTTATTTATTTTCATACTATAAAATGTTATATTAATAAAATAAATACATAAAAACGAGAAAGGTGTTCTTTACCGGGTCAATCCCACAAGATTTCAGTTCACCGATATTTTGGAAGAGTTTAAATAATGAAGACAATCAAGGATGCATGATACATAGTTCTGCATTGTATAGTATTATATTGAAATAAAGCATTGCCATCTATAAAACAGAGGAATATATTCGTTTTTAAAGAGAAAATCTAATTCACGAATGTCAGTATTAGCGCTACCCCCAACTACAACTATCAGCGAACAGGAACGTCCCCATTGGAAGCTCTAGCGCGCATGCTTCCTTGAATGCGTAGCTAATGGCTAAGGGTAAACTACATAAACAGTCTAACCATTTTTATTTACAATGACAGAATATGGAGAGGAAGAGGGATTCATGTTGCCTGTAGATGACGGTTTATTTGCTGATACATTTTCTGATGATAGCGTGTACAAATTCATCGGTCAAGAGTTAAAGATCAGCCAGGTGTTCAGCGCCAACCTCGGCGTGGCAGCGCCAGTGTGGGACGCGGTAAATTCACGATTGGCTCCTTAGTACACGCTGGCTACATTGCCTATATTTATTCTGCACATTATGAATAAAGCTTTATTGGTTATGTAGTAGTGCATTTAATACAGTATTGTTATACAAGGAATGCAATGAGCTGCCTGTTGTATTTACTGTTTGTCTTACTGTTGGTTAAATAGGCGCTTCATCTATGCCGCTATTTCGAGGAAAAATCGCTCAACCTGAAGGGAAAGCGCATCATTGAGTTGGGCGCAGGGACTGGCATTGTTGGCATTTTGGCAGCACGTTTGGGTATGTTGGTTCATTCTTTGTCCGTCCAGTAGAGGTCGGCAATGTCGATTTTCAGTAGCAGCCACTGTTATTTCAATAGCCTAGTCATTATTTTTTAATTTTTTTAATAGCCTTTTATAGATTTTTCATTGCCTTTCCCATCACACTGTTCCATCCTGTCACACACACATAAGCCTACAAATGCACTTTTCAAAGGTTTTGAAACACTACAATAAAACATTACAAAATCACAAACATAATCATAAGGTGTATTTACCTAATTTCCCACTGTTACAGGAGCGGATGTGACCTTGACAGACCTCCCCCTTGCTGTCCCACAACTGCAAAGCAACGTATCAGCCAACATGCCGTCCTCCGGCTGGCCTTCTGTTGCCCCCTCCGTCCTCCCCCTCTCCTGGGGCCAGGACCAGCACATCTTTCCCATGGACTGGGACATGGTACTGGGTGCAGACATTGTGTACCTGGCTGAGACTTACTCCCTCCTGCTGGACACACTGGTTCACCTGTGCAAGGATGGGGCCGTAGCGTACCTCTCATCCAAGATGCGAGGAGAGCACGGAACACCTGGATTCTACGGAGACACTCTGCCACAGAGGTTCCATGTAAAGCTGGTGCACCGCGACCCCACACAGAACATCAACATCTACCGCGCTACTCTGAGAGGGAAGCAGTGACAGAAATTAGACTGGATAGGACTGGGAGACTGTGATGGACTGTAAAATAGGTTTAGACTTGGAGGAGAACCACACAACAGTGCCTGACTCTCTGAACCCTCTGGTTAAGAGGGAGTCTTCTAGATATCCTCTCTGAAAAAACTTTGTGCAGGTGCTGGTACGAAAGAATAGGCAACTGACACAAAAGGCTCCTCACTCTGATTTTAGTGCTCCAAAAAGTGTTATTAATAAACAAAATATAGACCAATAGGTCATCATCTTGAATGAAAAGATCTATATGGTCTAGTAAGAAACAGAGATAAAATAATAATTTTGTGGGCAGTAAAAGTATTTTCCTGTCTTTGTCAGGTTACTACAGTCAAATCAAGTTGTGTTTGAGGACGTGCTATATTGTACAGGTTGACGGGGTTGATTACTGGGAAAACGTTGTTTATACCATCCACTTGCAGAACTTTTCTGGCAACATTGACAGATTCTGCCCCCCCTCCCTCCGCCTGTACGTACTTCATCCCCTCACTCTCCTGCTCTCTGCTGATGTGCAGAGTTTCTGTTTAGAAAAGAAAAGCCTGTTTGTTCCGCTGGAGAGTTTCAAAGAAAGAGAGACCGGCCGTCCTACCCCCCCTCCACCTCTCTCTGTGCTATAGCTCACCCGACAAAACAACAGATCCCTATCTATATTCACAGTCTGCTCTCCACCAGTGGTCCACAGGGTCCCCATACAAGAAACTGTCATTCATTGTGCGTGTAATAATCCTTTGATCAACATTGTAATGATAATGCCCAAGCAAGTTGTACAAAAAGTAACCTGTGGTACAACATAAAATACAATGTTATGCGTTAATTTCCTATGCCTATGGTGCCTGTAAGATACATTATTTCTTTTTCAATTATCAAATGATTGATTGAGAAGCAACACTTCTGAGAAATAAAGTTAAAATGTATACAACTTTTTCAGCAACATAATCTCCTTGTCTGCTTTGTCATTGATATAATTGATTACATGTTGTAATGCTTTTTTCCTTTGGCTTGCAATGTCAGTCACTTTTAAGCACATCAGCCATGTACACACAATGTGAAGCGTGCCAACCCTCTGTGTCATTTCAGCATTGTACAAGCAAACATAAAAATCAAGGTATTTAGGATGACATCATTGGAAAGATATCTTGTACAGTGTCATCCTTAAATCCTCCACCACTGCGGTCCCTAATCATCAATCTGACCCCAAAACTATCAGTCCTTAAATCCCAATAAATTATATTCAGGATCCTTAGGGCGTCTCTAATCTAAACCCTACCCTTATCCTAACCATAACCCTTACCTAACCTTAACCTTAACCATTTTTTATTTAAACTTATATCGGGTAGAGACGTCCCAAGGATACCGGATAGCAAGGACCGTAAATTCATGGCAGACAGCCTTTGTCGCCCCAAACAATTAACTTCAGCCAAAAAACGCTGAAGTAAGCATTTGGGAGCAGCCATAGTATTTTTTTACCAGCTGTGTCACATTGGTCCGTGTGTATGTACAGACACAGTTTTTGTTCCCACTTCTCTCATCCTGCTATCCGTCAGCCCAGGGAATGTGACTGAGTGGGGAATGTTTGTTGCAACCAGGAGTGTGCCTCTTAAAATAATTCCACTGTGATGTTTTGACTGGGAATGTTGGCTGTGGACGAGGAGGATGCCCTCTCTGGCGGTGACGGGGGAGTGAGTGTGTGTGGCACGAGGAGGGGGTGATCAATAACATTCTCTTTTTAAAACAAGTTGCCCAGTTGGCGTGGTCATCATCAGACCATACCCTAAAAGCAAGGACCTTCATCCAGACGCACTGACCAGCGGTATGTGTGATATGACAGTCATTGGATTATTAAATGTGCTTTCAGTTTATCTTATTTAATATTCATACAAATTCACACTTGTTGGTTTAATCTAAAGTTTGACTTTTGTATGCAAGTCTGGACTATAAAAGTGTAGTTTTCTACTTCAACAGTGAAATTGCATCTCATTTGATGAAATAGAGAAAACATTTTTCAAAATGCTAAGAGCTATTCTGTAGTTGAAAAGGCATATCTACATTAGGGATAGAACAATAAAATGTATGTTTTTCCTCTACAATAATTTTAGGAGTTAGTCCCTGGTTTCAAACCTCTTGTGATGCAGTTCTGGGCTGGGAGTCAGGGGCAACCACCCATGTATGCTAAATTTGGGACTGTTCCTGGACAAAACTTTGCACATGTGTGAGTTCAGTTCACTTTAAGCTGTTTCAAAGTGATATTGTGTTTGTCTCTGTGAAAGCTTGCCAGGTGAGAAACGTAAACAAATAGCTATATAGTCTGCTTAGTTTGTTTTCATGTCTCTTTGTTGGCAAACAGAAGTAGAGCAGAATATTCATAATCCTAAAAAAAAGAAACCTGCCTGCAATAGTATCACATAAAGATCATGTAAATAAGGTTGTTTGTATTCATACAAAAATATTTTTCACTTACAAGTGAATTTACTACATGCAATATTTTCTTTATTGTCTATATGGGTTATTAGGTGTCCTTGTAACATGCTACTACACTGTGTCCTGCAAAGCTAGGTATGGGGGTAATCTCCATGTTTTGTTTTCCACCCTATTATTTCCACAGATATCAGGACAAGCACCAGGCAGCATATTTTCAACCATACCAGGGCAGGGAGCCCAGTTGTTGGACAGTACCAGGTTCTAGGACCGGAGGGGTCCTACAGGACTATTCCAACTGGACTGATCAACATCTATCGCCCTCTGGCCCTCATTTCCCCTTTGCTCTAGACAGCCAGCCCCGACAGCTCCAGGGCTCAAGGGACTATCAGGCTCAAGAGAAGAGAGAGAGGGAATGGTTGGTGGGAGAGGCTCATAGAGCAGCAGCTAGGGAGAGGGAAAGGGAGTGTGAGAGAAGGATGCAGAGGGAGGGGTGGCAGAGGAGGTGGGAGCTCTGTAGTCCTGTCCGCTACAGGAGGGAGCCAGCCAAGAGAAGTCTGAGCGACAGTAGCTATCGGGAGCTGGAGGCCTGGGCGGCCCGCTACAGCCACTCACTCCCCAGGAAGAGACGCCTGGAGGCAGGGCTGTGGGGGGGGGCCCAGGGGGCGCCGGAGAGTGAGAGAATCCTGGAGAGAGAGTCATGGGGCAACAGAGGTGGAGCAGAACCCATAGCATGTGCAATGCATCCAGCGGGACAGTGGGAGAGGAGGGACTCACAGCAAACTATGCGCCACCGCTTGTCTGAGCCGGTCATTCCTTATACAACATGCCCATCAGACACCAAGGAGAATGAGACAAGCTACCAGAAGAGGGTGTTAAGTCAACCTCCAGGCTACATTCCACCTCCGCCTTATAATGCCCCACATAACATTTCACCAGTAATGCAACATGCTGAGAAACATACCACTAAAGAAGCGATGGCTTCTGTGTATGCAGGGTGGGATCCAAGAGCTAGCAGACACAAATACTGCACACTGCCTACTCCGAGGAAGCAAGACTACTCTGTACTAGACTTTCATAGGGAAAGAGGAGGGGGAGATGAGTTTATGAAAGAGGAGTGGAAGCAGAGGACCTGGTCTGATCCTGGAGGGCATAGGCAGCAAGGACATGTTGTAGTTGGTCAATGGACAGGCTTTCCAGCCCATCCACAGAACATGCCAATCCAGTCTGAAAGCCTCTCACCTCTGCTGCAGTCCCCACAACAGCCTCAGATGGCCAACCTCAGTGAGACGGCCTACCACAGTGCCAACACAGAAAGGAAAGTCAGCCTAAAGAAAAGGAGAGGAGGGGAGACCATATTTTGCTTGGTGTCTCGCATGGGTGAAGTGGCAGGGTTGTCAAGTTCTCCTGAAGAACCACTAAAAACCTTTTCCCTGCCACTCTTCACCACCTCACCTCTGACAACTGTGTCAAACAGTGAGTTAAGCAGGGTATCTAGCGACCTAGAGGAGTGTGGTGCCAGTAACGAATCGCATAAGCTTGCAGATGAAGTTGATTCAGGTGTGCCATCACTCCAGCATGATTCCAGTGCTTCATCCCAGACCTCTGTCTCCATCAGAGACAGGAATCTCAAACCTAAACTGAAGGGGGCGCTAGACTGGATGGGAAGTGAGCAAGTAGCAGCCCACAGGGATGAGCTTCTCAGGGCCATTCAGAGCAGACCAAAGCTTCAAGGAGAGGAAAGAGACCTCCAAAGCCTACCCAGTACAACAGACAGTGAAGTTGCCTTGACAGAAGGCACCCAGGTTAATGCTTCATCCCCTGTATCCAGGAGAAAAGGGATGCAAGCACTGGCTCCTGTGTCAGTCAAGTATCCCTTATGGAGGGAGCCTAGTTACATGGGCCGAGTCAAGAGTGACTATCCCTCACCTAACTATTTGAAGGGTACCTGGGAGGAGGGCGAACCAGGTAAGAATCTGAATGATGATCGTACAGAAAATTGCCCTGATGCTTGCAATCATCCTCTTGATGTTGAAGTGAGGCGATTGGAGCTCAAGAGAGACACAGAGTCTGATGGTAGCAGTGGTCTTCTGGTCATCGACGCAACTTGTGTTGTAGTCAGAGTGGAGTTCATTTTCCCTCCTAAAAAAGAACATGTCCAGTATTTGTGCTTACCAGCTCCTAGTGACCCACCTGTGCCTGATCTAGACCCGAGCTCCGCTATCCCAATAGATAACCAAGTCAAGGAGGATACTACACCTGATCAGGGCATTGATATATCAGCCCAGATCTGCCCACTGTTAGATAGTGAAGAGCCTGTGAGTGATTTCAAACCCTCTGAAACAACTGTCACTGAAAAAGACTTGCCTCAGCAGATAGAGGAGACAAGCCAACTCCCTGAATCGCTCTTGCCCTCACCTTCGATCCCTGACAATGAGACCTGGGAGGAGCGTGCTGAGAGGATTTTGGGGATCCCTTTTCTGAACTCTAGCGTTCAGGATAAAACAGAAAAGGATGAGATGCCACAGCCACCAAAAGATGAGAACAATGACGCCTTTGAGTGCCTTCCTGAGCCAGTGTCAGAGGCATCGCCTGAGATTGGTCTAACTGAAGATGATATTTCTGCTACAGACACTAATGTCACTTTAGATGACCAGTCTGCACCAGATATAGTTGCAGAGCCCAAGATGGAGCTGAGGGAACAAACATTTGATGTCTCTGTGGAGAACTCCAGTGACTGTCTGCCTGACGTAAAGGTTATGTCTTTACGAGAGACAGATAGCGCAAACGAGCCTCCATCCGATCCCTGCCAGGAAGCAGGTCAATTTGGTCCATTTGGTGATGATGGTTTTCCCCCACCCATCTCTCAGTGCCTCAACCCACCTCTAAGTTACCCTGATTCTCCCCCACACTTACCTTTAGATGCTACCTCCCCCTCTAATTCAAGACCCCCCTCTTCCTCTCATCACTTGTTGACTTTACCCTCCCAGTTCATTTCATTATCTCTCCCCCCTGAGTTTAACACAGATCCCCTGTCTCTCCCTGAAGATCCACTCTCTCCCTCAGCTATAAGCTTACCCCGTCACCCTGATTTCCCTCCTACTCAACTCTCAGACTCCATTTCCCTGTCCCGATTCCCATCTCCCCCTCCCTCTCCCCCAGTCTCGCTCTTCCCCTCCAGTTCTCCCCCGGTCCCACTCTCCCCCTCCAGATCTCCTCCCCCTCCAGACCCCTCCTCTAGACCCTGGAGCCTAGAGATACTGGCCGAGGCCTTTACCCCTGTCCTGTCCGCATCCACCACACCCACCACACGTATAGAGGAGCCCCAATACCCCAAGTCCCTCTGGGATGCAGTGAAATGCATCCGGAAGCACACAGCCCCTGACTCAGAAAATGAGGAGGAGGGAGGTGAGCTGTGGGATCCAGAGAGTGCTGGTGAGGATGGTGCTGCACTATGCAAAGAATTTGATTTGAGCATTGGGGAGATGTTGTTCCAGAGTAGTAATAGCCTGAGACAGGGG